GGAAACCTAGGAACTTTGTTCCGATCACTCGGTCAATATGACAAGGCCCGAGAATATCAGGAGAAAGCACTTGCTATCAGAATAGAAATTGGTGACAGACAGGGAGAAGCAATAAGCTACGGAAACCTAGGAACTTTGTTCCAATCACTCGGTCAATATGACAAGGCCCGAGAATATGAGGAGAAAGCACTCGCTATCAGAATAGAAATTGGTGACAGAGAGGGAGAAGCAACAAACTACGGAAACCTAGGAACTTTATTCCAATCACTCAGTCAATATGACAAGGCCCGAGAATATCAGGAGAAAGCACTCGCTATCAGAATAGAAATTGGTGACAGACAGGGAGAAGCAACAAGCTACGGAAACCTAGGAACTTTGTTCCAATCACTCGGTCAATATGACAAGGCCCGAGAATATCAGGAGAAAGCACTCGCTATCAGAATAGAAATTGGTGACAGAGAGGGAGAAGCAACAAGCTACGGAAACCTAGGAACTTTGTTCCAATCACTCGGTCAATATGACAAGGCCCGAGAATATCAGGAGAAAGCACTCGCTATCAGAATAGAAATTGGTGACAGACGGGGAGAAGCAACAAGCTACGGAAACCTAGGAACTTTGTTCCAATCACTCGGTCAATATGACAAGGCCCGAGAATATCAAGAGAAAGCACTCGCTATCAGAATAGAAATTGGTGACAGAGATGGAGAAGCAACAAGCTACGGAAACCTAGGAACTTTGTTCCAATCACTCGGTCAATATGACAAGGCCCGAGAATATCAGGAGAAAGCACTCGCTATCAGAATAGAAATTGGTGACAGAGAGGGAGAAGCAACAAGCTACGGAAACCTAGGAACTTTGTTCCAATCACTCGGTCAATATGACAAGGCCCGAGAATATCAGGAGAAAGCACTCGCTATCAGAATAGAAATTGGTGACAGACAGGGAGAAGCAACAAGCTACGGAAACCTAGGAACTTTGTTCCAATCACTCGGTCAATATGACAAGGCCCGAGAATATCAGGAGAAAGCACTCGCTATCAGAATAGAAATTGGTGACAGGGATGGAGAAGCAACAAGCTACGGAAACCTAGGAACTTTGTTCCGATCACTCGGTCAATATGACAAGGCCCGAGAATATCAGGAGAAAGCACTCGCTATCAGAATAGAAATTGGTGACAGACAGGGAGAAGCAACAAGCTACGGAAACCTAGGAACTTTGTTCCAATCACTCGGTCAATATGACAAGGCCCGAGAATATCAGGAGAAAGCACTCGCTATCACAATAGAAATTGGTGACAGGGATGGAGAAGCAACAAGCTACGGAAACCTAGGAACTTTGTTCCAATCACTCGGTCAATATGACAAGGCCCGAGAATATCATGAGAAAGCACTCGCAAAATAGAAATCATAGGCATGGAGAAGCAACAAGCTATACAAGCCTCACTGGTTTGTTTCTATCACTCGGCAAATATGCAAAGGCTGACGACTATTTAAAGAAGGCAATGGCAGTTAGAAAGGGTATCGATGATAGAAGTGGAGAAGCAACAGTTTACAGTCACCTTGGTAGAATTTGTTGCAAGCGTGGTGAATATGACAAGGCTCAAGAATATTACGAGAAAGCCCTTACAATTGTCATGGAAATCGGTGAGAGAGAAGGAGTAATAGTCCAGTACAACAATTTAGCATTATGTTTCCAATCGCTTATTAAATATGACATGGCCGAAGAATACCTTAAGAAGGCTCTTCTTTTAAGTAGGAATATTGGACACAACCTGGACGAGTTTCACTGCCTTTGTAATCTATCGGTGTTAAAGGTGTCACAATGTCATCTTGAAGAGGCTTGTTCGTATCTTTTTCAAGGCATCCAAAAGTTCGACACTTTGAGAGGTTTTCTTAAAGAAAACGATCAGTTTCAAATAGCTCTTTTAGAACAGCACGGCACCTTTTCCTACAAGTTGTTCAGTAGGTTGCTGTCTTCCACTGGAAAACCTCAGGACGCCCTTTACGTCGAAGAGCTGAGAAGGGCAAGAGGCCTGGCCGACTTGATGGCAGCTCGATACTCTCTTGAAGAGCAGATCTCAAGCGATCCACAATCTTGGTGTGGCATTCAAAGGATCATCACAAAAGAAGCAGACTGTGCATGCCTGTACATTTCGGTTGGTGAAGATGAGGTACGGTTTTGGATAATTACAGCAACGGGAGCTATTCATTTTTTAGAAAAGAAAGTGAGCCTGGACAAAAACAAGGTTACCGGAATAGTCCCTGAGTTAGATGAGTTTTTTAAAGAAGCCTTCCGCAGCCACGTCATTTTACCCGAACAGAATTGCGAAGATCGATCTTTAGATGACACCGAACTGATGTCACTTCACTATGATAACCGCTCAGTGCCTCGTGACCATGATACCGAAGATTTCAAAACAAGCCTTGAATTGTGTTACAAGATAATCATTGCTCCTGTGGCCAGTTTACTAAAGCAGCCCGAGATCATAATTGTCCCTGATTCCTGTGTGTACCAGGTGCCATTTGCAGCCTTGGCTGACGAAGGAGGCAAGTATTTATCAGAGACATGCAGGATTCGGATAATTCCCTCCCTGACGACTCTCAAACTTGTTCAAGACAGTCCTCCAGACTATCACAGTCAGACCGGGGCACTGATAGTGGGTGACCCAGTGGTTGGAACGGTGATTTACATGGGAAGGTGCAGAAATATGACACCATTGCCGCATGCAAGAAAGGAAGCAGAGATGATTGGAGGACTTCTTGGCATAAGGCCTTTGATAGGAGATTCCGCAACAAAACATTCTGTACTCCAAGCGATAAGTTCAGTGAGCCTGATACACATTGCTGCCCATGGTGATGCCGAAAGAGGGGAAATTGCTCTTTCTCCTATGCACCCTACCCTACTCCCACCTTTCCCTCGAGAAGAAGATTATCTTTTGACGATGGCCGATATTTCAAAAACTCAGTTGCGAGCTAAACTAGTGGTGCTTAGTTGTTGTCACAGTGCTCGTGGACAGATTAGAACCGAGGGAGTTATTGGACTTGCTCGAGCGTTCTTAGGATCGGGAGCTCGTTCAGTGTTAGCGGCACGATGGGCCCTGGATGACAGAGCCACAGAGAAGTTCATGACTTGTTTCTACAAACATTTGTTCCGCGGTGAAAGCGCCAGTGAATCTCTCCACAAGGCCAGGAAGTGGATGAGAAATAACGGCTTTGATAAAGTTTCTCAATGGGCGCCATTTATGATCATGGGCGACAACGTGACATTTGAGTTTGGAAATTGGCCGGTGCCTAGCGCACCTTAAGAGCCAAGACTTTGATAAAACCTCTGTAGCAGAATGAATTAGACTTAGTAAAGCTTGGAACTATTTAATTACTAGCCTGTAGAAAGAGGACACCATCTGCGAAGGACAACTCGGATCGATACACAGAGGAGAGCACTTCTGTAATATGCTCATCAGACATCTAAGTTTAATAATCCGAAATAAGACAGCATATAGTGTTATCTCTTTATAAGAGTCCCGTAACTAAAAAGGATTACGGTTAGATCGCTCCACGGTTAGATCGCTCCAAGTCAGATTAGTGTATTAGGTTTCTACATGGAGCGAAGTAACTTATGTATGGAGCGAAGTAACTTATTTGATGGAGCGAACTAACTTTCGAGTGGAGCGATCTGACTTCGGTATGGAGCGATCTGACTTGGAGCGATCTAACCATGGAGCGATCTAACCGGATACCACTAAAAAAACTCCAACTTTTTTTAAGTCATCAGTTCAGTGAATGAGCCAACCAAAGTGTGATAATTTTAGTTTTCGAACGCGATTAGTTCGTCAAGGAAAGAAAAATTTAATCCTTTTCCAAAGTTGATGAGTTTGTCAATTCAAGTTTACTTTATTATTAAAGGACAATCTATGTAGACGTAATTATTTGGGATCAATATCAGTTGCTGGGAACAGACCCTTATAAAAAAACTACCGTACAATTTTAACAGAACACCCCCTTAAATAACTCGGCATTGTTACATAGCGACTATTCAAGAGGTACAATTAAAAACCCCTGGATGTAAGATACGAATCTAAGACCCCTGGATGTAACGAAAGCATTCACGATCGATGTCCACATCTGCGCGCAGACCCCTAGATGTAAGAAGAAGCAGAGAAGCGTCTGGTAGAATGCACGACTACAAAAAGTCCTTCAGATGCACGAGTTTGAATTACTCTTAAAATGCCGAATGTAAAGGGTTCTGGATGTAATTTGCAGGGACAGAACAACTGAGAGATTGGATTTAAGATTGCAACAGGTCATGGGTGGCGATTAAACATAAAAAGCTCCTTAGTCAAAGCGAGAGGGAGCCAAATAACCCTAACCTCTGCCAGGCTCTCGGTTAATGGAAATGAGCAAAAGAACGAAAATGGCGGGTTCATGCAGCCGTTTCCCTTAAACAAACACAACAGTCGTTCATCGCTCGCCCGCCCAGTGAGTTAGAGCCTGAAACAGGCTAAAATAACTCAAACTGATTAATCACTCACAGGCAAAATAAATAACATTTATTGATGAGTTACTATTACGAAATATACATGTACAAAAGATTAGGCCCCGCGACTAAACAGCAACATTATTGATTTCTTTTATTTACAAGCATGATAAAGCAAACAGCAAAAAGTAACGCCTAACGCCTATTTCTGCCACAGACATGTAGCTTCACTACCTCCATTTTTATCATGATGGCCTCCACCGATTTTCTTCCAGGCTCTCTGGTGTCCTCCATTTGTTACCTGTCGTTTAATAAACTGCCAATTAAATATTGATGAACACAATGCCATGCAATGCATCAGGTTTTCAAAGCAGCAAAAGACTATATGTATCATTGCTTTAAAGTGCATTTTATTAATTGACTGTGTCATTTGAAAACAACAATGATGACAATATTTATTGTAACTGTCAAATACCATATCGAGAGAACAACTTGTATATTTAGGATTATATAACAAACAACTTCCATTTACTTTACTGCATAGAAAATGCTTCACCTGTTGTTTTCCTTTGTAACAAATTACATAGAAGAAAGTCTAGAATATGTGAAGTTTACTGTAGGTATACCTTTGTAGAGAGATGACCTTTAAATGGTGGAGATTCACTGTGGTGTGTCTGATCACCTCCTCTGCTTTCAATTTATCATCTAGTAATAAGAAAATTAGATTATCAATACATCGAGGCTGGTCACTTTTCTCTAAGGAAACATGGAGGCATGCACCAATAACATCATATACCTGACAACCATGCTGTAATGACTTAGCGTTTGGTAGCACCAACTTGTTGCAGAATCAAGACATGGGCACCACTCAAGGGACATGGATCTTCGCCAACACGTTCAAACATTTGTGACACACAAGGTGATCTGTTGTGTGCCACAAATACCAAGCAGCTGTCTAACATATTTGTTAGTTGTGTATCCTCATTAAGTGTCCTTTGGAATAAAAGGAACATCCTTTAATCCGTACTAAGAGACAATAAGAGACTAGAGATGTACATATTAATATTTGGAAAATTACTAGACAGTTGGGGGCCTGGCCCTCACTAAAGTTTGTGTTTTAATCACTAAAGTTTGTGTTTTTCATCTGTGAATAGAAATTTTCACAAGAGGTGGAGTATTTTTCACATAATTTAAGCTAAAAATAACTACATTTACTTCTGGCATGTTCTGTTTAGGGCACTTTTAAGAACAATTTTTTACTTTGTTTGATAATTTTTAGCCCACCTGATGACATTGACACTCTCATCACTCTCATCAAACAAGACCACCACAATTGGCATCAGGTCTTGGTGGCTCTGTACAACAGCCTAAACAAATCAAAGAAAGGTGGTTAAAAAGAACGCTGCAAGATAAAAACAACCATGCACAGATCAACACTTTCATATTTTTAATTGAAATTTAAAGGCTACCTGGAAAATTTGCCTGGTCAAATGTAAATGGGGCCCACATACATCTTCTCCCAAGGAGGAGGTACAGCAGTTGGACCTGCTGTAAGGGTCCTTCAATATCTGAAAACAATTTTTCAACCTGTCAATCAGGGACCTTTACAAATGAGAACAACCTCTAATCATGATCTATGGTGACATTCAGTTATTACTATGAAGGTGTAATTTAACAGAGTTAGTACTATTATAGAGATGCAGGTAGAGATAAACAGCCATTAACAGAAAATTATTAAATTCATACAACAGCTTGAAGCACTCACAGTTCACAAGTGAACAGTATCTATGAAATCCTGACTGAACACCCTAAATCTGTTTCATTTAATTGTTGCTAGCTGGACAACTTGGTATCTACTAGCTTCTACTTTTCATAGAATGCAAAAAGTGCTGAATGAGAGATCAAATTACATCTGGTGACATTTGTTTTAAGCAAGCTTATAATACTAAAAAAAATATTAAAAATGTCCTCACCAAAGACTTCAGCGCTCTCTATGGCTTTTTGGCAACTCGCTTCTCCGCCTATCAAGATTGAAAAACAGATAACAACCAAGGCGATAATTGTAATCACCTACATATTGTAATAATCTAGGATTAAATAATATAATTTGCAAAAACATTGCCATAAAAAAGTAATTGAAATAGCCATATAGGAATGTATAACTAGCATTCTTACAACAGCTTGTAGCACTCACAGTTCACAAGTGAACAGTATTTAATGTGTATTTACTACTATTTTGAGGGGTTTCATGGATTTGTAGCTTGTAGCCTTTTTTCAGTTTTCTGAATATAACTTTTCAAATTTAGTGATAAACTCTTTGCTGATTGGTCTGAATACAGATTTTCTGGGAGAGACCAATTAAAATAGGAAGTTGCTCAGATTCTACCTTGCCAAACAGACCCTTCAATGTTGTTATTGAAAGTCCCAAAACTTTAAGCGACTTAAATAAGAGAAAGTACTGTATATTGTGTCAACAGAGGGAAATATTTTCCATTAGGTGAATTTGTATCCATACCAGACTGTATGTTCACACTTATTTCCAGGGTTGTGCCTTTGGTTGAGATTATATCTGTAAAGGTATAATTAAGTAAACAGATTTCTAACTTCAGTTGCATATTAGATTCTTGGAAAATTCAAACCTTCTAAACCCACAGCCCTGGTAGAACAAGCTAAAGAAGAAAAACAGTATTCATTGTCAAAAGCTACAGGTGTGCTGAAACAACAAAAGCCTTTACAACTAAGACAAAAACAGTATCAAATAAAGAAAACTAAGCTGAACGATGGAGCATACACCTGCCCCCCAAAAAAGCAGGGAACTATTTTTCAGTTCAACTCAAGGATGTGCATTAAAAAAAAATCAGGTTCTTGCAAAAAACAATTCACTCTTCAACAAAGTTTACCTTTATTTGAAGTGGAATGGTCAAAAACAATAAAATTCAACTACGTTTGAATGCTGCTTAAAGAGATACTTTCACAATTTTGGGCTTATGAACTTAAGACTTATCTGTTTTGCCAATATAACTGTTCATACCTTTCAATACATCCATGATAAAAATTAATGTCTGGGCTGCAACAGAACAAAAAAACTGTCAGTTGTCAATTGCTCAGTTACTAGAGACATAGATCACATGCAAATTACTCAGTAATATTTGGAATCATTCACATTTAAAAAGTAAGTATTTTTGGCATTGAATTTCTCATTAATTGCAAGAAATATATACCTTTTGAGGAAATTTATTACTTGTGCGGAAACACAAGACAAGGTACACTTGTAAGTATTTCTTGTACCTATTCATGCACAGACAAAATGATTAAAGTAATGCACCAGTCTGATTGTTAAAACTGTAATATGATTGCAAAGCCATCAATCATAACAGAAATGCCTAGAATGCAAGCGTAAAGCTGTACCTCCCATGTAAACACCTTTTTACTTCTAAATAAATGCTACACAGTGTACAATGTAAAAAAAAAAGACACTTGCCCACTTTTCATACCAGGCAGTTGGTTATGAGATCTAACAGACACTATTTGCAGATCTTGGGAATTGCTTTCGTGGCTGAGACCCACACCCTGTCCTGCAGACATCAATACAGACAACAGCATAATGCATTTAATAATCATAATTACTACTAATAATAAAAATACAAATTTTATAATTCTCTAAACAGATGGCCCATTTCACAACATGGTTTTCAACAGGGTGCCATAAAAATGAAATAAAATAACATAAATGAATGAAAATAAAGTACAATACAAATGACTTAATGGTAAATTGAAAACCTACTTTTTTTTATCTTAGTCTATCATAAAATGGTTTGGCACCAAACTGTAATAGCTGAAGTAGCTGCATGCATTTGTTAACATAATCTCTTGAAGAATTTGTACTACATTTTGTAAGTACAGTACATGCAGTTGCAAGTCTGTTGGATCAGTCTTGACAGTTTTTAACAATACCCATATATAAGTATGAGAGGGTTTGGAAAAAACCACAAAAAAATTCATTGTGTTGCACTTGTGTTTTATTATTGATGTTTTACATGTAACTCCAAAATTTTGGAATCTAAAAACACTGTCATAATTGGTATAATATTTCTGATTGCATGAGAGACCAAGGTAGGATTTCTCCTCACAGTATCAATAAAAAATTAAGATGGCGAGTGATCAGAGTAAAGATGAATATAACTTAAGGGATAACTAGTTGATCAAATACCAAACTCTCTGAACTAACCTCATAAGAATTATACAGCAGACAGTAGGGAGATCTTGGGGTTGAGAGGGTTAATTGATAAGATTTTGAGGCTAGGTCACAAGAGAGGAGTTTGAGTAAATCAATACTGTCAAACCTTGATTATCCAGATTATTTGATTATCTGTACTTGATTCTCTGGTCTTAAAGAAATAGTCCCTCTTGAGATCTGTGACAATGTTTTCCCATCAAACAAAGCTGAATTACTGAAACAATTTGATGACAATGACAGCATGAGATAGCACTTTAGGTGGTAAAAACAGTTTTGTAAATACTTTTGGCAAATGTTAACAGTGAAGTACATTCATTAGAGAATGTACTTTTATTTCTTCTGTGGTATAAATCAAGTCATTATGATACATATTGGCTCATTAGTATCCATTGACTATGGATAATTGAGGTTCGACTGTATAACCAGTTGGGCAGTGTTTCTAACTTCCATACCTTGTTGTAGTCATAACCTTGATCTGCCATCGTTTTCACAAATGTTTCCTCACCTCCACGATTCCTTCCCATTGATACGAAAATACGTAAACCAGGTTTAACTAATTTTGTCATGCACTGAGCGAGAAGCACAGAGTCGTCAGCTGAATGATTGGCATTCTGCAGCGAGAATGAGATGAAACAGACCATCTTTTGTTAAATCTTCTGTGCTTTTCCCCCAACAATATTCCACAACCTTGATTCTACTCCGACCAACTCCAGTCACATTTGCTGCCATGTTGTCTTTAAGAGTTTTTACACAACATTTCTGATCAGTTAGAATGGTCATTTTCGCACCTGACAAACACAGATAAATTCCCACTAAACTGCAGCCAGCTCCAAGCTCTAAAACTCGACATTCCTGCAAATAATGTAAAGGAAATAGATCTCGATTATCGAACATCTTAGCGAGTGCAATACTTCCATCCCAAACAGTTGTTCCAAGAGCTGTGTAGCTCTGTCGAACTTTTATGAGAGAAATGCTATTGCAGAGTCCGTTGTCCCCTTCTCCAGATCGATCAGCGTTAGAACTCCTGTCAACTTCAAGTTCAAATGGATTTTCGAACCGTTGTTTTTCAGGTTTGTACTCTTGTCGAAGCCTCATGATTCACGAGAATGACAAAGATTTTCGATGACCAAGGAAGACCAGTACTGCATCCCTGCTGCAAAACTTGCCAGGCGCAATTTTGTACCCAGGCCTCAAAGTTTACCAGTCTCCTTCAGTCTGTTTCGACGATACGAGAAGTCGTCAATTCAAGTTTTAATTTGCAGCAGAGGAATTTGCCAAAAAAAAAACAGTACTTTTGGAACAGTGCAAAGCAACGGTGCCAGAACACCCTCGTCACACTAAGCCATCTGACCTGTAATTAGTTCAATTTTGATCAGGGCCGTTTCACGGAGTAATCATCTAGGTCGTTATGGTGAGACCTAGTGAGTCTTGTTTCTTGTTAGCGAGACGTTTTCTTATTTTGATTCGTTAGAGAAATTTAATTCCTCCCACCGGTCTAATTTTCTATATCAAAAATCTCCGCTCCACTTCACGATCAGAAAACGCAAGCTTTCGAGCCAGTTACAAAGATTTCACCACACGCCTGGCTCCGCGCGCGCCAACATTGAGCAAAAACCCTATGGTAGGCCCTTCCTGATTATGCTAGCATTTTTTTGGCATCATGTGGCTAAAAAAGCATTTTTTCCACACTTTTTCTGTAAAAAGAATTGCTATCATTATTTAGCATTTTGCATAACTTTGATCTAGATTTCAGCACTCAAAAGAGTTTTAATGCTAAATTTTAGAATTCAAAAGCATTGTGATGATTTGCCTATGTGTTTTAGAGAAGGATTTCAGTAACTGTATGAACTAAGTGCAGTTGGCCAGTGGTTAACTTTCAGAGGCCGTTCACGCGTAGGTACAAACAAGATGGCATCGGCTAGTGCCACGCCATGTTCTCGATACTTGCAGCTCATAGAAGGAAATTCTGAAGGAGAACATAGACCAGTTCTTTCAACGATAGCTCGAGATCGATCTTTAGAATCAACCAGTGGAAATTACAAGCGGAGAGGAAACAGCGATACAACGAAAGTGACGTTATATGAGTGAGTTAAGCAGTTCCCAGGCGAGAATTTGATTGTCAGAGAAGGACTGAAGTTGTTTTGCAGTGGATGTAGAGAACTTGATAATTTCCTCCCAGAAAAGTGTTCTGAAAATCCATATTTTATCCAAGAAGCATCAAAACGGTAAAGAGAAGTTGAAAAAGTCGAAATTGAAAGACCAGACCATAATGGAGGCATTCAGAAGAGAAGGAATTTCAAAAGATAGCACGTTACCCGTGGAAGAATGTGCCTACAGACTCGAAGTTTTCAGTGAGTTTTTGAAGGCGGGTATCCCGATCGGTAAAGTAGACATGCTACGGTCTCTGTTGGAGAAGAACAGCTATCGACTCACTGGAAGCTCTCATCTAGGGCAGTATATTTCCATGGCTTGTGAGAATTGATGTTTGCTCTAAGTCAGTTAAGGCCAACGAACTAGCACAAGTTCTTAATCAGTGCCTGTCTGTTGATTATGGGGTTTACAACAAATTCCTTGCTCGCAGCCATGAGAGACGGTGCAAGCGTTAACCAAGTAGCAGTGGACAGAATAGCATTTATATTCCCTAAGATGCTGAATGACGTGTGCTTCTCTCATACACTTGATAACGTGGGAAACCATTTAGTGATTCCAACACTGGTAGAGTTCGGAAGCCTTTGGATTAGAATGTTTCGCCGTAGTTGTAAAGCCAAGCTGTTATGAAAGGATCTAACAGGTCAAACACCAAGATCATACAGCGAGACTAGATGGTGGTCCAAATGGGAGGTGTATCATCAGTTGATGGTACAGTTTGGAGATGTCGCAAGGTTCATAGGAGAGGCAAAGGACGCAAAAGTTTGCCCACAGCACAACTTCAAGCAATACTTTCTGACCCACAGCGACTAATGAGCTTGAAGCTTGAGCTTGCCGCTACTATTGATGTTGGCGAACATTTTGTGAAAGCCACGTATTTTTTGGAAGGGGATGGTCCTTTGGTTTTTGCTTGTTATGAGAAACTAAGCGCCGTTTCCCAACTTTGTCAAGCTCCTTGTTTCCTTAACGTCCGTGCAATTGCAACTACAATTTCGGAAGAAGACCCATGTCAGAACGTAACAGCACTTGAACGGAGTGCGAAGGCTTGTGTTGAGCCGGCAATTACGTGGTTTCTGAGAAAGTTCAATGTCGATCTTTATGATGTAGTGGTAGCATTCAAGGCTGCCAGACCATTCTGCCCTGTTACGATCCAGTGGCTTAAGCCCACAAATGCATTAGTAGAGTCTCTGAGAGCATTTCCTTTCCTGGATAGTGATACTACCATCGACGGTCTCAAAACCGAGCTTCCTGCCTATTTGGCTTCCGCTGAAGATGTTGTTATCCCGATTGAAGAGAAGAAAGTCGAATTGTGGTGTGAGCACGAGGAGCAACTTCCTCGTTGGGCTTCCGCAGTGAAGCAAGTTCTCCTTGTCCAACCATCGTCTGCTACGGCAGACAGAGTATTTCAATACTGAAGGCGTCCTTCAACGAGCAACAGAATTGTGCTCTTGTTGACTACCTCCAAGCCAGCGTCATGTCACAGTACAACAAGCGCTAAGGACTTCGAACATTAATTAACTGTTTATCATTGGACAAGTTTTGACTGTATCAGAAGTTTTATAAACAAACAATTAAAACACTTTTCACTTTATTCAGTTGCTGATACACACATGATGCCTGAGTTTCTACGTTTTGCTTGAAATTAAACAAAGCATTTTCTGAAATCAAAGTAGCATTATTTTGAGAATCGAGCATAATTTGAGCATTTTTTTTGGCGCAAAGCGGAATTTCTAGGAGCATAAAATGCCAGTTTTAGTATTATAATCGGGAAAGGCCTACCCTATGGAACCTCCTTAAAACTTGTTATTTTTTACAAACTCTGACAATGTGGCAAACATCTTGTTTGATTAAACATTCGATTTTATTAAAAGTTTGTTTGACCGAACTTCTGACATCAGAATTCATCTTTACTCTCATTAGTCAGGTGAGAAGGAGCCAATTACAAGTCTTATTAGCGGTCAGCGGTCGGTCACGAACACCAATGATCACATCATGACCAAAACGATTGGAGAGAGGTCTACGGAAGATTTGGGCGGGACAGTTTTTGAAACTTCTCACTGTAAGTAAGGAGTGAATCTGCACTGCGCTGGTAAAAATGCAGCATTTTCATTTTTTGAACTCGTTATTTTTTACAAACTCTGACCTTGCGGCAAGATTACTTATTGTTCACCTTTAGCGGAAGATCAGTCAGCTCTTTCCTATGACGTCTATTGAAATGATCTGAAGAAAGCAGCGCCAAAAGACTGAAAAACAACAACAACAACAAAAAAACGGTTAATGGGAACAAGAAGTCAAAGAAACCGACGATAGATTGTTTGTCAGGGCAGGTATGGCAGTCGTGATGAATGAAACTCAAGTGATCATAAACTGTTCTTTTGCGAAACTTCACAAGAATTTTGGACAAAACATTTTCGTCAATTGACTTGTTTCTTTTTTTTTGTTTTTTAACAACCTTATGTCTATATCTATTTGAGGGTCTCAGTTGGTGTGGGGTGGGGAGTGGGGGCGGGGTAGCTTTGACTGCTGAGTTTAATCTGAGTTGATGGTTAATTTTTTCCGATTTTGACGGCTGACGGTTAAATTCTAGGGCTGATGATAGAGGATATTTCTTAGATGATTTTAATTATTTAGCTATTTATTATTTTGGAACCTATTCACTCTTCCTTTGACGAATTAGGGTGAGTCGTACTTCTTGCAATAATGTATGATAAGTTTCAAGAATAACTTACTTCCACTGTTACACCTGCAAACCAAATAGATAAAATGTTATAGACCTCAAGCTGGATTAGACAAGGCGGTTTTCCGCAGCTGTTACCTCTTGCGGTCGATGTAACCATATTTGAGAACGTACGCCTGTTTATCACGCCAGTTTGTGAACATTTTACTCAACATTAGTGCCTTCAGTGAGCTGTTGTCACCCATCCTGATGTCCAAAACTGCGAAGTCTTCTCCATTTTCTTTTCTTTTCCTCTTAATTCCACACTAGGTAATCCAAAAACTACTTCATTGCTCACGTAGTGATTCCACCTGATCTGAAAAAACGGCAGGAAATATTGTGATTACTTTGTGTTTTAAATCACAATTTTACGGAAGAAGGGTAATTTCCGGGAAATTTCCGTCGAAACGAAACGAACCTTTCCCTTTTCAATGAAATGCTAGGCGTTGAACAGGTCTGAATAGAATAGAATAGATGGTCTCAGGTAAACTGCTAATTTAGCTGAGAGGCGTGAAAATTGACAAATTTTAACCCCTAGTCGTAAAAAAACTTTAACCGTCAAAATTTTCCTATCTACGATTTATCATTTTGAGAGTGCCAAAATGTTTTCAGTACTATTCCATATACATATATTACATATATTACTGTTTCATATACATACACAGCACTATTTTCACTATGCTATATTCCTGTGTATTACTTTGTGTTTGTATTTTTGTCGTCCTAGAATTGACTTAAGAAACTAACCGCCAACCGAAAAATGCCCAAAATTTTTAACCGTTAGCCGTAAGAGCAATCCACCCCAGTGAGATCCTCATTGTTTCTCCACTCTTAATTAACAAAGACATTTTGAATGCTTAAAGACCTAAGGCATTCCTTTTTTTCGAAAATACGTGTACAAACATATGGGCTACGTGAGAAAACGCAAGTACTAATATTGGCCCTCGCTTTCGAGCTCCGTTGGCGTGAGTTCCATGATACGACTGAGTGACTTAGTAAGTCCGTAAGGCTCGTTGCATGTGTTTTGAAATTGATGTTAGTAAAGGGAAAATAACAAAAGCCCCCTCCCCGTTTTGAACAGGAATGGATAAGCGTAGAGTAGATAACTTTAAAATGCCGCAGATGAGCGAGGAAAAATATTTTTTGTAGTTAACATTAATGTTCCTAAGTAGCCATCCTTAGAGATCAGTGCTCGCGTTTGAATATCCAATCCATAAAGATATTTGTAACCCACATCTTGAGAATTATCTCTCAGTTGTGTTCACAAAAGGATGTTTAAGTTTAAAGTTTGGTTTTGTAAAGCGATTGGCGACGTCCAATCAACTGCGGACGAATCAGATAAACTACGGTTTTACAAACAAACGAAACAATAGAAAATATCCGAACAAAACAATCACACAAATAGTTATTTTGTTAATGATGGGCCCTTGGATAAGTCAAGAAACTAAGAAGGGAGTAAGTATCGATGAAATGATAAACTCCACCCCAAAGACATTTGGAATTCAGTTTTGTTTTAGCGTTCTTGATAACGAATTGAAAGATATTTTCAGAACCTGGCTTTTGTTGAAACAAAATGATACGCTAAACAATGGGATTATGACCTTTGCATTCCTTTTATTTTACAACTTGTTATGGCTTCCTTTAATTTACGCTTGATTGGAATAATTTTACGTGATGTGCTTTTGAGAGAATATCCGCACTTTGCGATCACTATTAATTTCAAAATGCAACCGAACTGCAATTTTTTTACCTCATACACTATCTTTCATGCGAGTTGTTGCCCCGGCCAAATTTGTGTTATTTTTACACGTACGAAATTTCAGTTTCGCCATTTAAGTTTCCGTTCAATTTAGTCTGCCCGCTTTTCTTAATCAATTTACAAATTAAGCAATTTAAAGTCCATTTATGAACTAATCGGGAAGGAAAACATCAGCTACTCTGGGACACAAAAACATTACTCTGTTTTTCGTGCCTAAGGGGACCCCTGCTAGTCGACCAACTGTGACCCGTGGAATGTTTACAACAATTCACAGTAACACGAATTGTGGAATCACCAAACACTGTGAAACATGGCTAATATCGTTACTGTGATTTGCTAGATGGTAATACTGGTAGAAATTGCTGATTGAGATCATTGAAGTGGTGCCATGAGGGGAATTTTGTTTGAAAGTTTTGGCGCGTACTTTTGTAGTGCTGGACGCCGATAGTGAGGTGTTATGGCGTCACGGAATCGAACCTCACTCTCCTCGACCACTCGTAGTTCTTCGCCGGACAAATCTTTGGGATCAACAACGCCATCGCCTTTGGCGTCGACAGAGAAATTAGCAGCTTCTTTATCAGGTAGAATTTCTCCGTTAAAATAACTGTTCAAAGGTCTGAAGTACAGAGCTATGACACAACAGCTCCTCCGCGAATCAATTATCATAAGCTGTTGTAAGCCTAGTTTGAATTATTTCGATCGCTGTTTTTTTATTTTATTGATTACATAGTAAAAATAAGCTTATTTAGCCTCAGTTATCCCGCAAAACCTGAAACATTTAGAAAGAAATAAACTTGTATCAGGAATTTTACAGGTTGTTTAATCTGATTATCCGAAACACGAATGTGCCTAAGCCGTTTTAAGCTCGAAGTGCACGTGAAATACGATGTGAAACTTTATTTCCGTTTCGCATACCGTACTTTCGGAATGAATGCAAAATTCGTGCGTTTTCATGTCGGGGCCGAATGTTTCGTCCTTATAACTCGTTTGTTGTGGCTTAAAGGAGTGTTAAAACTTCGTCAACTGCAGAAGATCATTCAGTTCGAGAACGTTTATGGTTACTATGGATTCCAACATGGCTGCCAGACTCTTGGTTACTCTCTTAGGATTAAGTTAAGTTTGCTTTGTTAAAATCTTTTTCGTTTTAATAGAGGAACAATTATTGATACAGAAGAGGACATTTACAAGATGGATAAATCACTTTCTTCAAAAGGTAAGGGTTATTTGGTAATCCCCTTCCAATCTGTTAAGCTGAGTTAGATTTAAGTCAATTTGATAAGCATCAAAGGCAGTTTCAGGATTGTTATTTTGTTCATTAGATTATGACAAGACATCATTTTGTTAATTGTGTCAATAAGTCAAACCCATTCTGAAGTAATGAAGTCAGTTGGGAAGTCAGGAATGGAACCTGCTTTCAGCTTTTCCTCGGTTGTCTCTGAATTTTCTTTCTGCTATCTATTCAGTCAGAGGCAGATGGACAGTCTGTTTTTCGGTCAGTTGGTAGTCAGTTACTCATTCATACTAGTATCCTGTCTGGTAGTTGTCAGCTTGTTCACTGATCTGTCAAACAGTCAGTTACTCATTCAGTCTATCTATGATTGTTTATTTTGTCTGTTGTTTCCTCCATTATTTCTTGTTTTGTGTGTGTGCCACACTTGAAAGATATTTCTAATGTTGTTCTTAACTCTAACATTCTTCCATTATCTTGACATTGCTGATTCTAGTATTTAGTATTTATAGGAACCTTCCTGCCTCCCTGTAGCTCAGTTGTAGATCATCTGTTTACAAAGTCACAAATGATGCGGGTTTGATTCCTCATAGGGTACACAGATGTTTTCTTTCTCTCTCACCCACATCAAGTAATTAATGTCTTTCTTTTTATGAATCTTTTGGTTGCTTGTGTGGCTAGTGGGGTGTTTGGCTCTTTCACTTTTAGAAAAGGAGCCATTTTGTGTGCAAATAAGGATATAGGAAATAGGTATTTTGGTACTTACAGTCGGAAGATGGGTTAAACAAGCTTATTTTACTGTTTAAACAGAATCAAGTAGATAAGTACAAATGATGTGATCAACATGTTTCTATTTACTGTTTTTGACTGGAAAAGTTTTGACTCTGTTTTCAGTCTATTTTTGGTCTATGTCACACTGTCAGCCAACTGTCGGTAATGTGTTGGTAACCTGTTGGCTGACAGTTGACTAACAGGTTACAGACAGCTGAAAAAAGGGGAACCATTGTTCACTCTTACCCATATATCTACAACCACTAGTGAAAGTGATGCTTCTTATTCAGTGACTTATTTGGTGATAGTCACCATGAAATCAGCTGATTACTCAGTAATATCAATTTTGACACAATGAGAGACCAACCAAGTCTTCTAAGTAATATTAAGATCCTTGTATTTTAGACAACTAGTTTTTAGTCATTCTCTTCTTGTTTGACAGTTTATCTAGTTTACATTTGAACTATCAAATTCATTTGCTTTCAAAACAGCACAAGCCTCCATTACATATTGATGAGTTAATTGAGGAGCTTAAAGATGGCACAAAGTTACTGGCTCTGTTAGAAGTGTTGTCAGGAGAAAACTTGGTGAGAATAACAACTGCAATAGTTATCTTGTTCCCATAAGTCTTGAAGAATGAGCCAAATAGGTTATAACCTAGCACATAACGGGGTAAAAGGGACAAGGTTTTTAAAGAGGCTGTGGTGTTGCATAGTTTTATCAACTAAGTTGATCATTGAATTGGCCACCATGAAGAGATTATAAAGTTAACCTGATGTTCGGAAGCATTAGCCCTGATTCACTTTGATGAGGGGCCAACACTTAAGCTCATGACTCATTATTTGTAACCAACATTTCAACTGATCTCAGTGTGCATGTATGACTGTAATATTTGCACTTTCAGCCCAAAGAAAAAGGAAATAAGAGACCACATCACCTTGCAAATGTTGGAGCTGCCTTGAAATTTTTGACAACCAAAAATGTAAGCATATGTAATATAGAGAAGTGAAACTAAATGTATCAGTCATGAATATTAACTTTATTAAAATGTACTGCTCGTGGTTATAGGTAAAAAATATAGTTAAAAAGACTTTTAAGTTGTGTAAAGAAGGAGGTTAGGGGAACACCGATAGGTAAGATCAATAAACATTTTCTCAAGAGGTACAGTACATTTGTTAGTTATTAGTTAATGTTCATTTTTCTATGATGCTGAGGTCACAATTTTTTGGTGGTTTCGGCAGGCATATTCTGAGTAGTCTTTACTAACAGAGATGGTCTTAATAATCCAGTGATTGTGAAATGAACTCAAAAACCTTTTGCCTAACTTGAATGTATGGATTACAATCCCCTCTTTCCATATGTTCTTTTCAGGGATTAGAGAATAGTTATTCTTACAAGAATTGTAATGTATAGGCACAGAGACAAATGTGTAAATTATGGTGAGATGTACACAGATATGGTTAGAGAACTTACATGTCAATTTTTGCATGTTCTAGGTGAAAATTGTAAGCATCCACAGAGAATCTGTAGTTGATGGAAACCAAACATTTGTTCTTCTATTGATCTGGGCCATTATTAACCATTATCAGGTAAGCAAAGTCATGCTCACCCAAGTGGGGAGAGGTTTGGATTCAACAAGCATAGTTCATTTGAAAGATAATTGGGTTGTGGCCACCTTCTGTTGATGACATCCTGTGTGTGTAAAATTTTTTCAGACTAAGTGTATGTCATGAGGAGGCAGTGTGGCTGAGTGTTAAAGACCCTACTGGCTAGGCTTGTAATCAGGTGGTCCTGGGGTCTGACAAGTCCTCCACTCACAGGGGGGCCAAGCTATCTGTTAGAAGATAATATTATAAAGCTTTGTATGGGGGTTTAGGCTCTGCTGGAACCAAATAAATAATATAGCATATGAACTCCAACTCCTTGGCTGCACTTTGTGTATTGTCAACTGGTCTGCATCCTACTAGTTTGGATTTTTAACCTGGATGTTCATTTATTTATTCATTCATTCATTCTTCTGTATTATCCTTGAAAAGCTCCCTTGGGGGAGTGGTCAATTAACCTAATATCACTCCCAAGATCTCATGAGCAATTCTCCTTACTGCCTGTCATTAAATACTTATGATGTCAGTTTGGAGAATTTGGTATTGGATCAACTTGTAGTTCCTTAATTGAGTTTTCTTCTTTATTCTCAACACTTGTGTGCTTGATGCTGTATCGATAATGTAAGGAGAAATTCTTTCTTGGTCACTCTTGGGAGTTAAAGGGTTAAGTATACATCTCAACATGACTATGGCTTGCCATTCTTAGTAAAGGACCTTTTTTCTACTCAATTAGTGTTTTTGTCTATGCAAACTTTTATTAATCAACTCGGCAACTCATTACTAAGATTAGACAGTAGGTTGTCTGATAAACATTTATATTGTGTACCAGGTGGAAGGATTTTATGCAAACAAAAAGAAGTCTAGGACAAAGAAATCTCTCCTGGAATGGTCTCAGAAAGCTATCCAAAAAGCTACAGGGTAACTTCCATTTCATCTTCATTGTAATTTAGAGCAAAGATAGTTATTAATATATTAGAGCAGTTTTCAAATAAGAAACCAAAGCCAAAGTAATCACAACTACCAGTCAGGACAAAGGTTACCAGTGTATATCTGGTCACCTGATGAAGACTAGCAGAGTACACTCATTGCAGTAGTCATGAATGCATTTGATAGCCTGACTCTAAATCAAGTGACATTAATGATTTTACAGATGTTTCATGTATTATGTAACTTCAGTTATCATATCGCCACAGGATTAGTGAAGCTGTGAAAAACTTTAACACCAGCTGGAAGAATGGCATGGCATTCCTGCAGATTATTCATGCATTTAGGTAAGATTGTATCATGGGGGACTCTGTTATATTTTTTTCTAAATATGATATTTGTATAGGCAATGACATGACTTCAAATGCATTTAGGAATAAATAAGCACAAGTAAATTTTTCCAAAGACTAACAAAGTTGTATAAGCCTATAGGGTGAGTGCAATTTGTGGTCTTTGAAAAAATTTACAAGTGCTTATGTATGTCAAATTGCACGAGAAAAATCATGTGATTACGTATTAATGATATACATGAAAAAAAAAATGAGATAGCTTATCATAATTATGCAGAAGCAAAACACGCACATCAAGTGCAAAAATAATTCATTCAAACCCTGCAAGTGGCATTGTGCATTTGGTCAAAACAACTGCATATGATCAAAACAATAATAAACAGTGATATTTTCACATCTTTCAGGTGCAAAAAAGTTCAAAGTCAGGCTAAACAGTTCAAGGAATTGTTCAGTCCAGTTTGTTACTTCTTTGCACTGAATTAACCCTCTTCTGCATTGGATTACCAGAAAACTGCATTATCTTAACCAATCAGAATTGAATAATTTTTTCATTTATCTTATTAGTTTTAAAACAGTGCAAGAATTGATCTTTCAAATGCCTTTTAATTTCATAGTTCAATTTTTTGTATGCAGTCAAACTGAGGTCATGATTTTATTAAAACAAAGGCTTAACCTCAAAATTTTTTAAGTTGGCTTGTTTGAACTGAATACATATTTTTCTTGCAGTACTAGCTGTTAGTCTTTTGGAAAAATTACTGTGTATATGAAACGTTTTTTTAACCCTTCACACCTCTTACATCAAAATGCAAGTTCTCCATACTTTTCTCTTATATTTCCTATGGTACTTGTAAGGAGAATTTATCTAACAATTAAGAGCTTCCTAAGTTCACTATCATGTCTTTTATCGCTATAACCCTAATGTTTAATTTAGTGGTTATACCGTTGGAAGGAATTACATGTTTATTACTCTTAGGTGTTAAAGGGTTAAATTGGAGATGGTTTACGATGCTGTTCTGTGAAACAACGTGCGGCCAAAATTTATCATACAACCAGCCCTATCAATTAAAACTTATCAGTGAAATACTAGTTTAGTGATGTTCCCTTTGGAGATATTAGACATAACTGACATAATAGCTGAACCTCATTAATGTATCTCAGTATTTCACGAAATTTGAGGTCGAATCTGCTCTGTCACCTGGCTATGTGTTCAGACATTTCACAGCCTCAACATTATTCTCCCAGAATGCACTAGGTAATGACAAGCACCCCGCGAGCAAAGTGAGTGCAAAGTTTGTTGTTTGTCGCGTGTTTGACGTTTCCGCTGTGTCTTTTAATGATCACCTGCTTCATCCTCCGCCATTTGGGAATTAAATGTTGGTAGAAATTTCTAGTTTAGTCGTTCTGATATTTGGAGGGACTGAATAAGCACAGAACTCTAAACTGCATGAACACTTCAATGAAGTTGCGTATTCGTGCTGTATGCTTATTTTTTTTCCAAAATAAAACGATAATGAGGACAAAATGTACGATTTTTGAGGCATTTTTGGGCATATTTTAGTGATGGTGACTCGTTATGTAAAGGAGAGTTAAGTAATCAGGACAGTCTAATATCACTGAGTCAAGACGAACCACTTACTAAAAATCTTTCCTATCTTTTTACATACATGACGTTGTGCAGGGTACCTGTCACCTATCAACCATAGTACATGTACCTCAGCGATAGAAAAAAAGAGCATCTTTTTTTAGGGTTCTTTTTTGTTCAAGTCTGGGGTGTAAATTTTAACACATCAAGAGATCATGTGGAGTAGCCAGAAAGGTTTTCAATGCGTACAAAAAGCGCTCATTTTTTTGTGTGTGCGTATGAAGTAGATGTATATATGAAATTTTCAAATTACGTACATTTTTAATGGCACGAATCGCTCTGCGTAAAGGGGTTTGGAAATGAAGATTAAACCTCATTTAAATACACTTATGGATCTGCAAGTAAATTAATTTGCAGGTGGTTTTGTTTTAATAAATGAAGTTATTTAATTAGTGCCGTGTTTGGAAAACATGGTTGTTTTCGCAACATTTCCCTTTTTGTCAAGTGTTGCGCTTGAAGCTTTAAACTCGAAATCTTTCGTTCTAACTGCAACCTGGAAATGGGCGGTTGTACAAGTTTGGTCAGTTGTTTACGAAGGCGGATTGGAAAGCGGTAAATTGGGCTAAAATTAACAATTAAAGAATGCATTCACACGAGAGGCATGAGGCTAGTCAATACCGATTCTTAGCTTTGGTCGACTGTCTCGAAGTGAAGCAGGCGCCGTGAGAATTGTTGCTCCTCTTTAGGAGGGTGCTAGCTCTCGTAAAATCATCACAACAAGGATGGTTGTCTCCCTGCTCGCTACAATTTACCTCAGAGTTTGATTTTGTTATATGATCAGCAGAAAAAACGTGGTCAGAAACGTAACGTCTTATGATATGCAACAGTGTTCGAACCCTGAACTTTCCATGTGTAGCATAGAGTCGTGTCTCTTTGGACTGCCGTACAATTGTGTGTATAACTCATTGCAGTTCTAACTTGCATATGCATTACTGTGGTTTGAATTTTTAGGCCTGATTTGGTGGATATCGGCTCAATGCAAGGTCGCAGCGACGTTACAAATCTGAAGGAAGCGTTCGATGTGGCTGAGACACATCTTAAAGTGCCCAAACTTTTGGATCCAGAAGGTGTGGGAATATTCCGTTAACTTACCTATGGTGAACAGTTTCAAATAAACTTCGGTAGGGTTAAGTGTGGCCCAGTAATGGAACGATTTTTCTGCGCAGTGAAATAATTGTCTCTGGGTCCACAACACAAGTGTTTTCTTTTCGTTGAAAACAGTGAAAAAAAACAACAACAAATTATGTTCTTCAAGAAAGATTTCTTAGTAAAAACCTTGCACTAAATTAGACACAGTCTTCAAACTAAACAAACACCAAATAGGATTTAATCTTGGAATCGATATGAGAGGAATCTTTTCGTAAATGGTTATGTTTTGAGAGCAAGCTTAATATCAACGTTGGTTATTCGTAGGCTCTTCTGTCAGATTCACACCTCCAACAGGTTCAATGGGTCGCGTGACTTTTCGCGTGACTTTTCGCGTGACTTTCGTGCGACTTTCGTGCGCCTGGTACTGGCTTCGCCTTCCTTCTTTGTTCTCTGATTGGTCCGAGAGACCAGATACCGTTTCGAGAATGATAAAGTTAATCAATAGTTTAAATTTTGAGTTTTAGGACATTCTTTCAAGCGTGTGACGTTTTCTTCACAGACCTTACTGTGGAAAAACCTGATGACAGATCTGTCATGACATATGTGGCGACACTCTGTGACACTCTTGAAGCACAGAAAACGAAGTCCCCAAAACGACCTGCCTCACCGTTGAAAACCACACCAAAAAGACCGTCCTCGAGCTCTCCGAGCCCCTCTTCAAAAGGAGTCGGGACTAGAACTCTTAGTCCCGAACCAAGCTCTCCCGGGTCGCCGAGAGAGCAAGCCAGAAGGAGCCCCTCTCCGGCAAGAACAAAATCAACAGGAACAACTTCTCCAACGAAGGGAGGTAACGAAAAGGCAGTTACCTCCTCACCTACCCCTCCCATAAAAACAAACGAACAGACTAGAAGAAGTTCATTGCCTCTGAAATCCAAAGATCAGAAAACTTCCTCCGCGGGAAATGAAACAGTCCGAGGAAAGCTGACTACACCCAACTTAAACTCAGCTGCCAAGGAAAGCTTTAGAAACGGAACCCCAAGTCCTAAAACGTCTACTGTGGAGGAACCCATGGACATCTCTCCCACTAGAGAAACGAATCCCTCGCCGCCGAAGAGACGCGAAACTCGATCGCCTAGCCCTTCGCCAACTTCGGCTGCACCGAAAAAGCCTCGGGTAAGCCATGGGAAACTGTCAGTGGCATCGGATCATGCTGATAGGTTGAAGAACAAGAGGCATTCACTCGCTGTGGAAAGCAAGAAGCTGTCTGCAGCCGGCGATTCCGGCCGCAAGAAGAGGGCAAGCTTTGCCGGGTCGCTCAGTTCGGTGCGTAAGCTTAGCTCAACGGGACCTGCGCCGATGGATGTTGATTCCTCTTCGAGTGATTTGGAAGAGTCCGAGGTGAGATCACTTTTTCGATGTTTTATTTTTGTTGTACTTGTGCGCCTGATAGTAGTTCAATGAAACAATACGTGAGCGCACCAATCATCGGAAAGAACTAGCAAAGAACCATTAAAAGAGGAAAAAAGAAAGACAAACACACAGACAAACAGACAAGGGTTAAGAAAAGACACTGAAAGATGTGAGATTTCGCAAAAAAAAAACATGCAGTTATACAAGTTCTGTGTAATTAATACTAGGGTCGCGGCGCACAACGACGGTCGGTTGAATTTTATCATAACAATAACAAAAGCAATGATAGTAGCAAAAAGGGGAATAACCCCGATTATTGAATTGAATTGGCAGCAAGAGTAAACTACCGCATCACACTCACAACACTGATGAAAAAAATATTGAAAATGAAGAAGTTAATAGATAAATGAAGATGGGAAAAAACAACAGCGGGCTCAAAAGCAATCATGACACCAACCTTTCAGCTGTCGTTTCCCTACCGCTAAAATTATTTAAGCGGTTATTAAGAATTTTTTCCTGGTTGTGTAAAAGAGAATTTTATGCACACTGCATTTTGAATTGCAAGCTTCTCCAGTGTAAAAGTTGCCGTTTAAGATGAAATTCGCGGCATATTCCTAGAGTTCATCTTTTCCTTCGTTTAAACGTGGTGTATTAGTTTTCTGTTAGACTTTGGTTCCGTTGATTTCAAATCTTTCGTGAATTATTTCATTCCCATCATCGTTTCTATGATACCACTCATCACGTCAAAATATCCCAGCTCTTATTAATATTTATGCTTCAAGAAAATCCTTCGTAATTATTGTGTTTATGCTGATGAATATACAACAGACATTCAAAATGTCTGCCTGCGGTGAGAACATTTGACGCGAAATCAGTTCCACAATTTGTGGCGATTTGGAGCAGATTTACAGCCTTCTTTTGCTAGAGAATGACGAAGTACGTTTTTCTTAGATATCTGCTGATAATATTAAGTGCACACGTTAAAGTTTGTTTTATTATATTATAGTTATATGCCTTGGAGTGTTGGCACAGTACATATTAATTGCGTTATAAAATTTAGTAAATCTTCTTCCAGTCGCGGGAAATTTCAGTCGATTGAATCAGTTATCGTAAAAGAGATTAATTTTAGTGTTTTGGAATGAAAACTTCCTCGTTAACTTTCCTAATCGCGGTAGTAAGAAGTCAGATTCATCTCATTGGTGTCCATTAAAACTTGCGTTAAGCTTATTTTTATACAAATGCTGAGTGTTTTGTTTTGTTTTAATTATTTAAAGGCCAAATTCGTCCAAGATAGGCAAGATTAATTTAGAGGAACTGTTTCAGCTGAACATTGAATTGCGGTATTACGTAGACTGTTAAGTACCTTTAGCTGCACCTGAGTTAGAAAAACAGTTTTATTTTTAGACGTAAGCTTGTGATGTCCATGTTGTGACTGTTTCAGTTCTGTTTTGGTTATGTTTATGATTTATCATGGATGAAGTGGTGTTAACTTGCAATAGCAGTCTACTTACGATCTTGCTTTCAAATGCAAATACCGTGGAATATGCTGTAAGCTTTTCGCACAACCACTGGCAGTGAATTGCCTTCCTAAAGATGAGCCCTCCAGTTCGTTATGTAGCTTTGTGCAAAGACTTAATCCGTTCAAGACGAATGTGAAACGTCAGAAGAACAAACTTAACTTTACATTTGATTCGGAGAATATACTCACTTTTTTCTAACTTCGATTTTACGGACTAACTGCGGAGAAAATCTAGCAAAACATCAACTGGTGCGTTGGAAACGTGCGAACTTTTATAAAGCACCCTATTCGAATATTGATCTTTTTCTCAATGAAAATACGATGATTCACGTTCATTTTTCTCGATACATTCCTGATGGAGTTATTATTTCTTATGAACTTCCATTTATTCTGAAATTTATATATCCAGTTGAATCCTATTTAGGATGCAAATCAGCTAATCTTTTCTCAGTTTTATTGCTGCTTCAAAGCGATATCCATTTTTTTTTATGCTTTTTGTCGAACAATGTGGTTTACATTCTAATTTACAAAGTCCTCCTCACCTCCCAAGGTTCGCATTTTGTTTTGATACGGGAATATATATTATGTCTGTATTGAATCGTTATTATGTGTCACGCGTCACAGCACGCGACGAGTCTTAAAAATCAGGTTCGGATATTCTCATTGTCACGTAATGTACGATTGACTATGCCATATTATTTACGTGGCCTATGTGTTTTGACTGCCAGTTCACTTCGGACAAAGCTTAAGCCTGTACAATAGTTCGATGAAGTTACAAGGACATTTTTTTGTTACATGTTGAGCATTTTTTAATGATACTCCTCTCTCATTTGAAACTCTGTCAATTAACTTAGGATAGTCGTCGCCATGGCAAGGAATATTCCTTAAACTTGCATGTTCATTTATTAGCTGTTGATTTAACTTGAATTTGGAGAGATGAGTCTCCGCATGCTATCGTAATTATTTTTTTGTGATATTATTTATTTGAGGTATAAATGGTTCTTCAGTTCAAAATTCGCTACACGATCATTTCTGATCTCTTGTTCAACAAAGAACTGTGAAGTAAAGTTCACATTATCTCTTAGATTGGAGAAAGGAAATTTAAACAAGGTTTTGAAATTAAAATATATATATATATATAAGTGATTGACTTCATTCAAAGGCAGTCAGGGTCCCGCTATACTTCCGGCAAGAAATGAAGTGTCATTAAGTGGTGTAACATGTCTATTTTTTTTTCTCGGTCTTTCCGCATGTCAAATGTGAATTTCCAATGTAGACGTTGCAATGTTGAGGACAAAACCTTTTGTTTTTCTTTGGCCAAGGTTTGGGAAGAAAACAATTTTAAGATCAAAGCGACGTGTAAAATTTTCAAGCAAAAAAAATTGTTTAGTTTTAAAGTTATATTTTCTTAAGATTGTGCATTTGTAGATAGGCAAATCAGCGATAGGCATCGCTGATTTAAAAGGGTGTAGTTATTTCGTTCGATTTGAAATGCTGAAACAATATTTAATGTATAGTTCTTTGGTAATAGGGTTAAAAGTATGCCTCAGGCAACATCCTTGAATGGTTCAACACTTTAAAAGATTAATTGAGGATCTTCTGTCGTCTATTGAACGTTATTCAAGATATCGCCGAGAGAAAAAACATTTGAGCTATAAAATGTAGAATTCATTGAATTGACATTTTCGTCTAAGCTCTGTCATCTGTTCCTTTTTTGTCTTCAATAATTTTCTCCGCTAGACAGATGTTCAGACTTAAGCCTGATGAATATTCATGTATCGAGTACAATATCAAAACCAAGATGGCTCCTTCGCCAGGATAATGTTGACATTAGTATTTGGTTTGCATTTTATATTCAGAGGTGGGTATTAACTCATCAGATAAGGACTCTTGTGTAAGATATATAGGTTTTTAACTGTTTCTGTGATTGCTTTTCCTCCGACATAAGGAAATAGAGATTTATCAAATGGAAATGGAAATTCGAAGGTGAGAATGACAGTAACGCATTAAAAATTTTGGTAGAAATGTAAATTTTAGAGTTCAACTTTAATTTATACATAGCTTTGAAAGGGTACTTTATTTCAGTTACCTATTTTTTAAAAGAAGTCGCGATTAATTTCAAAGGCTGGCTCTTTTACCGTAAGAATATATACTGAAGTATTAAGGACATAATGAATTTTTGGTTAAATTTACGATGCAAATTAATCGTCAATGAAGTGACGATTGCCTATCGAGTTTTGACTTTCGTTTCTTGTCTGAAAGATTGAAAATATTTCTGATTATTTTAAAGTAAATATGGAAGAAAAGCGAGATGTGATCAAACACCGTTAAAACAGTTAAACTGTAAGAACCTTCATCTTGTCGTTTGAATATTAAGGTAAGGTAGGACAGACTGAAAAATAATTGAACGGGAAACTCAATTTCAGCGACCTAATCTTTACACTGTCATTCTATTTTATAAGATTTATTTTTCCGGGAACAGACTGAAACAAAGCTGCCTTGACCTTAACACATACATCGAAAAAACTTTTGAGTATTTTTTACAATTTATGTGCTACAACTTCTTGGAATAATTTGTAATGTGCCATCATTGCTTGTGCTGTGGAAGAAGTAAAATTCTGTACGAGGTATGGAAATTTTTTATCAACATCTGTGCCGTAAAGAGGAATAGCAAAGAGTAAAGAATGTTTACATATGAAGTAATTTACAAACGAATTTTAGAGGCTAATTTTTCGCTTTTTTTAATACACTTTTAATTACGTCGGCAAAGTAAAAACAAAAAAATATATATACTCCGCCCAAATAATGAAGATAAAACTATATAACTTCTTAATTTTAAGAGCAGTTGAATTTGGAGTACTTAGGTTGAGCTTTCAGTAAAAAGTACATTTAGTTTAAAGCAGGTTATGAACCGTGGTTCTAGAAGTGACAAATTCAAAAACGATAGCAACAACAATAAACACAAGCAATAACATTAACATTTTTTTTTAACGTAAGACTGATATCGATACAAAAGCGAGCTTTAATTCCATCGTCTGTACCATTCATAGTGAAATGCTGTGTACAAGCTACATCTGATTACTCTTCTACACTGAACTGTCATACTAGTGGCCCAATAGTATAATCTATATATAATATACTTACCAAGTTCAGCTTTTGAGATGCAGCAAAGTAAATCTTGTCGTATAGGGGTGTTTTACTTGGATACCGCACTCTGTTTCTTAATTGCCCTCTTAGTCCCAAGCAGTGCAGGCTTCAACACTTACTGACGGCCCTTCAGTTTACAGCGTAAGTTAGACTGCGTTACATCACGAGGAAATGATTCAAAGTCTAAGTGTTTATTGATAGCACTCAAGTCTATCGACGGTTGTAAGTAGCTTGTGCTACAGTTTTGAAAATCTTAAAATTCCAGAGATGTTTCGTTGACGCTCTAATTAGAATATGATCGCTTTCGTGACTATATGTGGTGGTTTTGTTTCGGCTTGTTTGCTCAATTGGTTTGATTCCCGATTTCCGCAATTATTTCTTTGGCATTAAAGTTCTCCAGCCAAAATTTCTCAAAATCATCGAAACTGCAAAGGAGGTGGTTACCAAGGAGACAATGTTGTTTACATGTGGGTGGACGTCAAGCTGAGCTCTGATTAAGAACGAGGTTTTTTTTCTTACTTTTTCGCATGCTCTAGGTAACAAGTTAATTGTAATTAAGTTTAGTAATCCAGCTAGTGTGGTTTTGGAGTAGACATGCTAGTCTCAAGATTGTTAATGAAACTTTTATTTGCTGAAGAAAGGTTTAACCACTTAGTTTTGTTTGGCGAAGTTTTTCATGTTTTGACGTAAACGTTTTTAAGTTCATGTTTTCTTTATCTGTTTTAGTCACGACTCTGCCCTTGAAGTAAACTTAGAAGTGCTTTTCATAAAACTGTTTTCTAAATTTGCTTGAAACTTTGTGACTCTAAGATAATCTGTGTACAAATGCTTCTTAAGTCCCCGTCAAAATTAATTTTCTGGATGAAAGAGCACAATTTGATCAGCGGTGATTTTGACGTATTGTTTGATAGATCGTGTTTTGCGAATGAAACCGATACGATCTCTTTTGTTAGCCTTTGTTTGTTTTCATTTTCGCCGATGTACAACACAGCGTACCTCGTGTGCAAGGTACGCACCATTGTAACCAGTTTTCCAATTACTTTGGAGGATACTTAAGAACAATGCAACGGAATTTAATCTTCTTAAAGAATTCCCAGGAGAAATCTGGCCTGAAAACAACGCTGTGTCAAGGGTTAGGTAGGTTTGAGGTAGTGTCTGTTTTCGTGTCACTATCAGCAATCATCTTTCACGAACAAAGTTCAAGCGTAGCGATTGATCGAAGTGAACGTGTAATTTTTCCTCGCTTGAGTTTAGTATCAGCCACTCATGTTAAAACGCATTATCATCAGCGTCTTTCTGCTGTAAAAGGTCTAAAAGCTCTTGAACGTTTAAGAAACAAACGAACAGAAAACGCTCTAGTCAAGGAAAGGAAAAGATTTCTCCATGATTACCTTATCAGAAGTATCGCCATGGTAAGGAGTGTTGGGAGTTTTATTGTTACACTAGTCTAGTATTATGTGTACTCGTACAATGGGATAAACTGCGAACAACAAGAGGACATTAGTTACGCTCAGAAGCCTCGGTATAGAGCTTCCTACCGCACTGTTGTTTTTCTTATGTCGTTTAAATGGCGAAAGGTTTTCTACACTTGCAACGTTTAAGGAAAATCTTGTTATAGTGATAAAATACGCATTCTATCGCATGTGTTTTTTAACACATCAAGCAAAACTTCTTCCAATTTCACATCTTATATTTAAAGTTTCCTGAAATTAGTTTCCTTACTCAACCGAAGCGATAAGCTCAAGGAAATACCTCACGCTTTAAATCACACAATTGCGTGACCGCTGAGAAGCGTCCAAGACATGGAAATGACTTTATCGTCACCTTTTGAGAGGATATTTTCACCTAAGGAAATAAATACCCAAAAAAACTCGCTCAATTTGAACTATGAATTGTCAATCCAAATAAAAGAGGAAAAAAAATTTTTTTTCTTGGGTGTTACGCAATTTTACACATTTCTTTATTAGAAGTGAAAGAAAGCTAGACATTTATTTCAATAGTAGCTAAGAGTCAAGGGTGCTCCGTAAATTTGGGATTTTAATTAAAATTTTTCACACGAACTGCACTCAAGCAGTAGATAAAGTTTTAGTGCGGCACAGAACATCAAAGAACACAGATATCGAGGATAACAAGGACAACAAGAACGCTTCCAATAAATGGAAAAAAATTCGCTTGTTGGGTTTGCAATATTGTAAATTGTCTTTCGCCAGCAAAATCAGTTGCTGAGAGTTAAGGCTATTGTAGGTATTCTTTTTTTTTTTTTTATCTTTTCCCCTTGACAAGAGGTGTACCTAAATCTTTCATTGGTGGGAGGTCGGTATATTTTCTTAAAAGTGCTCTGTGTTTTTTCTTTTGATGCTAAAGATAGGTGATGCATATCACTGGAAAAACTGGTTAGGTGTAGCTTCGGAAGATAGTGAATGGCTTTCATTATGAAAACGAAACCATTTTTCTACTTTACGTTTTCAGGATGATGGTGACGAGTTTGAGGTTGGATGCGAAAAGAGAGACGTTGAGCATGAATATAAGGAGATCATAGATTGGTTAAACGATGTGGAAAGTCGAGCTTCTCTGATGGAACAACAATGGAGCGAGGAAGGCGAAGAAGATGAATCCAAAAAGAAACGTAAAGGGGTGAGATTGAAATGTTCATCTGACTCAGCTAGCAGCATTTAAGTTGACGATAATTCAAACAAAACGAGAAAAACAAAACAAAAAAAACAAGCAAAAAAGTTCATGTTGATATCGCTCCGTGATGTTGTCGTTGTTTAGTGTTGAACTGTCATGCGCAATTAGCAACAAATAAGGGGAAAAAGACGCTTAGGGTTGATTTAGATGTTAACAGAAACTGCATGGTTATCTTATCATACCCTTTTACTCTAAAGATCTCATTACTATTTTCCTCTCTGTCTTTCATACATTCTTATAATTTCAGCTTTGGGAATTTTATGCTAGAGCAGCTCAATCGAGCAATACCTCCTTGTTGGAAAATTTTCTTTGTTCTCATTACCTTACCGGCTGGTATTGTATTTCCATGCCCCTTCCTACAGTGAAGGGTGAATCTTCCACTTGCATTTAGATGGCATGCTCGATGCAGTTTTTGCCGAGATTCTGATAACAATCGCCAACATCCTGTCGGATCGTAAGTAAATGGGTGAAGAAGTTATCAGTGCACCTCTGTCTTACGAAGCAATCATCTGATCAATTTAATTCTGACATCTATAAGCATACGTGACTCACGGTTCTGTCTAATCAAGCTTTTAGTGGCATACGCTGAGTTGGTAGTCTGTTCAATGTGGTCCATCCCCTCCCTCAGCGCAATTTTTGTTGAGTTGTCTTGAAAGTTCTTTCTAACATTTGTGCACTTAGCTCTGGTTTTCTGTCAGGTAACCAACCATAATCATAGATCAAATGTTGTCGATTATTCGATTTATTACACAGTCACACAAATGTCAATTTTTCTGTGGGTTTTACGTTGGGTGGCAGTGAAACACAAATTTTGAGGACACGAACATATAGAAAACACAGTGAAATTATCTCTTCGCATTATTGACCTTTAACAGAACTTAAATCAAACATAATCAATTATCTATCTGGCGATTTGAAATTTATGACGTGACGCGTAGGCGATTGACCGTATCCCCCTTACAAGGATGATGCAGTCAAAACGTGACGAACTACATCATTTGTGATTACGTGAGCCAAACGGTTCGGCTTTGTCACACTCCAGCGGTAATTTTACCAAGCTGACCGCCCGAACCTGACCTTTACTGAAATCTTAACAAAACTATTCAGGCACATCATGAAAAAGTAAAGAATTACACCGTTCGACAAGATTTAAAGATAAGACTAATGACTATACAATACAATTTGAAATTTCGTGGGTGAGTAGAAAAGGTCAATTCAGAGGCAGACACCACAAAAACAACTGTCTACCACATGACCCTTTTCCAGGCCCCAACGAATTGTATGGAAGACATTTTCCATTTATTTTATTTCACACTGGTACTGGAAAATAACACTTTTATATGTGATAACCAATCCGTAGCATACAGACAGAAAGATCAGGGCTTTTTGTTCATTTTTTACTGCTTTCCTTTTGTGAAGAAATTTGAAATTCGTATCAGTCAGCTTGTTTAGGATTTAAAATGTGCAGCATTTCATGCATTCACTCAAGCGTAGTATCTGTAATCACTGATCCGTTTAACAGAGCTATAATTACCAAAAACAACGCTTGCAATTTTCCACCTTTAGCGTCGCTTTTTAATGTTTTTCTGTTGAGTGATGTGTCTAAGCAACTGTTAATCCATTGTTTAATTTCAAGCTATTTTACTCACACAATAGGTAAAAACTTAGAAAAACAATTGCGACTTATCTTTTCACGTAATTTGCATTGATAAAATCTTCGACCATTTATGCACTAACATCGAAGAAAACGACAATGAGCCTGCTGTAAGCTGCCTTTATGACTCAAAATTACGATCGTTGTCGTTCAATGTACGTTTTTCTGGGAACATTTACTTTTTACGAACATGGAGCTCTGACTTCTGGTTACTGGATCGCTGCACGTCGCTGTTGCGATAATTTGTCGACAAACACTCTCGAGGTACGTTAAATAACTTACTTAGTCAACGAGGAACATTTAAACAACCTACTTAATCAAGTGAAGAGCGAAGCTCCGTCTTCACTCCACTTGACCAGACAAATTTCAAAACGTAACGGTATTCCTACTTACACACAAACCCGAATGAATTTTCCGAAGAGAAAGGCGCTTTACGAAAACGCTCGTCATGGTATTAAAATTTGAATGTAGTGGATGTGAATGTACGGAATGTTCCAGCGTCTTTTTTTTGTTTTCCTTTTCAAAAATCTACCTTCGTTACATAACCAGAGGGCAATGGCAAACTTATGGCAAAATTATCAGGAAAGTTATACGGGCCACTTGAAGTCGTGACTGCACTTGTTAATTGAGGGTTAGATTGAAATCCAGAGCTCTCTTTCTGCTGATTGTTTGCTTGCAAAAAAGGCGAAAGATACCGACAACGATCACTTTGCCGCTTAAGTTGTTCACCGTAAAACACCGATTATACATAGATATTTTTGTTGTTATGGACATCGTTTCGACTACAATGCAACGGCAATCGCTGCATACATCGAGGGCATTGATGCTGATCAGGCGATAGGCTTGTAGCCAATTTTATTATGATAACCGTTAATCACTGTGTTATTTTGACACAAGTTGTAGTCGTCATACCACGATTAAATGTTAACACAGATTCTCTTAACTGCTTAATAGCTTGGAATGTTTGTCGCTTACCAATTTATACAAAAGGAAAACTGTAAAAAGTTCAGGTTACGTAAATAAGAAATTTGAAAGAAGTTATCCATGGATTGTTTTTGTGATAAATAACGTAATTCTGCTGGGTCGTTACATTGGGTCACGCTAAGAGATAATTAGGGGACCATTGTTTTCTCTTGGTCACGCACATGAAGCCACGCACTTTGGGACACCCAGCTTTCCGCGAAATGTGTAAGTGGAGAAATGAGTCGCGCTACATTCCCACATAATTCTAATGTATGTAGAAACCCACTGCTTGACCTTTGTCAGAAAGGCAGTTCGTATTGATCCAAGATTAAAAGTTTAACTTCCGGTACAGTAATTCCTCTTGAGGAAAAGTGTATAGTTTGGAGGGATTTTACAATGAAGTTCTTAACTTGGAAGGCATTATCATTTAGAATGTTTTATTTCTTCAACAGAAACAGATACAAATCTTTCGACAGCAAATTCAGCGCCGTGAGTATCACATTAGTCGGATTGTAGAGAAAAAATACCCCGAGTTCACCCTTGCTGAAGACAAACTTAAGGTGCTGGTCACAAAGTGGGAAATAGTCAAACAGAAAGTAACCGTGTTGGAAGAGAGGATCTGGGAAGTAGGACGTTACGTGAAGAAAGATGGCAAGCTTGGTAACCTGCTGTTGTGGTTACACGAAGCCGAGGCCCTTCTTAACTATTATGAATCGGACGAGAGCTGGCTTTGCGAGGTTCCCGCAAAATTTCTACTGAAGCAGCACGAGGTTAGCCTTAATAGGTGGCTTGAGGGTCTTTCTTTCGTATATTTGGAAAAAGAATAGGACGATTTTTATTCGACAGCTTTCTTGAGTGACATTGATGACATTGATCGTCTGCGAGGTAGTTTTATCAAAAATTTGCTTCACTCTTTAATTACTAAGAGTGACAAGGTTCTAATTTCTCTTCACAATCTATCCCTTGAATCAAATGTTTAAGTCACGAGAATAAAGGAAATGATCAGAAACTAACGAAGCTCTCTATGGTTGTACAAATTCTCCTCGTTAGAACCTAGGAAATGTATAGAGAACAGTATGGAGAATATGCCTACTGATGTTAGGGTGTAAAGGGTTAAGGGCTGGACGAACTGGTAACGGTTGGGACTGGTAACACATTCATTGACATGTCCTGCGTTCACATTTCGTTTAAGTTCTTGTTCTGAGCAGTATGGCGAGCTTCCAAGATGAGACACTATGCCTTTTTTGTGATTTCTTGATGATAGAATTCGTGCTCGAGGCTACCAAGTTCACGTATAGAATATACACTCGAATGCAAAAGCGTTGAGACCCAACGGCATCATGGGAAGCTACATAATAAGTGGTTCACCTCTCTCACTATTTACTTTTAAAAAATATTTTTCTATGACGATCCTTTCTTTCAGGAAAGCTTTGATAGCTTTCGTGCAAGTTATGGCAGTTTTCATGTTTATTTGACCTTCAAGGCCGTAAGGTCTCACCGTTCATTGTAAACGCTTTTAAGGTGTCAGTGATTTTGAAATCGAGCGTAGACAATTGCGCTAAATTTTAATCCTCCCCTTAATGGGTGAGGTTTTGCTCAGGGGACCTAGGCCTTAAGGGGTTTTTAACGGACGTAGAAATGATAAGCAATAATCTGACTTCCTCGGTGGCTATTTGTTTGTGATGAGTAACCGGCCTTGTCTTATTTGTATCCAGACTTTCTTCAAGGACTTAGATGAACACTGCAAGGGCCTGGATGCCATTCTTCAATCTGGCGTCGACGACGATGTTATAGTGGACGCATCTTTACTGAAAGAAGTCGACATGCGCATCAAAGCAGTCCAAGAGAAGTCCGCTGACAGGTTGTTGAGGCTCGCTTATGAGAAATCCAGGTCGAAAATCTTAGGACAGCTTGATGCTGGACGGAAGCAAATGAACTGTCAACCAATCAAGTACGCCTCGCAGGGTCACGTGGAGAAGGCTCTGAAAGAATACACGGTGAGTTAAGGAGATTACTGCCCCGAAGTTAAGAGACAAATCCTCCTTACTTCGTTACATAGTACTCGATTGTGTTTGTAAGGAGAACTACTTAGAAGTTGTGAGGATAATTCCTTCCCAAAATTACGTTAAAATTGTTAAGATGTGGTCTTCACAGCAACTAGTCTTTCGAACTATTTGCTGATTTTGCCATGACAGTTTGCTAAAGCGGCATCTCGCCAGCTGACGTTTTTCAACCCTTTCAAGATGTGAAAGCTAACTGGTGAAGACACATTTCATTGTCTCGAGAGCATGGTGTCATATTCTAAGGGCATACTGCATCCTACTTTTGATAATTTTCCCAATTCCCATGAGCTGTCTGTGCGGAGAGTTAGAGAATTCAAACCTTATCACAGACGAGAGTGGAAGAATTAATTGACGATCCCAAAGCTATCAAATAAACCACCATTTTGTCGAAGTTCCTAGGCTTCTCATGAAAAAAATCCCCTTTTCTCTCTCTACAGATGTTTTTTGTCGACAAAAACGTCCTCAAGAAATGCAAGAAACATCGGCGAGATCTTCATCACACTGCCGAGGCGTACATGAACATCCTTCCCGAGTCGCGCACGACGGAAGTGAAAAGCCTGGTATGGAACGTAGATCAACAGGTGGATAAGATCATGGAAGAGGCCAGTTCACGACATAGACACCTTGAAGATGTTAACAAGAAGTGGAAAACGTTCGATACGTTGATTGAGTCTGTTTGCAAATGGATGGAGGATGCTGAAGCGCTAATCACAAACGGAACTCTCAAAGCTTGTAAGGTGCGTACCTTATGTAACATCGTGCGGAATAGCGAAGTCCTAAGATTTGTGCATTAGACTATTTTCATGGAAGGAAGCAGTTAGAACAGCAGCAGTTAGAACAAGGAACCGAAGGAAAGCGACTTGTTTTGTTCTCATAGCATGTAGGTTAATGACCTGGGTTACTCTAAAGTAGTATATTTTATAGTTTATGCCTTGCCTCCAAGACTTTTACATAAAACGAGAGAATCAGTTCAGGGAAATCGACTGAAAGCGATGTTAATTCGACTTGGTCATGAATTTTAAAGCCAACTATGCGAACATTTTCATGGAACTTCTCATCATTCTAAACTATAGGAATACTTGAAAGATATCGAGAAAATTCAAGCAGACGCGTCAACGGTGCAGGATTGTAGTAAAACAATCACAGTGTACTGCCAAGACCGGGTAAAAATTGAAATAAACCAGAGGCTCCGTGACATGGATCGACGTCTAAACCGGATCATCAGACGAAATTCGCGAATCATGAAATGCGACAAGCGTAACTCTAAACTGGAGCGGTTCGAAGAAACAGTCGACGGGGTGATGGACTGGATTTACGACGCCGAGCTTTTTGTGTCTTCTGCTGTAGAGGGGACATATGAGGCCGTCAGAGAACGGACTCACAGACTTGAGGTAATGCTTGTTTTTTGGCCTCTGTTTTGCTCGTATGTTTGTTTTTTGTTGGGGTGCGAGAGAACCGTGGACAGGCGTTAAATAAAATGTACTTTGGATGTGAAGGTGTCGGCGTGAACCCTTGCCTGGGTTATCGATATGTTCTTGAAAAACTCTCGGCATAGGGCTATAGTTGGGTGAATCTGGAGGTTTTGCTCCAACTAATTGAAAGATTTGGGGGTGAGCCGGTAAAGGGAGGGGCACCAACTTGTTTTACTACAAGAGACAAACTCGTGCTCTTTAAATTGTCTTTGATTTAAATATGTAACTGATATCTATAGCTAAAAAGGACAATGTGTTCCTGCTTTTGGATACGAATTTATCTTCTGATGTCCATAAAATTGATAACCGCGCGCGGCCATGAAATATCCTCTGTTTCTCATGGCTTTAGGTGACACAGAGAGAAATCGGAGAATGTGAGTCAAATGTGAACTCGTTAAACAGACTCACTAAAGGCATACTCAAAGACTTCAAAACAGATATGGCTTCTTCCATTAATGCAACTCTGTCGAACATCAACAGAAGATTTGATAAAATTAAAGCTTCAGTTCCCCATAGGTGAGTTAACAGTGAACCTTCTTTAGTCTTAATGTGCAAAGTGAATATTTTGTTCAGAATGCACCTCGGCGTCCATATTGTGTGATCGAAGTAAAAACCATCAATGTATAGTACCCCTTGCGTCTTCTGAAACCTTACATGCTTCTCGATCGCGCGTAAGTCCACAAAAGTGCGTGTAAATATATTTTTGAGATTTTGAAATCTTTTTTGATGACACTGCATTCTTCTTCTTCTTCAAAAAAAAGTACATTAAACGAAAAGTTCACATGTATGAAAGCTTTTCGTCGTGGTCACAGCAAATTTGAAACATTTATTTGACTCGGAACATTGTTTGGTTCTGGGTGTTTTCAGGTATCACACATTGAAGCAGATCCTACCCCAGCTGGAACTCTTTGAAACTGGTTTCGATGACGAATTAAAATGGTTGGATGAAGCAGTGGTGGGGTTGGAAGCGTATAAAAATGTGAGCACTTTGGAGGAAGTCGGAAGAGAACTTGGAAGACATACGGTTGGTGGAGTGCTAAGTCACCTTTAGTCCCATGTTTATAGATCATATAGTATCCGGAATGATTCAAGTTCGCTTTTCAAAATCCAAGCTAAGCTTCTTCATCCGTAACCATCCTCGTAGTGATTCAGTTTGCTTTGAGTTTGCTTGACAATTTTTAAGGTGAAATGGAATTGTACCGTGAAGTATGAAAAGCAAACGGAAAATCGTGTAAGCGTTACAAAATGGCCGTCATAGGTCAGGGAACGGTTAGAGAAAAACACAATTCTCCAAGCTCTAAAGAAAGAAAGCCAGACACTATTGTTTTGAGAGAGCAAAAATTCTTGTCCTGTGGAAACGTGTTCAAAATCGGAGGACCAAGATGCTGAGTGTTAAGCTCGATCGTTATGACAAGAAAGATGTTCTTCTTTTAATGAACTTTATACGGCTATCCAATCAGGAGAATCTGAGTTACTGAGTACTGGACCGCGAAATTTAGAGGTGTCGGGTCTGATTATTCGTGGAGGATTTTTTCACGCTCCAAGCAAAGCGAATAACCATAACCTTTCCATTCTCTTTTTCTTCGGGGCATTTGATAGCTTGTGTTCCTGGCGACTTTGGATAAACAACCGAACCCCATCATCTTACACTTAATATGAATACAATTTCTTTTTTTTTCCGCGTAGGAACTCTTTGAAGACATTGACCAGCATAGTAACTATGTGGAGTCCAGAAACCACCTGTACCTCCAGCTTCGAAACTCTGTTGCCGAAAATGTTGACTTCTCAAAGCCACAAGAGAAACTTCATTCCCTCAACACCAAGTGGAAAATAGTGCAAGGGGGAAGAGAAACACATTCTCAAAATCTAGAAGAATGTTATAAGCTGTTGAAACAGTTTGAAGAGGACGCCAAAAAAATGCGGTCGTGGACTCTGGAAGCAGATTTATCGAAGGTAATCCAAGTCCGCCAGGACTTTTAAAGAAAACAAAATGTAAATTTCGAAATGATATATGTGCAGCAATTGATGAAATCGAGGCTATGAATATGAAAAAAGGGTATCTTTGTTTTTTTATGACTGAAACAGATTATTATATTTTCTTCCTTAACAGGCATCACACGACGAGCTAGAAGACGCACAGGCAACATACGAAGACCTTTTAAAAACACATGAACAACTCCGAACCATCATTCCCAATGAACAAGTCAAGCGACGTTTGGAGGGTGAAGCTTCCTTTATCACACAGGAGTGGGGTGAAGTGTACAATCGCGAGAAATCGCGGGTGGTAAGAGGCCATGTTGAGGAGTTACGATCATCTTTAGATAGGAACATTCAGGCTCTTGATAAAGAGTGGGCTGAAGTGAATGAACAATTTAGCAGCCAAGGCTACACTGCGGACCTTCATGAGCGTTACCAGGTAAATATTTCCTTTAAGTTAAATTTTTCGGTGAGATTAAGTCCATAAGCTTTTTGGTCTTTTTTGCAAGGAACAATTCTGGAAGTTTTGCGTGTTTTTATTCTTACATAGAACAGTATTTGGATATCATGTATATATCCTCTTTATGCAAAAAAGTAGTCCCTAGAAGTTTTTGTCTTTACAGTTTTCCTTGAGGAAGAAGCTGCCTTTAAAAAAAATTGTCTGAATAGGGACATCGCCAAGGAAACTTTTTTTTGCAAATGATAGCTCTGAAAAACGCAACGCAATCTTAAGAATGTTCCAAACTCTGTGAAAAAATTACGAAGAACTTAATAGGGAGTTGACATCGAAGCCTTTTTGGGGGTAGCGGACTTATTAGTTCCAGAGTTCAACTTAAACTGTTCACGTAATTTTTGTAACGCATTTTCGTCCTTTCAGCGAGTGCTGTCTTCCCCAGAAGCTTTTCGTCGCATCGAGGAAGACTTCGATAACCTTCAGGAAACTAAGTCCAAGGTGAAGTCCCCACAAGAAGAGGATCAGTTTGAGGCAATAATGCAACAACTTCGATCTAGCTGGGAAGATGTGCAGGGCAAGATCAAAGAACTGCACCCCAAGGTCCAGGTTATGGCAGATGCCTACTCTGAATACAAGGAGAATCTACGGTTACTGACGGATTGGGTAGACAAGGTAGAAGAAGCCTGTGAAGCCTTGGAATGCGTGGAAGATTACAGTGAATTTCAACCTCTCATGGAGAAATTTCAGGTTAGTTTAAGCCTCATGGTGGAAAGAAATGAGATGAGCAAATGAATTTTATTAGGAAACATTAGGAATAGGAATATTAGGAATAAGTCTCATTATTTCTTAATGGAAAATGATCTTTATAAGGTATAATGTTACATCCTAAAAAGTGCGGAAGGCCACGCTCTTTTGTTCTCGTACTGCAGAATACACAACAGCCCGCATAAATTAGGGTCGCGTCAGGCCTGTGAATTTATTGATCAGCTTTACAGTTAAGCAATAAGCACAAATCGGTGTTAATTAGTGTTGATGTGAGAGCCATTGACTGCACATGAGCTCACGCTATCTGCCCTAAACTTGCAGACTATGTGAGGCGATATTCAATTAAAAATCCGCCAGTAATGTCTCGAAACCTTCTATTTGTTGCACAGTTTTTTCTTTTTTGTCGGAGAAACAGTTTAAGTCGCAAAACTCCTTGAAAAAAATTCAATCTGTTGCTTAACTTTCATTGGATTGATAAACTTATTTCGAGTATGATGATGCGCCAGTATCATACAACCAGGGACCGCGCAGAGGGAGGGGCTGGGGGGCTTTAGCCCCCCCACTTTTTTGCAAGAATAAAAATAAATTAAACAAAAAATAATTTAACAAAAAAATTTTCCTTCACGCATTCTTCTTTAGCCCCCCACTCGAAAACTTGCTGCGCGGTCCCTGACAACGACAAATTCTGCTGTAAATTCACCTCAGCCCGAATGGCGACTCAGCACGGCTATAAGTTTAATTGCCAGGTTTGGATTGGTATTGAGCTCTCCTAACTGCTCAACTTTTTTTTTTAAATGGAAATTGATGCTTTGTCTTTGTCTCCGCATCTGTTTGCTTGGTGATATGTTGATACTGATAGAAGACGTTACATTTCCTTTGTGTGCGCAGGCTCTCTCGTCTGAAATTGACGAAAAAATTCAATCACTACAAAGACTGAATGAGCTGTCACAAAATCTTGGGAGATCCTCGAATAATCAAGGGTTCACCGATGAGGTTCAAGGCGTTACACGGCGAGTACATGCTTCGTTACCTACCGTGCGTGACAAAAGTAACAGACTCTCTACCATGCTCCGGTGCTTTGAACATCAGCAGTGTACTCAAAAACATATCACGTTTCTCAAGGAGGTAAAAAGTCGCCTCGAGGTTGAGTTTTGTGTTGATGGCGTAGTGGATGCAGAGAACGAACTTGAGAATATTAAGGTGAGGAGTCTGGGTCGTAGAATGTCACTTCCTCGGGGCTATTATGGGACCAGGAATAAGTAGGAATAAAGAAATAACGATGAGAGGGAAAGTAACTGAAATAATAAAGTAGATAAAACGTTTGCAGGGGGTCCTGAAAATGTAAAGAGATCTTTGATCTTTGAATCCGTGGAACCAGTCAAATACTGTCGAACACATCTCTCTCATTGTCACGAATAGTATCTGTCATTTCGAATTTTTGCCTTGAAAATGTAACTCTCTTGGGTAAATCTTGACTTGGTGTTGCTAAATTCGAATCTCGGGTTGCGCTGCCTGTCTAGCGATTAGCGCTTTCTTTTAAAGCACACTAGAAGCTCACAGTGTCCCTTGCTATTTAAAGATTACACGATATGATCGAGCTATCAGAGAAACCTGTTGGGTTTACCTGGGATGAATAAGCATTCACTCTGGGAAAAATTTTAATGCCTTCATACCGTGTATGGTATGGCTCCGGAAGTTGTGAGCAAAAGATTTAATAAAATTTATCTTCATGCCGCAGGACATTATCAAATCTTTAGACTCTCACCAAACCCAAATCGAAGAGGAGATCGCCAAAGGCAAAGAACTCAGTCAAGTGGATGGCGTTCTGGATATGGTGCAGGCCAATGTGGCTAGGCTGGAATCTCTCTCAAGAGAGGTATCCCATGACTGTCAACAGAGGAACGAGGAATTGGAGACTGCGTTGAAGAACTGGACCCGCTATAATGCGGCTTTGGAGAGCTTTAAAGAGGCTCTCGCCAATGGGGAAGTGGAACTTATGCGAAGGAAGACATTGATTGTCACTGGGATCGAGACAGTTGAAGAACAGAAGCAAGAAATTCAGGTATGAAAATTTAAAAAAAGATGAACACACCAACTCGTATAAGAGTTTCAACTAAATGTGAGTTGCTGGAGAAGAAAAACGAATAAAAAGCATTGATAAGTTGAGGATACGTGAGACTGCTCCCCGAGTGTGGTGATCCTGGCCACCGAACAATTGAGCAGGTGATGGGAAATGCACCCGTCAAAATGGAAAACGTTCGGATAACTAAACTCTTTTAGATGTTATTTAACCGCAGATTTATAAGACAACGATTGTCGAATTATTTCTTACACGCCAAGTTGTGCGAAATCGAGTCACGAACACGTGCGAGGCAATTACACCATGTGGATACGATTGTAAAGCGCGCACAGTTAGGTGCAACTATCTCACATCCAACGAAAACGATTGGATGATTATTTTAATTGAACACATTCTAAAGAAATTATTCAACATTTGCTTAAAAGAGGGAATGTTTTGTTAATTCCGAGAAAACGTTCCATGGTATTCGAACTCCGATACATGATTAAAAAAGAAATGAAATTTCATTATGAAATAGCATGGCAAAAACATTATTCCTTAGCACATTTTCTCCAGGTCGTGCACGGTCTACTAAACAAGCAAAGCGAAAGATAGGCACATAACCAAACAGACAGACTAAAAACAAAATCTAAAGGTTTTTTGTTTTGTTTACTAAGAGCCATCAAACTGCGGCTTGCGTGTCTTCTTATTTATCTTGTAGGACTTTCAACGAGATCTCCAAACTCAATTAGCGGAATTCAACTTCATTTTTTCTCTCGGAACTACGATCAAAATGAAAGCCAGTGAGGATTGCAAAGCGAGAATCGAGGACCAACTGAACAGCATTTCATCACTTAAAAAGTCACTCTTCGACGAAATAGCAGCTTTTCTTGAAAACCTGGACAACAAAGCCAAACAGTGGGAAGGGTTTCAGGAACAGATGGACAAATTTGAGGAGTACATGGACAAGGTGGATTCCCGTTTGGAAAGGAGTCGCAAAGACAGCAGAGTGTCACAGGAATGGCTTGCTCAAGTCAAGGTAGGAGGAGATCATGTACCTTCTAAATCATGAGGAGCTTCGAAATTTTTATTCTGACGGAACTATGAAGAGGTCACGCGTCATCACTCTATGTTACCACATACCTGTAGTTTATGAATACACCTAAAGAGTGGTTATTATTTTAGTCATTTATTCATCTTCTTAGCATCTGCACGTTTCAATCGAAAGACCTAAAAAAGTCTTTGTTTTTCTTTTCTTGTTTTCTTTCCTCTTGACAGGGAGTATCAAATGAATTATTTCAACGTCGGCAAAGTTTCACCGTCTTCCAGGAAGAAGCCCGCAAGCTTTCCGAAGGTGTGAATGATGCGGGAACGATGCACTTCAAAGCAAAGTTGTGCAGTTTGAGAGAGCGATGGAATGAACTGTTCGAGAAGGCGAGGATGTCTGAAAGCAACGCAGAACAGGGTCTGAAGCCACTAAATGAGTATCAAAAAGTGTTTGAAGAATTCACTTCTCGGTTTGAAGAACTGGAAGAGAAACTGGCTTCCCAGGTTCCCTATTTTGGAAGTTCGGAAGAGGTCGCTACTTTCATAGAAGGAGATAAGGTATGAAGTAAAAGCTATTTGAAATGCGTCGAGCGTGTAAATTTTTACTGAGTGACGAAAATTATCCAGAAAACAGACACCACTAAGATGCTTTTTTAAAACCGATTGCGACTGGCTCACTTGCGTTCTTTTTGTCATCTTGCCCCCTTTTGGTTTTCTTAGACAATTTCCGACCCTGCCGATAATTTAGAATTATCACGTCGAAAATATCTCTTTTGTTGTTGTTGTTGTTGCTGGTTTTTTTTTTACGGCATTGATTTCGTTGAAATAATTGGAAAACTATGGACCAAAGGTTTTCATGCGGTTCATAATCGGCGAATCTATTAATAATATGTTCAATCTTTGTCAAGAGCTTTCACTATGAGGACTCGAACCCTAACTGCTTCCGATTCAAGGGTCGAATGTGCGCTAATAGTTATGAGGGTAAGCGTGACCAGGTATTAATTTATCATAGTAATGTCCTGATCCTCCAACCATTTTTGGTGGCCATTTGTTTCAGATACTTCTCGCAGATCTGCGTGAATTAAGAGGTGTCCTCGACAACTTAATCTGGAAAGGTTCCGAGCTTTCGGCCAGCATGAAAGTCAAGGATCTTGATATCAAAGACACTCTGAAGCAACTAGAAGAGAAATGGAGCCAGGCCGTGCAAAATGCCGAGAAAAAGCTTGAAGACTTGGACGACCTCAGAATGGAGTGGGTGGACAAGGAAGAGATGCTGGTCAATATGGAATCTTGGGTAGTCCAAGCTGAAGACAAACTGGAGAGTGAAAGAGGATTGTCGAGTAGGGACGAACAAAGCTTGAGAGAGGCACTAGAATGTTACGAGGTAAGATAGTGAAAAGTTCTCACGAGCGTGGGAATGAAGCTGCATTAGAGATTCCAAACCCTTCTTTTCGGTTGCGATTTTGCGTTTTGCTTGGGACCTCCTTGATGAGCAAGGGGATAAACAAGGTTATCGTGTGACGGAAACTTGCATAGTACTGTTAGGGTAGAAAAGTGTTTATAATTTTTTAACATTTGGTTCTCTTCAGGTCTGGGCTAAATGTTCGAACCAAGCATGCAAAATAGTTAGGTACGGTATTTAGTGTTCGATCACGGAGAGGTGCTTGCAGAATGATACTGTGTACTCCCTGAAAATTGCAAGCGATCCTAAGTAATTACGAAGAACGAGGTGTTGAATGTCACTGTAAAACGTATATTTCTTCAGGCCATAAAACAAGAGATGGAAACCTGTGAAGGTGATTTCAAGTCAGCCGTTGAAAATTATCAAGAGTTGTCAAACACCAGCAAGTACATGTTTTACATCCAAGACAGGCTCGTGGACGAGAAGTGTGATTCATTGCGAAAAAAATGGGACACCCTCACAAACGGCATTCCAGAGAGAGTAGAATCTCTCAAGGAGGAACTGAGCGATTGGAGAAGCTTCCATGAGAAGTTGGATGCATTTATAGCTTGGGTCGAGGAAATGGAGGGGTTTACTAAGATTGAAAAACCACGTGATGAGACGGAGGCCATGCAACAACTGAAGGGACTGGAGGTAAGTACTGTTCCATGTGAACAATCTTGCTATGAGGAACTTCAGAAGAGTGCTTTTTTATTCAATGTCACAGAGTCAAATCCAAGTAAAGTAAGAAATACTGTCAATCAAAACAAACACAATGACAACAAATGACCATGTGGATTTTTAAGTAAGCGTTAGTGATTATGTCTCGATCGGTTTAAGGTTTGTTTCCGTTGGGTGAAGGTGGAAAAAATTTTTAAGACAGATTAAGAGAGATGTTAAAACAAAAACAAAAAACAGCACACTCCCGAAATGCTGGAACGCAGAATTGAAAATTGACCATAGGTCAAAATCTTATCTCGTATAGTTTTTCTTTTTAAGCAGTTGCAACTATAGTCACGTATTAAGAAACGTTTCAAAAATAATCCTGTATACGTTTCTGTTATTGCTTATGTAGTAAGTCATTGAGAACAATCTTCGCCTTATCTTGCCAGGAATTTCAGTCCAGCTTCAGAAGTCGTCAGGACTCCTTTGAATCGCTCGTGAAAGAAGGACGCGAAGTGCGACTTCAAGCTAGTAAAGGTGAAGAAGCCGAAAGACTTGGCGAGAAACTCACGAACTTAACCGATCGTTGGGACGAAATGTTGAGATGGGCTGCTGGAAGATACCAATTGCTTGTTCTTTCACGTCACTACTTAGATACGTCTAAGCATGTGGTGCAATATCTGGAAAAGATCGAGGAGAAGCTAAGTACCGCTAAAGACATACCTCCCGCAGTGCTGGAAAAAATAAAGGAAGAGTCAAGAAAAGCAAAGGTGAGACTGAAATGTTATTGGTGTTTTAAGTTGGGTCAAGGTAAACTCTGCTATACAGAAGCTCAAAATATCTATTTGTGGTCCCTCCCTCCTCTTACCCAACGCCTCTTCGTCGACCCTTAACTGACATGGTTAAAGATCGTTGGATCTGTAAACTCTGGCTTTGTGGAAAATTTCCCTACAAGGGTAGTATTTTGAGCAGATGATAAAACTTTTTTTTCTCAATTTGTTAACGTGTGTTTTTCGACTGATTGATGCTAGATGTAGTCACTACCATATGTCTGAGAAATGATAGGAGTGACCACGATTACGCAAACAGCACTTTGTGAAAGGAAGAAATGTGAATGAGTTTGCTGTGATTGAAAGCTATCTCAGATTGTGAAGAAAAATATGATTGCATGAAGCGCCTTGTGGACCTTAATTCGGCGAACTTCGACAAACCAAATTATTTGTTGTTTAAATGTTCATGCAGGCCAAGGTTGATATTTGGAAGCAGCAATGTCTTGATCTGGACGTGGTGGTGAAGGAAGGACATCTGATGCTGCAGCAAGAGTCAGGTGAAGCCGTTGCTTTCGACGAGAAGCTCAATAATCTCAACAGTGAGTGGCACACAGTCATACAGGATGTGGAGGAGAAGAAGAAAAGCATCGAGAAAACAGCCAAGAAGTGGTGGGACTTTACCAGAAATAAACTCAAAATGATTCGGTGGCTGAAAAAGAAAGAGGGGGACGCGGAGATACAGAACGCTGCTAGCTATCGCATCGATAGTGCCCAGGATCAGCTGACTGCTTATCAGGTATAACCAAATGCTTTTTTTTTCCGTTACCTCGAGATTAACATACAACTTAAACTGCTAATGCTGAAAACAAAAGTTGCGTAAAGGCACATTTCAAAAACCTATTTAGGCCTAAGTTCAGCTATACTGCTACGTTCAAGTATTTCCGCTATGATACGAGCCGGTTGATTTTTTCATTGTTTTCTTCTTAGCGTAGTCGGGGTTTAATTTGATATGGTTGTCCTTTATTTTATTGTTGTTCACATTGATGCTTATTGTGTTCTTCTGTCATTATGTCGGCATTTTTTTTTTTTTACTCTTCCTCTGAGGTGCTGTTTGTGTCATCCTTGATATATTCATATTGATTAGTTGCCCTCCCCCATCTCCCTCCTCCCCTGCCGCAGTGAGTCACGTTCACCTCTAGTTCAATTGATTGTGCAATATGATATATAACATAGCTTGTAAACTCTGCTTCCTTAAGATTTAGATGGAATGTTGCTGTTGTCGTATTTCAGGCCATTCTTGACCGATTGAATGCACATAAGCGTGACCTAGAAGCACTGAACAAAGCGGCACAGGATATGATGGAGGTCGACGCAGACGGGAACGCAATGAAGGAGATCCAGGAGCTGATCGAGCGATTTGAAGCTTTGCAAAAAAACATCACGGAGAGGAGAGAGTTCTTTCAAAGGGTAACAGGAAAATGGCACAGGTTTGCTCAACAGAAGCACAAGATGAACGCGTTCTTTAAGAACACGCAAGGGATTGTTTCAAGGAGGCAAGTTAGGAACGCTGACGATTGCAAAAAGCAGATTGAAGAGTGCAAGGTACTGTTAGGCGTTTAACAGGAAATTTTCTTTTTATCATATGAGTCGTTTTATGCTAACTTCAATGAGGAGTATTGTGAAAGGATAGCAAGAGTGTAAACAAACAAACAAAAAAAAGTTTGGGGTGTTTCATTTGATAAACATGGAAGGCCCTCAGAAAATGAAATGGAAATACGCCATATCGCGTGATGTCTCAGCGCTGGAACTCTGTTTCGGTCAATAACTGAGACAAACCACTTGCTCTTTGTTTTGTTGCCTTGAAATTTCTCTGGCAACTCTTTTGGAAGTAATAACGACCCTTGTAAGGAGAAATAAGCTACAATTGGATTTTGTGTGTCTGTCTGTCTGTGGTTTCCCTTAAATAGTAATTAACATGAAAGCAAACGTTTCTTTATGGCTGTGTTAACACGTGCAGTGGAACCCTACCTTTCATTGCGTTGCCAAGTATGCTAACTTTACCTGCCTTACATGGGAAGAAATGAATAAAAGGGGGAAGTTTCTCAAAAAACTGGTGCAGCGTCAGTGGGGAAGTATAACAAGACATTTTAGTCTCATCAACTGAGTTTATTATGTAAATTGGCCGCCGTGTATCAGAAAAGTCTGGTGAAGGTGCTGTGCATATCAGGAGTTTTGACTCTCTGTTTGCTGCTGTTTTTAATGTATTATTTTTTATGTCGTTTTCTCAGGCTGTAGGACAAGATTTGGTGGACAACGAGTTGGTTCTGGAAGCCGTGAATCAGGAAGCATTTGAATTACTGGAAGAACTGAAACAAGGACAGGGACTGGTAGATATGCAGGGATTCGAGGAACAGCTCAGATTGGTGAACGCCAAGTGGAATGAGGCCAAAGTTAAGGTAGAACATGAGTATCATTCACTTTTTTCGTTTTCTAGATTTGTTATCCTTCCCGTGACAAATATTGCTCGATATCTCTTGATTTTTCGCCTTGTATTCCTCAAGGTGGAGTCCCATAATTAAGAGAATAGAGTAACTCTTAAGTAGAAATAAATGGTTATCAGGTACTTACGTTTGCGTGAGAAGTTAACCTCAAATGTAACGAAGGCAGGTATAGATGACCCGCTAGAGGTCCGGTTTTAGGCTTCGTTAAAACAGTGTTTTAGGATGTACATTTTTTAAATTAAGTTTAAGGGACAGGTGTAGCCATGTGGCAAACAGAAAAAAACAAGGAATGGGTATTTATCATCCCAATAGGTTGGAGCCAGGCAGCAGGCGTTGGAACAAGTGGCTACTGAATTCGAAGTTCTGGAGAAAGACACACAGGAACTTCAACAGTGGATAATTGACGTCAAGAAGGAACTGGGCACAACCGCTGATCAAGAGGACCAGAATCCTGATGTTGTTATACGAAGGCGCAAACTTAAGGTTTGTTCATAGTTAAAGTTGCCGAAATAACGTTGAACACGATATTAAATGAAATAGCAATGACCGTTGCTTGATTTAGCCTTCGAGTAGAATTGAATGATATTTCATTCTTCGTTTATCATAGGATTGATAATATTCACCTATATTTGTCTTGCAAGAGGGAAAGGGGTGCTGATTTTTAAGTTGCATGGATCAATTTTGGCTCCACCTTAGAAATTTACCTGGCTTAAATCAATGACGAGCTTGTTACATGAGAAGATTTATGGGTAGAAGGCAAATTTGACGGAACTTGTGGGGAACAATTGACAATTGCTTTGCTTATTTTTTTTAGGATGAAGTAGCTTCACGCGAGAAACAGCTGAAAAGGCTCAGTCTTCAAGCCTTAAAGATAGTCGAAGAGTTTTCTGATAATGTCGATGTCGACGTAAGCGAGTCCTTCCAACCCTTCTTTCAAGAATGGGGCAGTGTACAAGAACTTGCCGGCATCCCGTTAGACGAGCAACAGAAGGAAACACTAGAAAAACTTAGACGTCCTGCTTCCGTCCCGCCGCAACTCAGTATCCAAGACGATAGTGAGGAGGAATTCCTTCCGGACAAACCCAACAGTGCTCCGTTGCACAGATTAGGAATTCGGAGTTTTTCATTCGGAAGTGAAAACTCTTTGGATGTTCGTGATCGTAAGAGTTCTTATGAATGCTCGATGGACACGCTCTGGAGCTCGAGTAGCACTTTCTCGATCAACATAGAAAACAAAGATGACGAGTTCGATGAAAACGTTGGAGTCTTCATCGAGAACGCTCTTCGAGGCAACCAGGTATTTGTTGGAGGCAGCGAACCGAATTTGTTAGATAGTCGCTCGAGAGAAGGCACTTTATCGGATCAAGACTATACTAAGGTGGGAGCTTCAAAATCAATGGACCATTCATTGGAGGTAGAGGAATGCTCCAAAGAGAGTATGGAGACAGTCACTGGTGAAGAGACATCAAGGCCTGACAGGACAGAGGACGAGATTAAATCCCTGCTGGATGACCTTCTAGAAAGGATTGTAGATACTTGTAAGAAACTCTCAGTGTGTGCTTACACGCCCGATGATTCTGTGGATGAAGTTCAGCGAAAACTTCGAGAGGGCAAGGTTTGCTCAAGTTCTTTCTTATTAAGCAATCTTTGATTGAATGTCAAAAACAGAAAAGAAAAAAATGGGATTGCATTCATTTAGCCGGACTCGATTTTTGTGATGATTTAAATAAGGCTCACCCTCATTTTAACCTATCAAATAGAAATCAAATGTGCTTCAGTCTGGCTACATCTCCTTTCTTGCAAGGCTACAATTAAACTGGTAGAAGAATAGTTAAATATATCCTTTGTAAATGTAAATATTCGCCGATTATGCAAACGGCTTGCAGAGGCAACACATTCTTTTTCAAATAAATGATTTCTCAAATATTCCGTGTTTGCTATTCTCTTTCTAAAATCCTCTCATTTTTCCCTAGATGTTAGAAGACGACTTGCAAAGTCAAAAAGTGGAGCTCGACGACTTAAAGGAGGACATGCTCAAGAAGAACTTAGACGTAGCGTCTGTTGACAAAACTTTAGCAGAAGCTGGAGTTAAACTTGAGCAGGCCATTCTACCCGCCCCAGAAATGGATGTGGAAATAGACGTTGTAGTTGAGCAGTTCACCGGGTACATTGTTGCCGTGCAGGAGTGGGGTGCGTGGTTTGGTCCTGCTAAGGCCACACTGGAAAATTGCACAGAACCATACAAGAACAGGGAGAGTTTGGAGGATTTAAACGATCAGTTACAGGTTGGTGCGTCGAAAACAGTGTAGCCCAACTTTTTAAGTTCGCCATTCGAATTTCCTTTTCATTGTTCTTGTGTCTAACCCATCTTCAGTCCTTCTTAGTTTGTTATTACCCCTTTTTTGTTTCAACTTTATTCATGGCTCAAAAATCTAGTTTATCTTGTTCCTGGTTATTGCATATCACAATGAATTAAACTGACTAGAAATAGAGAATTTTGCCACGACATAAAAAATTATCTGTGTAACTGTCAAGCAGTGATTATCTTTTTTTCGTTTCAAGGTACTTCTAGACGAAATGGACAAAAACGACCAACTTATCGGTGAAGTTTACAGCAAGGGCGACACTGTGCTCCAGGTCATCTCGGGTCATAGTAAGGCCACCGTGGAAAGCGAGTTGAACCAGTTAGAAGAAGACTGGGCAGCGTTCTGTCAGGACACGTTGTCAATCAAAGGCGTGATCGAGGAGACCATTCAAATGTGGAACGAGTTTGAAGAGAACAGAGACAAACTGGCCGAGTGGCTGGGAGAATTGGAGCGAACGCATACAGGGTTGTTTACTGGACCGGCAAATCTTGAAGCGCTTAAGGAAAAGTTGGAGGAGAAAGAGGTAATTAACATGTGCATACTTGATAGTCAGTTAAGGCTAAAATGTATTTCGAGTGATTTAAATCTGTTTAAAGCACAATAATATTTTAGAGAGTTAAGATATCTGTAGATTATCCTCTTCTAGACAAATGTCAAAAAACGGCATGTCTTTGCATGTCGAGCCCTGGATCAATTTTTAGTAATGTCATATTATCTATCACATGGCTAGTTAAATCTTAAGTGTCGTTCTAGAATTCTTCCCTGTACCTTGTATTGCTGTTGTTAAGATAGATCGATAGACAGCCAAGGAAAATTAGGAGATATCGTTTCGTGAAGTTTATTTTCGAGAGGCTTTCTCTGGCGCGTGTATGTTGGGGCAGAAGCCTATTTGATAACTACAGTCGAACCCGTATGAAGTGGTCATCCACGGGGAATGGCGCTCAATACAGGTTGACCGCTTATTACAGGTTCCACAGATTAGGGATATTACCAAAAAAATCGATAAACAATGTCACTTTATGCCATAATTAAACCACTGAATGTACAGATTCTCGCTCTAAAATACTACTTACTTTGATTTTGGGAGAAAAACATGGATTAAAAACAACGTGAAAGATTATTCTTAATTTTATTTGAGTAGTCCCACTTTCAATGACCTTTCAATACAGGTAAAAGACAATAAAACAGGCCGTTGGAACTAAGTAAAGTGTGACTGCGACAGTGATTAAGGGAAAACAAATTCGGAACTTCGACAACTTACCGTTTAATACGGAGTGACCGCATAATACGGTGCCCCTTCATACAGGCTCGACTATACTATTTTACCAAATATTTTTTTTCAGAATTTACGCAAGGAAATGGACATCCAAGAACTTGGACTGGACTTCGTGAACGTGAAAGGCCAAGAACTGAGCAATAAAGTTGAAGAGAATCAATCCATAGAAGCTGATCTTCAGCAAATTAACGACATGTGGAACAACGTACAAGAGCTGGTTACAGAACGAACCGAAGATCTCAGAGGTATGGTAGCCGAGCTGAGTGAATTTGAAGAGGACCTTGGTCGTCTCGGAGATGTACTGAACTACACAGAAGTGTGCCTTCATGAGAGCGAGAGCTCTAAAGTTCCAGGTTACAATGGACTTCAAAATCAACTTGCTAAACTGAAGGTAAATTTACAATTTTAATTCTAGACTAATTGCAGAAGGGTCTATATTTATGAAATTAAAAAGAAAAAATTAAAAAGAGAACTATAAAGCAATAATAAATGCCAGCTGCTTCATTTTCTCTGATTTCGACTATTTTCATTTTTAAGCAATCGAAGTTTCTTATGCTTTTCCATCTGAATTTGATCTGCTACTTGAAGTAAGATCAAAGAACGGGGACATAATGTTTGAAAAGGCACTTGGCAACTAATTTCCAAGTTTTCTTTAAAATGACTGCGCATACAGTGTAGAAGAGTTTAAAAGTAGCCTTAAAAGTAAACTCTGCGTTTTTCTTAAATCTAGAAGAAAGCGTTTTCTTGAGAAACTAAAAAGTAAAGGGGTGGATCTCAAAAGAAACTTGGTGCAGCGTCGGTGGGGGAGTAAAATAAGCTAATTAGCTTCTATCAACTGAGTTTATTCGCTCTGACGAGGGGCTAACGCTTGAAACGTCAGCTTTGAAGCTCTTTACGGTGGCCAATTTATATTAACAACTCAGGTGATGAAACCGAATTATCTTCTCTAAAAATGTTTTCTTTTCTTAAGATTTTGCCTTTCGCTTGTTTCTAGGCCGTTGCAAACAGTTTTGAGGGCCACGTGGCACAGTTCTCCGATGTACACGAGCGAGGCAACCGCCTCAGGGAACGCTGCAACAGCGAGGGAAGGGTGACAATCGACGGTAAACTTCAGACACTTCAACGCCGCTGGTCAGATGTAAGGGAAAAGATCTCTAGCAAAGTTCAGGACGTTGAAGGCGAGATTTGCGAATGGTCGAATTTTACAAAGGAGCTGGATCAACGGTTAACTGAACTGCGCAACTCAGACATAAGTCTGGGAGTAGCAGTTATCAGCACAGCGGAACTCAAAGTGTTAGAGGAGCAACTTGCTTCGGTTAAGGTTTGGCGCCAAAAAAATTGATTTTCTCTACCTGTTTCTCGTTGTTTGGTTGTGGTTTTTTTTGTTTGTTTTTTCATTGTTATGACAATATCACGTCTTAGAGATTAGATCTCTGTTCACGGTAGTGTGTTGACTTTTTTTACGCGTAGGCCCTTTGTGACCAACTTGAACAAACCCAGCCTGAAATCGGACAACTATTGACCAATGGCCGCCTTCTGTTGGACAAGGTCCCGAATGAAGACCGCGCCTTCCTAGAGAGCCAATTAAATGCTCTTGAAGAGTTGCAAGCCAGCGTAATTCGAAAGTCCTTAACAAAGCAAGAAGAACTTATAAAGTGTATCGTTCAGCAACAAGATTTTCAGACGCAAGTCCAGAGTTGTATGCATGTGCTGGAGGAGGTGGAAACATCTTTGGGAGAGTGGGAGCTTGGGATAGCTTCTGGACTGGATGAAATGAAGGAAAAGTTGTCTCTTTGTGAGGTAGGGAAGTGAACAAACCCTTTTACAGGAAGTGAGCAAGCCCTCTTACAGGAGCTATAGCATATGCTATAGTGTTTGAAAGTGTTGTTTTAAAAAAGAAAAAACTAATTAAAAAACTAGAGGCATTTTTTCATTTTGCCGTCTTTTCATCAATCGAGGATAATTTTGGTGCAATGATCAGAGAGAGCGTTTTTTTTAAGTACCCGTTTGTGTTGAAAGCAAAGTTTCATCAGATAAGTAAAAAATTATTTTCCCTGCTTTATTATTTTTTCAGCCTTTACTTGCGGAATTGCAGACGCAGAAAGAATTTGTCAACAATCTCAGCGACAAGGGAAAGAAAATCGTTCAAGATAATCCTCAAAAGAAACGAGAAACGTTAGAAAAACTGAGAGCTGTTGGCGATAAGTGGAAAAGGGTCCATAGGCTGGCCACTGAGAAAAAGGATTACCTGATCAAATGTATTGCAGAGGTGGAGACATTCGAGGTGAAATACAATGAATGTATGGAAGTTCTTGAGAAATTCTCAAACGATGCGACGGAAATGAATGATACAGATAAAGACTTATCGCACGTCGAGTCTTCGGTAGATGAAGTGCTTCGCGTTGGACTTCGAATCTCGTATCTTCTCCCGGAAAGTGAGCGGGAAATCTTGGAGGCGCGGCTTGAGAAGCTGCGTGTAACTTGGAAAGAGATGTGTGGCGTTCGCGAGGAATCTGCGCGTGTGCAGGAACGTGAAGTCATAAAGAAGGAGAAGGCTAAAAGTTTAAATCAAGAAAATCAAGACTTTTTGCTTGAAGTGAGTGAATTTAGCTCGTGGCTAAAAGAAGCAGAGAGCACTTTACAGATAGACATGTTTTCTGTTCCTGAAGAAGAGCAGATGGACGTCATTCGGAAACAGGAGAAGCTGTATAACGAAATCCAACAACATAGTTTGCTTGTGAACGACATAATGACCAAAGGCAAAAAGATATCTGCTCGAATGAACGAGGAGGAGAGAGCCAGTATCAAAGAGCAACTTGAAGACCTGTCTTCACGATGGGACAAAGTTCGAACGCTATCCGATTTACAGGGTGATGAAATTGAACGGTGCATCGGAGAACAGACAGATTATTACGAACAATTAGAAACGTGTGTTCTTTGGATGCAAGAAGCAAGCGCCACCATAGCAGCCGACGGAGCTCATCCTAGTGATATAGAGGGTATTAAGGCCGAGCTGGGGAAGCACAGAGAGCTTTGTCAGGAATTAACACGCAGAGAGGAAATGGTGCAGGCGGTAATGGAAAAAGGAAAGAACCTTTGCGAAAAAATCCCTCCCGAGGAGAGAGCAGCTGTAATGGAACAACTGACTCGTGTTAAAGATGAATGGTCAAAGCTGCAATATGAATCTAAAGAAAAGGAAAAAGAGTTGAGGCGGTGTCTCGGGGAAACAGTCGAAGATGTGGAAGAGGATGATGAGAATATGGTGGAAGATGTGAAATCCTTTTGCCGAGAAGTAGGTAAATGGTCAGAGTGGGTAGAAGCATTAATGACTCGCGCCGAAAATTCAGAGGAAATGGTGGTGATGCTTTCCGAAATAGAAAACCATTACAATGATCTGGAGGCAACCATCGTTAAAGGAGAAGAAATGCTGGATAAAATGACTGCAACACCAGACAGAGAGCGGCTGGAGACCTTTCTATTGCAGCTTAAACAGGGCTGGAAGTCTCTAAAAATGAAGGCCGGATGCAAGAGACGTCGACAGGGTAGGTTGGGTAGTGAGCTTGAGAGAAAGAATGTCTTGTTTGTAGTAACCATGAGTGAGTTAAAGGGCTGGCTTATGGAGGCGCGCGAGAGAGCCAATCAAATTCATCCAACGTCAGTTCAAAGTATTGAGGGGTTGGAAGAAGCTTTGAAAGTATGTTGCGGAGTGAAGAATGAATTCCTTGAAAAGAAAGCCGCGTTTGAAGAACTGATGTTGACAGGAAAAGAAATAGCAGCCAGGTGGGAGAGCGAAAATCTGGGAAATGAGGAGGTCGTTACAGGCCAGATGGACGGACTAAAAACGGAATGGGGAAACTTCCGAGAAAGTATGGAAAAGCAAGCTAACGTACTTCAAGATGCTATTACTCAGGCTCAACAATTAGAATCGGATTTCGGAAAAGCGGAACGGAGTTTGGTGGATGCCCAGTTCAGGCTGAACAATATCTCGAATGAGGACGAATTCGAAGCCGTTGAATCGGAGTTGCAGAGCTTGCAAGGACTTTTATGTGATGTTGAAATGTGCGAAGCCGAAATTGCATCTATTGAGGCAGGGAGCCAGATGATGCCTTCAAGCTGTCAAGCAATACAGGATGCGTTCAACACCCGCGTTTGCGAATTGACAGAAAAACTTCTGAACGTCAAGGAGAATATCTCAAGAAAGATTCAGCAAGACCAAGAGACGCTAGACCAGAGAGAGCAGTTAGTGACAGAGTTGCTTGAATGTAAAGGGTTGATTAATAAGGTGGAAAATTCCGCAAACGAAGAGTTAAAAATGGAAAACATACCGTTGTTGGAAGAAGGAGTTGTGTTCACAAAAGAAGCTTTGTCTTCTACAGAGAACGCGTTGGCTTCTGTTCACACCAAAACCGGAGAAGTTCTCAGTAAATTGAAACCAGCGGAGCAGTCTGCGTTACAAGCAGAAGTGAATGATTTGAGGTCACAGTGGGAGTACGTTGGAGAAAATACCTGTAAAAGGGTCGAGAATCTTGAAAAGCGTATTGCATCTTGTAAAGATTTTGGCCGAGAGTTGGAAAATTGCAACGAGTGGATCGTTAAAGCAACAGACGAAATTTCGCGGTCAGAGTTTGTTTCCGGCGATGTTGCCTCTCTGGAAGAGCATGTTGCAAGTTTGAAGACCATCATTGGTGAGAGTAAATCCTCCGAGAATGTAGTGAATGTACTGCTGGCGAAGAGCGACGTGTTTTTAAAAGATATCGACGATATGGATAAGGAAATGTACGAATCGCAAGTGGCTAAATTGAAAAGTTCTGTCAAAGAAGTAGAAGAGCGATCGGCAATGGAAATTGCTAAGCTGCAGGAGAGAATTAACGAAAGTAAAACTTTCCAAGAGGCTTATCAGGAACTGAAGTCGTGGGTTGAGAGTGAGTTGATTGAAACTTGCTCTGAAGAGGTCCAAAGTTCCTCCGTAGAGGAAAGACTGAAAGAACTTGAATTACGACGACAGTTGGTCTTGTCAAAGGAGAGCGAACTCAAACTTTTACTTGAAAAGGCAGAGAAACTATTGAACAACGCTGACGAAGCTGAAAACGAAACGTTTCAGTATCAGTTGTCAAACTTGCAGAGCTCCTATAAAGAGCTAAAACGCAAGGTGGATGTCAATCTGTCCTCACTGCAAGGTGAACATGAAAAAGGGAAAGAATTTGAAGCAGAGTTGAGACAGTGCAGAAATATCGTGCAGGAAATTGAAAACACCGTGTTGTCCGAGACGCCATGTTTTACTGACATTGAGGAAATGGAGGCTTACGTTGAAGAACTGAAGAAGAAATTTGAAGACGCTTTGTCTCAAAGATCTTTGATTTTTAGTCTTAGCGAGAAAAAAGATCAAATTTCGACATCAAAAGATGCCACAGATGGTTACTCAGAAGTTGTAGATAAATGGAAAATGTCACTCGCTCGCTTCTCAGAAAAGATAGCGGATACTGAACGTCGAATTGCTTTAGAGAAGGAACTTAATGACAGCTGTGAAGATGTTATCAGTTGGATAGATAATGTCGAAAAGGAAATATCTTGCGTGTCCGACCATGCTCAAGAAAAGGAGGAGGTCGTTGAACAAGTTGAGAGACTTAAAAGTTTAAGCAACGAATGCGCCTCTTATGAACAGATGATGGAAAGCTTACGAGGTAAGGTAGAAAATTCGCCACTTGAATCAAACGAGGGTTTTCAATCAGCACAAGAAGGTCGACTTAGTTCGTTAGAGGCCAGGTTCGAAGAAATGCACAGGCGTTTGGCGGCAAAGCTCGGAGATGTAGAACACTGCGTGACCGATCTTAGTGACGTTACAGAGCAAATATCTTCATGTAAAGAGTGGTTATTGCAGAAAAAGGAATTGATAGCCAATGACGAACAAGTTTACGAGCTTGGAAACGTACCGCAGCTAGAAGAAAAGCTTTTCAAATACCAAAATTTAAGTAACGAGTCAGCCACAGCACTTGATGGTATTACGCAAGCCAAAGTGAAGGTTGGCCAAGGCATTGGGAAAGTTTCGACTGCAATAGAAGATTCGCTATCGAAAGAACTTAACAGCTTGTGCGACACTTTGACGGGATTACATGAGGAGTCGTCCGCCAAGTGCGTGGAATTGGAGAAGCATCTAAGAGAAGCAAAGGAATTTCAAGACAAAGTGACGCATTATGAAAATTGGTTGCACCAAGCAAATGATGTCTTGCAAAAGCCATTAGAGAGTCCAGTGAGTTTGAACACCTTGGCTGAGCATCTGAATGAGTTGCGTTATTTGCAAACTGATATGGATGATAAACAAGAGGAGTTCCGCAGTTTTCTTGAGAGGAATAAAGACCTTGTTGCACGTAGCGGAGTTCAAGTCAGGCTGGTAAAAGCAAGTGAGAAGTTTGAATATCTTAATAAAGAACTGCCCCAGCTTCTGAAGGAAACAGAGGCAAAGATCAACGAATACACAGAAAGCAAAAAACAATTAGAGGAATCGCAAGAATGGTTAAACAGTGCCGCCCAAATAGTTGATTCTGATATTATGTACTCTTTGGACGATACAAGAGCGGAAAAACAGTATGCTGAGCTTAAAGATTTGCTGCCCAAAATTGAATCATTTGAGGCTGTATTAACCTCGATGGAAGAGAAAAAAAGTTGTTCGGATGTTGTTGAAGAGAGAGATGACAGCAATCTTCAGGGAAAACTTGATTCCCTCAGAAAGAAATGGGAAACACTTAGAGAGGTTGCAGTTGATAAGGAGGAAACCTTACTGGCATTTCTTCAAGCGAGAGACAATTACCAAGCTTGCTCAGAACGTTGTCAGGTAGCTTTGGACGAGTTAAAGAACTTTTCTGTCGATGGTTGTCAATATTCAGCTGATAAAGACAACTCAAACGTCCAGCTCGAAAAACAGAGACAGCAAGTTAAGAAATGCCAGGAACTTGAAGAACAGATTCGTTTATTAGAAGAGGAAGGTGATCATGTGAGCAGCAGGTGCGAGGAACTGAGGGGAGCGTTGCAAGACAAGTTGAAGGAAGTTAAGGATGAATGGCAGAATATCAGTGCAGATGCTCGTATTAGGTATGAACAACTTGAATCCTGGATCTGCGAAGTGGGTGACATTCATTGTGATGTTGACGTTTGCTTAGCTCGCGTTAAAGCGCTGCATGAATCGCTTCAGAACTGTGATTCGGAGGGAACTGATATTCAAACTGCAAACGAAATCCTCGGTCAACTTAAGCAAGCGGCTTCAGAACTTGAATCAGAGAAGGCAAATGTGGACAGCCTTGTTGAAAAATGGGATGTGCTTTTGACAAGGGTCGATTCCAGGGAAAAGCCACAGCTGGAGAATTCGATTCGGGAGCTTCAAACAGCGATGAATGAGGCAGCAAAATATTCAAAAGAAAGAGTCCATCGAGCAGAAGAACGCATAACTAATATCATCGAGTTAGATAAAGAATCAGCTCGCTGTGAAAGCTTGCTAACCATTTACCAAGCGGCTGTCCCTGTTGATGTTTCTTGTACAGTGGAAACCTTGGAAGATCAAATGGAAAAGCTCAAAAGACTCTATGGAGACATGGAGTCACGTGACAATCACATGACAGCTTTGCAGGAGAAGGAAGCGAAACTGTTATCTGACGAAATCAATCAAAGCGGTGGCAGTAACCCTGATGCAAAAATCGGACATCTGCAGGGAGATTGGGGCAAGCTCAAGGCCTCAGTAGGAGAAAAGCTACGCGAACTTGAGCGTTTAGCTCAGACAAAGAAAGATTTCGAAGACGACTACAACACTTGCCAAGAAGGTATTAAGGAACTTGAAGCTGCAATCATAGCAAGGGATAATGATAGAGGATCTGTGGAGGAACGAGTGGAGAGAATGCAAGAACTCTGCTCTAGGATCAAGTCCTACCGTAACAAGCTTGATCTTCTTACAGATAGATGCGATGAGCTTCCAAACGTCGCTTATGATCAAAAAGATCTTGATCCTAGACGAAAGCTGGCTGCCGTTGTTAGGAGATGGGAAGAGGTTAAAGCCGAGGCCTTGGGAAAACTAAACGCTCTAGAGAAAGAGAAGGCCGAGATACAAAAACTTGCGCAAGATACCTCGAATTTGCAATGTTGGGTGCGGGATGTGTGTACTTCTTTTATCCACAAAGACCTTCCACCAGTAGTTCAGATGAACGAATTAGAAAGCGCTCTTATGGCTAACACTGAATTACGTTCAATTCTGGAGACTAAGTACAAAATGTTTCAAGAATTGTTGGCTCAGTGTAGCAAGATCAAAGGGGAAGGACAGCGTAAAGAGACGGTGCTGACAAATCTTCAAGAGATATCCAGCAGTTTGAAAGGTTTGAAAGAAAAATTCGCAGACAGGGATGCTGAGATTAAAAGCCGCTGTAAGCAACATGCCAAACTGGTAACAGATCTAGACCGCACAAGGGACTTGTTGATGGAAGTAAAAAGCCAATATAACCCTGAGTCAGTTGATCTTGAAAGTGAAAACTGGATTGAGGAAGGCATTACATCACGGAGAGTTGCGTTGGTAAAACTTGATTCTTGTAAGCTGCTGTTGGTTTCTATGACCGATCAAATTGCTAAAGAAAGCCCAGAGCGAAAAGAAATCGGCGAAAATGCGATAGCAAAAGATATACGTGAGTTGACGGAAGATGTACATGTAACACAACAGCAGCTTGGTGAAGAAATAATACAGCTGGAAAAACTGCAGGACTTTGATAACGAGTGCATAGAACAAGTGACACTGTACAAAAACCTTTTAGTGAAGCTTGGTAACATTGACTTAGACGTTATTGCCAAAAAAGGCGAGGTTGAGCAGACCGAGCAAGAACTCGTTGTGTGCCAGGCAGTTGATCAAGAGGTTTCGGAGAGGGAAAGAGATTACGAAGCACTGATTGGGAATGAGGATGTGGCGTTGAGTTTTGCTCCTCAAGAAAGGAAAGAAGAAATAAGAACACGATTTCGTCAGATGAATGACACGAGAATTAGTTTGAAAGAGTTGATTTCCAAACAAATAGACGAATTACGAAATCTGGTTGCCGAACAGCAGACCTTGGAAGGCTGGCTTAAAACGGCGGGAAATTTAGTCGCTGATGCGGTAATAGTGCTGGAGGAAAACCAGTGTAGCCAAACTCTTGACAGCTCCCAAATGTCCGAGAGGTTGGAGACTCTTGCCGCCCACATTGCCAAGATTGATGAATATCTCAAATATGGCGGAAGCTTTCAAGGTTGGGTTAAGGCACCCGAGGTTGCAAAAGCGAAAGCACGAATGTCTGAACTGAAGCAACAATTACAAAATGCCGATAATGATTGCAAGCATTTTAAGGAAAACTGTGAGCTGTTTGAAAGCGAGGCTAGGGAAGCCGCGGTGACGTTCGAACGATGTGCCACTGAACACCAAGTTCCTGTATCTCTACAAGAGGCTCAAGAAAAACTGGAAAATTTAAAGGTAAGCAAATATCAAATAAAATCAATAGTAAATAAAAGTTCAATTTCCCAATCTAGTTGCTCGCCAAAAGGCATTTACCTCAACAGAATTAATTAATCTTTGAAATAGAAGGTGAAGGAACAATGAGAAATGCCGCTTATTACACCATAGGAAACCGTTTATGGAAAAAGTTACTGAAACTCCTGCTGATAGTGATTTTTAAAAGCGAAGTCTAGGCTTGATTTTAAGTTAATTTCCTTTATATGAGTATCACTTTCAATAGTAGTCTAGTCTAAGATTTTAAAAAAGATCTTTAAAGAAGAGTCGGTTTTTCTTTTTTCTTTTTTTTTTTCCTTTTTTTTTTTCGAGCTGAGCTGAACTGAGAACAACGGAGATTTTTCTTTCTCCTCATTCCTCTCGTAACACGGCCTCACAGCGCCTCAAACCGCCCTCTGAGCGAGTGATATAAGCTAACGCAATTTCTATTGCTGTTGCTGATGAAATGACAGGACGCGTGAGTTTTCAACGTGAAAAATAATCAACCACATTGTTTGAATTTCAAATGAAGTCCACCGCTTCCTCTTTGTTTTCAAAACAATAGCACATGCGATTGATCATTTTATGACTGCGAGTAAACTGCGAAACGACTACCAACCCCATGGACCGAAGATAAAGACTTGTTATCGCCTTTTCAACATGACTATGATCCCAGATATTTTTTATTTTATTTACCTTGAAGGAAATGCGGTGAGTGAACACGTTTTGTAATTCCGGTTGACATTTTGCTTTTGACGAGGACGATTGTCCAAGGGAAGCAAAACGGTAGCGGTCGTTGCTATGGCTTGAAAGATTGTCACAAAATATTTGCATCATCTTATCTTCAATAAACACTTTTAACTCGTTCTAAGCAGGGCAAAGAAAAATTTGAATATTGAACGTACTCGGAGGCCTTCTTTAATGTTATTACATGATCTTGCGTTTACTACGACAACGGTAAATCAAACCAGGAAACGACGGTGAATTCGTTAATTATTTTTTGTGTTCTTCAGCTGTTTCAGTGGATTTTGAGAAAACGTAGGACTTTTTTTGCCCTAAGATAGGGTAATTATTTCGTAAATTTACTTTCCATGTCGTTGAAGCTAAAAATTACAATGATCCCCATAGGCAGGTTAGTCAAGTGTTAAATGAATCCCGGTTCATTATTTCTGCGGTGTCGGATGTTTTCCCTCAAGTTTTTATTATCTTTTTGCCAATGCCCACTTTATGACCTTGTCATATAACATCGTTTAAAATGTTTAATTTAAAAATAGCTTCATTGTTGCCGACTGAAAGTCGGTTGCAGAGAAGAGAGTGTACTGATGACATCGTTTCCTTATTGCTTTTTTCGATGGCCGTCGTGTCTTCCTTCCCTGTTCCTCCTTCAAGTGTGTTTGTATTATGTTTGGTATGAGATATGACCATTTCAGGGGGAGCGCTGAACGATCTCGACTGTTCTTTTTCGAATGGAAGTGAATTAATTTTGTGTCAGTGTAGATTTGGAACTCCTCTGCTAGACAACAGGTTGTACAATATTTACCGGCAATGTTTACGCTTGTCAAGAGAGAGGTTTTATTAAGGCCTTGTTTTTTTGTGACGTGCGAGCAGGTACCTACAGTTCACTGCACTCGTCTGATCTCCAATTTTGTTTTAATAAATGGCGTGGGCAAAGGTTTTGAGAGCTACAGAGACCGCGCCAGATTAAAACCTGTGTGTCATTGGAGACCAAACCCGTTACGGATACGTTGAAGTAGTCTTAATTCTAATATCATATTTATACGATAACCTTGCATAAAAACAGGTAGCAAAGAGAATTTTGAGTTTGCTTTTACTTCTTATTTCTGTTTTGTAGGCAACGTAGTTTTAAGCTTGTTTTTATTTCAAGAAACTTTATTCAAAGTGTCCCTACGTGTCTGGTTTTCGCGTTGCGCACTGGAGGAAAAATAGACGCACTAGACTGATTTCTATTAGCCGCTATCTGTTTTGTTTTGGTGTACTTTGCTTGGTTGGTTTTGCTGTGCTTTGTTATATGGTTTATTGTGGTTGTTGTGGTCGTCATTGTTTTGTATTTTTATGTCACGCAGTATTCGTCATGTCAGGTCACCGTATGTCCTCTGAACACCGACAGAAATAACAAACCATCAAAAACGCTTCCTCTTGTAAAATGTGCATTGATAAGGATTTTTCCTTACCTATTTCTGTTTTTTATTGTGTTCCAAGGAGTTACAAAAAGACGTCGAAACCAGACAAAAATCCTTGAACACACGAGGTGAACAGGTCAGCGGAAAGTTGAAGAAGGTTGAGCAGAAAGAGTTCATGGACAGACTTCGAACGCTGAACGAAGAATGGCAGAAAGCGAAAGATCAGTTAGATGAACAACGTAAACATCTCGAAGATGGAATATCCAGCTGTATGAAGCATCTTGATATGCTGGAGCAAGCAAAGTCAAAAGCGAAAGAAATTGACGGACTGCTCGATGAGATAAACTCTAGTACGGAGGCAGACATATCAGCTTTGGAGTCGAAAACTCAGGTAATTTATACCTCAGAAATATATTAAAGGTAATTTTATTTAAATCCTTGTGGCTTAAACATTAGAAATACCTCTACTCAAGAACCGTCGACAATCTGTTGTCAAAGTTAAACAGTAATCACAGTAGTTTTCCACAAAGAAATCGTCTCCTTGAAGGAAACTTGGCAATTATTTTACAAGAAGGAAAAATTTACCCAAAATGATTGTTTTCTTTGAAACATTCTCTTGATCTCGGTGATCTTCATTATCATTACTCGTTCATCTTGAATCAGCGTTTGATTTTTTTAATGGCTAAATGTCTGTGTAGTTTTCGCCAAATCGTGTGAGCCTTCATTAGTTAGCATATTCAAATCCACAATGTTCCGCCAACCTCCTTGAGGTCATTTTTCCGGTTTTTATCGCGAACATAGCGAATTTTTCAATTTTTATAACCCATATGTAACCACTCGAGAATTTTACATTTACTTCGATCATATTCCTTACAATATATGCTGAACGTTGGCGAGGCGACCTTTTTCACCAGGTGAAGTTAGGTTTTGTTTACTCGCTCGTAAAACACAAAAATTTGCATTGGAAGCCAAAAAAACCCATACTCATTTCGTGCTGATATAAATATCGTTGTTTGACACAAGCATTGTTTAAAATAACAGACCGTGCGACGAAAGAAAGAAATTTATTTCAATACAAGCGTTTGGAAACGTTGAATACGTTTGAATTTACTTTAATATTAGCGTCTGGATACTGATATTCACAAAATGTTCTAAAATAAGAATTTACTTATCATTCGACAACCAACTGCGAATCTTCCGACACAGTTGATTGCCCCAGGATGAAGAAATGATAAATTGCTTCGTTATTTCCCGTTTTTTTAATGATCTCATTAGCCTACCCTACCCCTTGCCGTGACTGCATAGAATTTTTTTTATTAATTAAACGAGATTGGGGCAATATCCCGGGAATAAAAGATTTTGTACTTTGTGCATGTCTTATAAATCTTCCTGGGTATTTCTTCTGTAAATTGTCATTGAAAGAGTGGTCCTTCAATTAACTACCTAACACGCGAGATGTTAAGCAAGTTGGACAGTTTTAAGGCTTCTCTCTATAATCGCCGCATTTACAACAGGAAGATGGCGAAATATGTAACGTCAATATTCGGAAGTACATATAAACAAAAGAGAGCTAAAGTTGTGTCACAAAGAAACGCTAAGCGCAGCTTCCCCGTAAAAAAAATGCGTCCTTAACGCTTCAAGTTGTACTGAGCGGCAAAAACATTTACAGTAATGGACTGGTGTACTGATCGTGTACTGATCGTTTACTGAACTGGCCCGTGTACTGAATTAGAGCTTGAGAGAAACTTGTATCGAACTGGGTTAAATTTCAGCTGGATGTGTGACACATCCGTCCTTTCTGCTAGTATCAGTTTCGTCTTAAGCGTGCCACGTGCTCCTTGCAGTGAAAAAGGTTTTCAAGAGTGAAGAACTATTCCAAAATATGAGACTTCAATAAAGATTTGACCCCATCGTTGTCCATTTTCCTCCACTAAACTACAGGACGTTTCTTAGCGAGCTAAATCCTTTAATGATCAGGAAACGCGATCTAACCTGCGCCTAAGTTAAAACTGGCTCCGATCTGCCTCATTAAATTACCAGCGGCTGACATGAGAAAACATGCTCTACAGTGACTTGCTGAAGTCTTGTTTAGTACTCTGTAAGAATGATAAGTCGCTCGTGCTGGCCCTTTTCGAACTAAGTACAACTGAACAAATGCTGCTACATCATCCCGTTGGTGTTGGTGTTATGTATTTTATGTGTGTAGATATGTTATGACTAATATTTATTACACTCTCAACAATGCAAATACTTAACGCGGAGCACTTCATTAAGAAGACTAAAAGATTAGGAATGGTCGCTTGAGTCTAAAGCACCTTCAGTTATGACCAAAGTTCTTCCCATCAATGTTATATACGTGAAACCAAGAAATCTTTTGATTAATCAGTCAACTATCTCGGTGATCTTTATTGGGATATTTTCTCTGCACATTTAACTGTCATTTTGCTTTCTTTTTTTTTTTTTTTTTTTTTTTTTTTTTGGGGGGGGAGGGAGGAGGGGGGCTTTAGGACATTTATGGGGGTTATCTTGGGTTTAATTATTCCCTGCTACTTTTTTAAGATATCCACTTTTTTTTCCTTTTCTGTAAGTTTGTGACAATCTGTTTATGAATGAACACCATTTGCTCTTTTTTTTTTTTTTTTTTTCAGAATCTCTAATTGTAAATATGAGTTTTTTTTTCCTCTAGGATTTAAGAGGGAAACTAGAGATTTTTGAATCTCTTATGGGAAGCATGACAGATGTTGCCTCAACAATACCATGGAAGGAGTCGATTGATCAAGAGTCCGCTGTGGTTAGTTTTGAAGCACTCCGGAACGACGCCAGAAAGAAACAACAAGAACTGCATGAGACTATTTCGTTTCACAAACAGTACCGCGAGGCAGTAGTTAAAGCAAATGATTGTCTGCGTGAAATAGAAGAGAAGCTCGAGGATGAAACGCGAAACAGATCCGACTTTGAGGTAAAATCTCGATTGTGTGGTATTTTTCCTCTGGAAAGTATCTCATAATGTTATGACCCACGCCGTTGATGCTTGATATTTTAGCCTCGCTCATTAATGAGCCCTTTAGTGCGGGTTAAAATTTACTCAAGCAAGAACCCTTTTCAGGCTAAGAAAATTATACTGTTTTTGCGAAAATAAATCAGTACCGTTCCGTGGTTTGTTTGTCCTTCAGCTCAATTCTGTTTTCATAGACATTGCTGTTATAGTTGCGCTCAAAGTTCAAGTTGATGAAGTTGTTAATATATCACTTAAAACTTCGGCGAAACCCTGCCAAGAAGAAAAATTCGTCGTTACTAATGTATGCATGCTAAACACGCATAAGATTATGCGAAGGATGTAGCTTTAGAATGACTTCAAGTATTCTTTGTCTGACCGTTGCGTCCAGGAATGCCGGCAACAGTTAGATGATGTCGCTCCCCTACTTCAGACAGCGAGAGAAAAAGCCAAAGTTCTCACCATGATGGAACCGTATGGATCGCAGGGAAGAGATGATGTACAGTTTAAAGTCGACGAGTTAGCTGAGATATGGGAGGCATTGCAGACAAAACTCCAGTACAAAATAGCGGAAACAGAGCAGTGTCAAGCAGTAAATGCTCTAAATGACGAGATGGAGACAGTTGCCAGAAGGTTAGACGAATTGGCAGCGTCAACAGAAGACCTAACAGCATCCAGTTATGATTGCACAAGAGTTTTAGAGCAAAGGGAGAATTATGAGGTAAGAGCTGGAATGTTCAGTTTAAACCCTTTGTGAGAGGGGAATTTTTTAAGAAACTTTCTTTCCTTTGAAAATGCTTCACCTGAAATTTGCTGTAAGTGAATCATTTGGGAAACACTCGATGTACTTAGGATGGCCACGATACCCAGCTTCCAGATCGCATTAGAAATGAATAAACAGAACCCGCGGGAAGAGTGCTTTTCCAAGCGCAAGGAATAGTCAGAACTCATTAAGTTAATCCACTTTTAGTCCATCAGCAAAGAAGTTTCTGATCTTCATGGTTCAGTCGAAGACCTGGATAGCAGGTGTCAACAACTTATGAACTCCGTTCCCCTGAAAGAAAGCGAGGAGCTTGGAGAACAGCTTGTCACGCTTAAAGCCAAATGCGAACATCTTGAAGATCACGTGGCCGAGAAAGAGGAGGAGTTTGAAGAGACACTTTGGAAGTGGCAGGAATTCCAGAGCGACATGGACACATGCTTTCGCAATTTGGCCATGATCGAAAAGTCTTTGGATTTCCAGTCCATTGATGATGGAGAATTGGAGGATCGAAGAGAGACACATCAGGTTAGGACGAGCTTTGATCGCGTTAGAACTAGTCAAGGCCTTAGTAAAAAGGTTCCAAGCGCGGGAAAACTTCAGAGCCTTATCTAACAATGCTCATTGTGTCCAATCGTGAAAACGTCATTCAGCAATTTTTTGCGGTTCGACTTGCAAGGTTTGACTGCCGAGAGAACCTTGAAAGCGAGGGGAAAGGGGCTTGGCTGATCATGCTATTGGCGAAATATTATCATTTTGCAATATTGTCAGGTCTCACAACTTTTAAATGCCGATACACCGGCGAGCCGTGTGGAAGGGTTTTATTGATTTAGCTTGAAAAGGGATCGTTTTCTTTTGTTATTATTCGTAGAGCTTAATTATACATTGATAACTTCTTCTTACATTTTTCGCATAGCTTGTTTGTATTTGATGATCTAAAGAACGGCTGTTGTAAATATTCATCTGTTTTTGTGCGTCCTCTCATGGTAAAACTTCACTTTCTTACCTTTTGCACATCATATTTTCAGATGCTCTCAGACAATTTGGACTTCCAGGAGTCTATTCTTCTTGAAATCAAAGACAAAGCAAGTGACGTCTTAGAGCTTTTCCCTCTCGCAGACGTCGATAAAGCTAAAGTCAAATTGATTTCCCTTGATCAGCGGTTTCTTCTTGTCAAAGAACGCCTTCAGAGAAGACAAGAGGAGATGCTGAAGTCTTCCGTCGACTGGCACGAGTTTGAGTGCGGGCTCAAGAGCTGTTTGGAATGGGCACTAAGGGCAGAAGATCGCTTATCGGGCGAGTTAAATTTGCTTGAAAGCGAGGTTGATGTTGAAAGGCTCAAGGTTAGTGAAGTAGGGTCTTTCGTTACGAAATCTAAACTAGGAAAAGCTAAGCTCTCGACTAAACCAAAAGAAGGGAGAGAGGCCAGAATGTTTTAAATTTTAGAGTTTCCCAAGTTGTGTTTTACATCAGTAAGTTGACTTCGCGGCGGTATTTTAATACATAATTTTCCAAGCGAATACAAGCCAAAACAAATAAATTAATTTTAAAAAAATAGGAAAAAAAAAAACGAATTAAAAGTTTCTCAAATCTCACACACGCATACCTTTAATAGCCCACCTTTCCTGAAGTCTTATTGTGACCGCTTATGTAAGTGAAATTTAAATAACGTTAGTCGGCGAGGTATTTTTTCGCGCCTCTCTTCAATCCCAAGCGAGTATTTACGCTCTCCTCAGACTCTATCTTACAACGCGCTGGCGTTTTTTCTTTCAAGTCACGAACAAAGCAACCCTTGTACAAAGTATTCGAAAAAGACTGTGGTTATGGGTCACTATTTACAGAGTTCAGCGCGCAGAAATCCGCGCTTGTTATTTAAAGTGTGATTAATGGCCCTACTTTCGATGTAGTAGAGTATTTCGACAAGTATTGCATAAATTACCGCGTTAAAGCAAACACAAGCAGGTGTCTCAATTCATATCCCTATGGCGGTACTGATGCATTTATTTTTCTTAAGAAGTCTTTAAATTCACCCATTTTCCTCGAATTCTGAGTTCCCAGAGTTTTTACCTCGCCGTAACAGGTACAATAATGCGTGAATTATCAGTTAGAAGTGATATCGATAAAATTGTCTCTCTCTCAGCCAAAAGGAAAGTCTAGAGAATATAAGCTGTCTTGATCTTTGAAAACAATTTCTTCCATTTTCTCTTTGAGAAATGCATTGCTGGAATACTAGAAGTAATGAGATTTTTCATGTGAATAAACTCACAGTTACTATTTAGCATATTGATCGCCCTGTATGGGGTTAAATAAATCTTCCTTTACCTTTCACCGCAGCTCTAAAATGAACTTTTTATCAATTTTGATTGTTTATTTCACCTTTCAAGGTCGTTTTGGTGATATTTTTTGTCTCAAACACTGAGCCTGGAAATTTCTTTTGAACACGCCGGTATTAGGTGATATCTGAAGAAGAATTGCATTTATTAATTTAAGTCACACAATTTGTGAATCGCACCGATTAATATTAAATTCACTGAAAGCGCAAATCGAGGCTAAATCGGCATATTTACGCCTCTTTAGGTAAGTTTGATGTTGTGAGTGTACTAAGTTGTTGATTTTCTTCATTTCAATGGTGAATTCTGGCTTGTGAAAATATCTTTATTTTATATTTCAAAGCGCTTTTGGCGCGCCACGTTGCCTACGAGAATCGCGAAGCTTGAATTAATTAACGCATTGCGTTGGTTAATGTATGCGGATGAGTGTTAGCCATGTTTTCCTGGTTGTACAACAGCCATTTTAACTTCTTTGCTGTCGAAAATATGGTTTCTTAGCAGCAGAATTGACTTTAGACTGGTGGAGTATCAAATCTTTTATGGCTCATCGCGGTTTATTGCTTTTGAAACGGCGATCTCAATTTTTGGTCGATTACTAACAACAGTGGCTGGCCGAGCTTTAAACAGAATGGAATACTATATTGTTAGATCCTGCAGATCTTTTAGGACAAGAAAACGTGAACGATGAAGGCGACAGTGGCTGACTGAGAAATCTCATGGCGAGCAACAGTTCAGATTTGTACTTGCACTATTTTTATTTTCAGGCGTTTAGCGATGAATTGGATGTGCGGCAGGGTGATTTCGAGAGCATTCGCAGCCAAGGCGACCGATTGGTTTGCCAGCTCAGCGATCAGTCCGAACGAGAGGTGCTTCAAAAGCAGATGGATGACATTTCGGATCGACTGGATCGTATCCAGAATCTGGTAAATGACAGAGGACAGAGAATCGGCGAGAGAAGTCATTACGGAGTCGTAGAGTTTGAAGAGTCATTGAGAGTTTGCTACGATAGAATGGACCAGTTTAAAAGCAAGTTGCGGGAAATGGAGAATTTGGAATCGAACAACGAAGGGAAAAATAAGTCACAGGTGGGTCAGTTAAAGGTAAACCACAGGTTAAAGTTTTGTTTCGATATTTTTCCGAGTCATTATTTATCACACCGCAAACCTTGTTTGCTGTAAACTGATCCGAAATAAGGAGAGGGAAGCAGCTGCGAATAATTTGGTGAAATTAATATGAGAAAGATTGAGTCTTATGATATGCATGATGTGCGTACACACCGACGGAATAGATTGTTTGAAAAACAACATTTTTTTTCGTTAAAGCGGTATCCTTGCTTCGCCCTTCAAACTATTTAAAGCGATCTAACGGGCGCTACAGGCTCAATATGGGAAAGTCGTATGTTACTGAAGACGAATCGATTAATTATGAGACCATGCTGCGAGATAACCGTCGCAATGGTTGAAATCAGAGAACTCAAAACATTCACGCACTTCTCGCTTTTGCGTCTTTAACCGCAATTGTTCTCTCGACCAAAGCCTTATTTCCTTTATTATCTTTTCATTCTCTTCTTAGTAATGACTAAGATTAACAGAACTTGCCCGACACGCTTCATTGAAGCGAATTTAAATACATTGTCACGCTCTGAGCCTTTGAGAACTCGTTAGGAACAAAATCCTTTCCCTGCATAGAGGGCGAATATTTGTTTATTATTTAATAGGTGTATACTTCTTTTGTTTCCATGTGAATCGCTAGGAGCTCAAATGGAGTTAATCTCTTTTTTTTGCTTTCAATTATTTTTTTTCTGTTTGTTGTCAAAATCACGCTCAATATGCTCTCGAAGTGTCCTCCTCATCAAGTGAAAATGTCTTCTCGATAATTCTCTTTCCCGATCATCAGCAAGTTAAAGCTGAGTACGTTTATTTTTCGATGGAACAGTTGCTTGAAGTCTCCAATGCGATGAGATTTGACTGCTCTTTATATCTCCTTTTTTGTTTACCGTTTGGGATTTATTATAGTTGTTTAAAGGAAAAGGTAATTAAGCGGAGTCTCTAAAACCAGAACCAGAATACCTTAATCGACTTGAAACAGTCATGTCTGCTGCACGAGGACTGGACTCTGATTTTGTTTTACTTCATTTTGCTAGTTATAGAATTGATTGAATTTATAAAAAAATGTCATTTACAACAAAAAAATCTTCAAGAAAATGGAAATACTTTTTGTGCAATTTTTTAATAATTTAACTTCCTGATTTTTTAAATTTTTTTTAATGGATTCTTTGTCAAATCTCTACAATATTCTCTTCGGAGAGATAACTCATCTGCCTTTTTTTAAGTTAGCTCCAAAGACCGAGACACCGCTTAAGATGAAAGTTCCTACCGAAACTATTTCTGTTATGAGTCTCACGAATTCAGACTCGTTTGACTTAAATTTCGTGGCGTCGTGTAGCTTTGAATTTAGCACATACGGAGCAGTTTTGTCTCCGTCGACAGTGACTATTCTCCTCTTGTGTCAGCCGCTACACCTAGCAGTAATAATTATACTTAAACATGGTCAGCATAACAGATAAAGTGCAAGGTAGAATATTTTAAGTAAAACCGTGACACACAGCTTTCCTGTCTTCTGATAGGCGGTATTTTGGTGTGATATGAAGTAGCGGTCCTAAATTGGATCACCACTGTGTAAAAGGTTCTTACTGTTATCTTGAAGTACGTTCTGCAGTGCGCATGACTTGCTTTTGGCTTTTATCGAATATGAGCATGCGTAAAGAGCAAGCAACCTTAATACACCAGTTTGTTTCTCAGAATAGGGCAGCTTGTGACGGAAGTTTGGCAATGAAATGTAATGGTGCAACAAACAAACGGCCGTTCGTATGAAATTTTGACGACTTCCCCAATACAGGTCTAGTTTATAAAATATCAGGTGAATCAGTCTGATATGAAACTGCACAAACCAGAGGGTTTGGCATTTTTTTCCATGGGAAAGGCGTACACAGCAAATAATGCTCAAGAGAATTTCTATGCCTCTCTAAACAATTTCTTACTACAACCAAATAACGAGTTTTGGTTGACAATTGATCATCTCTGTCTGCTGAAGAAATAACCTTGGGTGGCAGTAATAACAGGCAGATTAGGGGTATTATGCGAAGGTGAATATCACAATTTATTTAGCCATAGATACGTTTAAGGAGTCCCTAGTAATTTTACAGTTGTTGATGTTTGGTAAACATAAGTGAAAAAGTACGGTACGTTATTTATTTTTTACGTCCCTGTGTCATATGAATTGACACAACTCGGTTTACATTCCTACAAATTTTTTAATTTACCTATGGAGGATTAAAATTTAATTAAAGACAAACAACATTTGAAATTGCCCTCAGAAGATTAGTTTGTACGGATTGTGTAGAATCGTCGTCTGATTCATTGAGTTAAACTTGCTATTATATCTCGATCTTGTTGCTTTGTTATTTATACCAATGTTTTACTTTTGATACAAAATGAGATCGAAGTGCGTCCCACGACTGGCAGTTAGAAATGCAACAAACCAATTTTTCTTCTTTAGATATTATACTTGCGTAATATTTTGAATTTCATAGTCACTATACTATTATTCTTGGATTGTTATGTTTATAGGATCTTCATTCAGAGGTTGAATTCCTCCAAAGTATGGCAAGAAATATACACGAACAAGGCCAAGCATTACTCTCAGAAATAACCGACGTAGAAAAAGACGCTGTGATAGAAAAGCTGGAAAGATTACAACGAGACATTGTTGCTCTTGGAGAGATTCCTGTTCTGTTGGTGTCTCAGCCTGGTTACGGAGAACCCCCAGGGGGTGAGGGTGCGTCATCTCTCGTTGGTCCGATGAATGTGCATGACATGGCAGAAAATGGAGATTCTGATTTAGGAGACTCAGAAAGCGGTGTCTCATCGATGGAATCCTTTGAAGTCCCACTTCGCAAAGAAAACGGACGGGCTTCGAACGAAAACGGATTGCAAGAAAACGGCGTTTCAAACTATCACCTTGAAAACGTAGATTTGGACGATAATGAAATTCTTGAAGGCGGGATCTCTGTTTCACCGGACGAGTATCAGCGAATACGAATGAGTAAAAGCGGGGAATCAAACGAGGAAATTATGGCTTCTTTTGAATCTGTCGGTTTGGAAAACGGCTTTCACGCACAGAATGTTAAAGAAATTTTACTTTCTGAGTCACGGAGATCAGAAGTTAACCTGCCCATCCTGACCGTTACAGACGAGAATGGGACACCTGCAGAGGTAGAATTTGCTGAGAACGCGACGGAGAAAAGTCTGGGTAAAGAAGGATTTGGTGATCAGGCGGGTGACTTCTTCTTTGATGATTTTGATGTCTATTATGGAGATCGCCCTTCGGAAGCTGTTGATAATATAGACGAGGTATCTGAGCGTTACCGCATGGCCAATGAAGAGATTGAAGGAGATCTACCAAAAAGTGATGCTGTTACAAACAAGGAGAGTAATTCGGACTCTTCACTCACAGATGGAGCTGTTGATCTTTCACAAACTGGTGGAAATTCTGGCAGTCATGTGAATGACATTTCAGAAGTTGCACTCACACCGAGAGTTAGTAAATTAAAAGATGATTTTGACATTTCCGATGACTCTGAACTTGAAAAGGACGTTTTGCGACATAGCACTCCTACTGAGCTTGTCGCGACAACCGCGGATAATGTGAACACCACTCCAGATCTATTGGAAAGAACTACTGATTCTACTGAGGTGTTTGCTAATGTTACTGAAACTTGTGTGCCCCCGTTGATTGAGAAGAAAATGAAAGGAGATACCTCTCTTGATAGAGATCTACATGCGGATTCCCAAAATCGTAATTCGACCGCAGACACAATTCCAACGAATCCACGCGACCCGGCTCCTCGATCCGATCTAGAACCAAGTTTTGTGAGTTTGGGGCCAAACGAAGAAATGGATCAACTCGACAAACTACTGAATATCAACGGGAATACCTCCGAGGACGACGTTAGAAACACTGAAGGGGAAAAACCACAAGACAAAATCGCCTCCATTTTATCACAGCGTCGTAAGGCGGAGGAGGCTGAAAGGCTCCGATTTGCAGAGAACTCGGTTAGAGACGCTGACTATGAGCTTTTCACCTCTCGGCCCTTAGACCTTATTGATAGAAGCTCCCCATTAAAGGATCTTGATGAGTCGGAAAATATTCTGCATGAAAACATGTCTTTGGATGCATTTCTTGTGGAGGTTGAAAAGTTATTGGAAAAGTTGCACTCCATTGAGGAACTGATTACGACTGACTTGGAGGATGAGGACAATGTGAAAGATGAGCTGGCTAAGCATGTGGTAATTTCAAGTTTCAAGTTTAATTCTTTTCAGAGTTTGGAGTATGATTAGTACCTTTCCGTGCTTGTGATTGATATTACAACTTTCCTCAAACGATGTGTACACATTTGGGAATACCCCATTTTACAGTTGTTTACTTAGTTGCCAAGCCTTTTACTTGGAGTGAGGCTGAAAACAAGCTTGTTGTGGTAGAGACCAGCATCTAGTTAGCATGATAACAAAGTAATTTACATTTGAAAAGCAGTATCATAACAAGGTCACCTTAGCCTCACTCCTGTTCATAGGCTTGGAAACCAAGCACGCAACTGTAAAATGGACTAGTGCTGTCCTTACCCTATCGCTTCCACTCCTAAAATATTTTGGGCTTTAATTGCGTTTTGTATTTTTTTTTTCACATACATGTTTAGCCGCCTGAATTCCAATGTTTGCCCCTTTAAATATTGACGGTGGATGGCGCAGAAATATTCTCCGGTTACTGCACTGAAATATAAAACACTTGTGCTTATATTTATTCCCGCCTTCACGTTTTTCTTTTTTTTATTTTTTTATTTTTTATTTTTAGGCTCTGTGTGTTCTTATGTCGAAGCAACAAGATCGTGTTGATCAAATGAACATATTGTCTAACAGTTTCCTTCATGGTAGTGCCAGTATGAATATCATTCTTGAAGAGCGACTTCGAGAGATAAACGCTCTTTGGAAAGAGGTTCAAATGCGGGCGTCATCGAAGCAAGAAGTTCTAGAACGCTGCGTCCAAGAGCAAACGCAGAACTTAGAGAGCACTCGACAGAAAGAAGTGACCGCGTTCACTGAAAACTTCTCATTTTTGAGGTCGCTTTATCTAACTGTCGACTGCTGCGATGAAGATTGTGATAGTAGGCGGGCTGATGCTCTTGAAGTAGAGACGCTTGAAGAGGTTTACGATCAGGAACTAAGTAATCAAATTGAACTTCATGAATTGTTCGAGGAATTGGCGTCCTTGGAGGAATGTGCTGTGTCCGAATTGGTAGTTGAAGGTGATTTAACGAAGTACCAGGAGCAGCTGACACGATTACAGGTGGGTGTAAATCAACTTTGTCTACTCATGATATTTTCTTTGCTTAGCAATGTTTTGGCATTGTTTGGAGAGACATAAGGTCTCTTACTGCGAGGGTGAAGAGTTGAATTCATCGGCGCACCAGGTGTTTATCCCTGTAATTGGGTGGTCTGTAAATGGGTGGTTATTTATGGAGAACTTCACGTGTGTTTATTCCTCAACTCCTGTTCCCTCAAACAGTTTTGCGAATACCAATGTAGGTTTGTTTTTCTTATTTATCATAAAGGAACTCATAGTGAACCTTACGCAATTAAAGCATAAGTTGGATGGCGTCTCGCGACGATTGTCTTCATCTACACCTAAAGACGAAAATCTCCGGCAGCAAGTTTCGGACCTTAACAGTTTAATGAAAGGCGTTATCAAGCTAGTCCTGTCCAAACAACAACACCTGCGGTCAGCAGTGGAAAAGATGGTGAAAGTTGAGACATCGTTACTGAATAGAAGAGATTTCGAAGCGAAGCTTCAGGAATGGTCACAGCTTTTGGGTGAAATGGAAAACTTTGTGGAACACTTTGGGCCTTTTAACGAGGATGACAAAGATTTGGAGTTTCTTTACTTCGAGGTAACAAAGTGCAAAGTTAAATTGGGGCAATTGTTTTGTTGCAATGACTACTTAAATGTCACTGTTTCTTCTGCGTTGAATTCCCGATCTAAATAGAAAATCGTGTCTTTTTTATGTACAGAAACCTATCACGGGGTAAAATGATTGCTAGCAAGTCAAATATCATGGAAAGTTCTCTCCTCATCAAAATATATTCCAGAACTTCAAGAAATTTAAATAGCCTGACCTATGGAAATATTATTGTTGGTTTACGGTTGGTTGTGGTCACCGTTTGTTTGCAATGCATCGTGGCTACATCATGACTTTGGAGTATAGTATTTCTTTAAAAGGAAGAATCTTTTATTTACACAAAAATGATCAAAAACCCTCGAAAAAGGAAACACATGTATAGAGACCCACAAAATCCTCGTGATGTAATTACAATTTTTTGGGCCTAAGAGAACTCTAAACCAAGGTAATTGGAATTCAACAACTCTTTTTTTTTTTTGCATTTTGAATGCAAACATACCACAATATCTTGTACAGAAGCTTAATGTTGCTTAAGACTAAAGTAGAGTAGACCTAAGCTGCCGTGTAGAGTCAACCGATTTTTCTCCTTGTGTTCATAATTTCACAGTTCTTGCAGAGTCACGCGGTAATCCAAGAGTCCCTTCATGACTTTTTAAACAAAGAGTCCTCTGGAGGCGCCAGTCCTCACAAGAAGGCACGTCTCGCTGAACTGAATAAACGCTGGAGCAGAATACGCACCATTCTGCAAAATCGAGAGAGGAAATTAAAGGCTTTAGGTATGTTAATCTCCGAGGTGAAGACCCCTCCGAGACAACCTCTACAGGACGCTATCGTTCCTGAGAAGGAGGAAGTAGTTTTGGATTCACCGCCCAGAGAAATGAAAACGCCAGAGGCTAATGACCCAAGGGTCACTACCCCACGGAGCAAATCTACTTCTCCCGCCCGGGAAATAAAGACGCCCCCAAGCGTGGAAAAGAAGTCTCCAAGGACAAAAAGGAAACAATACGAAGAAGAATTGCGGGAATTTTCCGTGTGGTTGACAAGTCAAGAGAAAGCATTTCATGATCTCGTTGGTGATGAGAGTTTGCCGCCTACAATGGAAGCTTTAAAGGGAAGACTGCAGCAGTTCCAGGTAATCGAACGTAGAAGGAAGTTGTACTTTAATAATTGATTTCTTTTCTTGGTTAGAATATTTAAAGCAAAAAAAACCATGGTGGGTATCCTAGTTTTTAGACACGATACTTACTGGGAAAACAGAAACAATCATGTTGAAATATTTCGTTGTTTTCGCTTCGTGAATAGTTAGTTTTCTGAGACTGCAAAACCAAAACGGCTGAAAACATTTAAGTTTCACTCTCTTTCTCAAAAGATATCGAGTTATCAGTATCTCTTGTTTTTTTTTTTTTTTTTTGGTATCATGGTGTCGTTGTTTCTCTACACTCTATTTTAGAAGGAAGTTGAATTAATAAAAAAAGGAGAGACCCGAAAAAAAGGTACTTTTGAGAAATAAGCATGATAAAATTGGTAACATTTCTCAGTTTTCCTGGGTTAAAGTATCCGTGTCTCCCAATTTTAAGTATCGAAAAGAGTTCAAAATTTGATCTCGATTAAAGCATCGCAGCTTTAAAGAAATTAAATGCTCAGGATTGATCTGTTGGGGTACTCAACCCAAACTCAATCTAAGCAACTTTACTGGGGAATCGTGTATTTTCTAGGGCTTTTCCCGAAGCATTCAGAGCCAAAAGTCGAGGGTGGATATGATGCGACACTATGCGACACAAAGCGGAGAACACGTAGATGTTGATGTCGTCGGCCCTAGGTACGAAGATGTTGCGAAGATTGCTGATAGCATGTGCGAAGTTTGCGAGGAGAGCGCCGAGTGGCTAAAGTCGGTATTAATCCAGTGGCATTCTTTTGAGGAGTCCTCGAGAAAGTTCAACTCTTGGTTGGACAACTTATCTCGGAAATCATTTGCTCTCGCGAGAGAAATGCGTGAAGATCATATTGATGCTGTATTGATCAAAATGATGAAGTATCGTGAACTAGATCGAAAACTTACGGAGCGACAGCCGAGTAAGGATGGTTTGGTGTATGAGGCTGAACAGGTTCTTACTGCAACAGGTAAAGGAGAATGTAGATGTATTGTTGGTTGTACTGGATTGGTTGGAAGAACTTTTTGGCAATCAAGTAGAACCATGTGATATCAGCAGAGTATATGTAACATAGCAGTGTAAGAAATGATAAAAATTAAATGAATTGGACGCGTCTATTTTACTACTGATACCAAGTCGAATTGGAATTCTAGTGTGGGTCAAGTCATAGAAAGGGGGTAAACATTCTGAGCAAGAAGGAAACTAACAGCAAATTTAACCCAATTGTGACACCAGCTACCAGAATCCAACACCAGTTATATAGCAGGAGGCGAGAGTTCTTACCTCTACGCTGTCACAGTTCTTCTTGAATTCTCCTCTTTATTATCCTTGTATCCCTTATTTGATTTGTTATCTTCATAGGCAATGCAGATGTCCAGGCTTCTCTTACTCAGTTCCGAGAGAGATGGCGCGCCCTCCGTCAAGAAACCCGTAGCGAGCGACAACGCATGGAACGGCTCCTGCAGCTTTGGCGGGAATATCAGACTGGTGTCGATGAACTGGTCGACTGGCTTATGTCCATACTTAGTCTGATGAGGAACGATGAGATCTGCGATGACAGTTTGGATATGTTAGAGGCGCAGTTGGAACAACTAAGGGTAAGTTATTTCTCTATGGCAACCTCCCGAAGATGTACAATTTTTTTGGCTTTGTTGTTGTCAAAAAAATATTGAGCAGAGCGCTCTTCGAGTGAGTGTCGTATAAACAAAACCAAATTATTTTATCTGATGTTATGCTAACGGGTACAGCTAAAGCGAGTTGTATTCACAAATAGATGAATTACATGTAAGTCATTTTTTTTTTATTTATGAATGAGTTTTGCGCCATTTTCTGCCAAGATCTCAAGGTAAATCACGGACACAGCCTGTTTATTCTGCACTTAAGCGAAAAAGTATTCCTTTAAGTTAGCATGGGCACTTCTTAACCTTTTAACCCCTAGGAGTGACTAGCATCTAAATTCTCCTTACAATATCACCCCCAAATGACACATTCAAGGTAATGAGAATAAAGGAAATGGTCACCAACTAGAGAAGCTCTGGATTATGAAACAAATTCTCATCACCACCTTAGGGAATGTATAGGGAGCAGTATGGAGACTATGCATACTGATGTTAGGGGGGGGGGAGGGTTAAGAAATCATTAAAAATGCACGAGGAAACGCAAACCCCTGAAAAGTGCCACCTACTTCACAGCTCTAAGAAATTTCGTTTTAACAAGTCTCTCTGTTCAAAACTAGTGCCACAGTATTCTTTGTCAGGATGAGTTTAGCAAGGGACCTTGCTAGCTTCAATGTGGCCTTCATAAGCAGTTACACACTTGTTTTCTTTCGTTTTATTTAGCATTATCAAAGTGAAGTGGAGCGTCAACGGTCCATCAAAGACAACTTGGATCAAATTGCGTCGCAGTTGGAAGAAACAACTCGTGGACATGCGGAAGATTTGATAGAAAGTCAGTCCCGACTGAACGAGAACTGGTCGGAATTGTGTGCCTTACTTGAGGACCGTGAAAATGAGCTTCAAGGAGCACAAACCGATCTGCTAATCCTGAAGTGCCAAGACGATGTTGAGCAATTGGAGGCGTGGTTTAAAAGCGCCTTGGACACAATCGAGAAGCCAGTTTTGGTTCTCAGCAGCGCCACGTTTGAAGATGCTAAAGAACAGTTAGGGAAATATAGGGTGAGTATCATTAGACCATTTAGTGTTAGCGTGTATTAGGTATTTCATTCGAACACATAAAGCAATCTTGTTGATAAACGTTTACAAAGCAACAGAGGTAGAAGGAACTCAAGAAACATCAGGGTTAAAATTGTTTTTTTATTAACAGTGGCCTGAGAAGTACTTTCATTTCCGTCGTATTTCGTGAATTTTGTTTTGCAAATTGTCTGTCTACGGTAGGTATGTATCATTATCAGTAGCGTTTTGGGATTAAAAAATGAAAATGGCACTGATTATGATTTCTCTATAATTCAGACAATCGAAAAGGAATTCGACAGCAAACGGGAAATTCTGGAATTACTTAACAAGAGGGTAGACCAGTCACTAAACGAGAGGAGAAACGCGTCTGTAAGGAACGTCATCGGAGGATTGCGGCGGCTTAACGCGCAGAAAACACAACTCATGACCTTTTTGTCGGAAAAGGAGAAACAGCTTAAGCAGGCACTCAACCGTTGGGTGGACTTCCAGAAACTTTACAAGGAGCTAAAAAATATCAATGAATGGTTTGAACAAAGAGAAGAGACGCTGAGCAAGTACCAGAGGATTGTGACTCAGAGGGAATTCGAGATCGCTTTGGAAGATGTCAAGGTGGGTAGCTATATTCGTATCTTGATACTGCCAGAGTTCCCTGCACACGCTTTACCATGCTTCAGATGATGAGTCATCCAGAGGAATAGTCCTACCTTCTTGCTGATTGATAAAGGAAACATAGAAAGGATTAAGTTCACAGTCGCGTGGTTCCTTAAGGAAAATTTTAGATTTTTAAGCAAAAGGGACCTCGTCGGCATTTGCTTCCGAAGATAACTTGACAAGATAAGATATTATTTTTCTTTGGTAAAATGAATTACGAATCAAGTCTTCCTGGGCAAGGTGCACACAATAGTCATTTCAAAGCAATTTAAACTTGCTTGTTGAAAGCGGTTCGGTATGGTATTGATTTTGCTTGACTTTGCTCAGTGATTGGTCCAGCTTACGCACTCCATACTTTCAGCCAATCATATTCAATACTGAAAACAATCGCCACCGGTCACTCGCTTTTTGAGGCACCCGAAATGAATTTTTTTGCAAGCTCTGAGTGGCAACCGGAATTAATTAAGTTTTTATTTTTCTCGTTACCAAGGCAATGAAAGGATTCTTAGTAACGCAACAAGAGGCCGTGAAGAACGTTGTGAGAGCGGCTGAACGTCTGCGTGGAGATACCGCTTTCGACCAGGAGGAAGTACAAGAGACTATTGAAACAGTTCAGGAGAGATGGTCCGAACTGACTACTAAAGTTGACGAATATGAGGTGTGGCTGGAAAGTTCTGTACAGGCATGTAAACAGTACGAAGCTTCTATTGAGTACATCAAGAACGTACTGGGCGATACCGAAGGGATATTGGAAAGAACAAACGATGGAAGTTTTCAAGAACTGAAGGCACAAATCGAACAGCTACAAGTAAGAAAATTTGTAACTTGTTTACGGCTTCTTAACTATTCTTTGTTAGCTATGTACGATTAACAACTGAATTCGTACAACTGTGACACAACCTTGATACTTAACAAATATGTAATGAAACTAAACGGTTAATACAGCCAGTCAAGGGAACTGAAATATCCCAGAGAAGCATGCAAGCACTTGCAGCTACAGTATGCTCGAAAGAAAAGATGAGTTTTTTGTTCTTGTGTCGTTTTTACGTGTGTGGGCATTGTTATCATGAAGATCAAAGGATGTGATTATTTGTCATATCGTAGCTTTGCCACAGTCTTTCTGGAAATTCACCCTAAAAACATATGTGACGACAATTAAATACCTTTTCAGCGTCTTAAAAAATAACTCTATTAATTTGGGTTCGGTATCAACACTGCTAACGAACAATTCGTTTCTTTCAGTAAGCGTACCAAAAGCATTGTCAAATGTTGATTCGAGAGAGTTCTTTGCTCCAAATAAAAGACGGAAATTTGCGTTAACACTTGCGAATATTACAGGAGCAAAATATTTGTCGTAAGGTCAGGTTGAAGTCATATGCAGGGGCTCTCCAGTTTCAGACTGGCGATTTCCTCCAATTGACGCAACCTCTTGAGCAGATTCGTTGTGAAGATGAAGATTTTTTAATGACTTTTTGACTTTTCCTTAAAGGCATTGCGAGTTGACATTGGGGAAATCAGTGGACGAGTGAGCGAAGTAACCGAATTAGCGACAGACTGGGCACAAAACAGTGAGCCTTCGGCGTCGCAACGCCTGACGAATGAAATCACGTCACTGACAGATCGTCATGGCTCAGTCTCTTCTCGTCTTATCAAGAAAGAAAAGGAACTGGAAGACGTTTTGTTGAAGTGGCAGAGGTTTGAGACATCGTGCACGGACATCCTTGCATGGATCGAGAGTCAAACAGCTGTGCTGAATGAGTCTGTTACAGTAGACGTGTCACTCACCGAACAGTTAGAACAGCTGGCTATTTGTCAAGTAGGGAAAATTCAACTTATTTTTGGAATAACCTTTTAAGCTCTCGAGATTGATAATGCAAATAAATGCAAACAATTAAGCCTAGTGAATGATACTTTAAAACAAAGAAAACCCCCGCTAAGGTAAACTCCCCTCTCTGTGAAACAGAAAAAAGGAGTCAAGAAAATTGACTTTCACAAATGCAATGCTCCATGAGAAAATAATTTCCTTAAGTCTTCAGTGCATTCGATTTTTTTTTCCTTTCTCAAATGTTCTGGGGAGGCTTCCTTCACCTTCGATGGCCTGTTCTTCATACCTTTACGTTGGCGCACGAAGTTAGCCTTGGCCCAATCAACGCCAACAAACAAACAAACAATCTGTCTTTCATAGAAAGACTTAATTTTATATAGAACTAATGTTTCCTATGCCCTTGATTGATTTTAGCAAGTGCAGCAGGATTTGGAACTTCACCGTGATTGGCTGACATCGATTAACACAATGGCAGACTCACTGAAAGAAAAGATCCATTCTGGAGCCAATCACATCACCCCGCTTAGGAATGAAGTCAATCAGTCATTTTCCTCGTTTGAAGAACAGCTTCGAACCAAACACGAGCAGTGCGTATTATTATTATTATTATTATTATTATTATTATTATTATTATTATTATCATTTTTACTATTTTTATGTTATGATTATTATTTCTAAATGCCACCTCTACTTTTCTATCTTAAGAAAAAAGCTTGATTATTACTAGTGCTATGATAACAAAATAAATCAGCAAATGCGTTTACAAGATCGAAAAACACGGCGATAAACCGTTTAAGTAAGGACGACAACCAGATGAACCTAAGCCACATACGGCCACATCTTCTCTGTTCTTATATATCCAGTTGCCCCTCCCCCTCCCCCTCCATGTACGCTCACTAAAACAAGGTCTGAGGAATGTTCCTTTTTTATCCATACTTTATCTGCGTCAGATTTTATTCAGTAAATATTCATCACTCTTCTTTCGATCCCATTCACAGGATTGCGTTAGCCACGCGCAGCTTCACGCAACTACAAGAGTCGGTTAACAGCCTTATCACTTGGCTTGATGACGCTGAAACAAGAGCCGTAAACGAGAGAGATTTGGAAAATTCTGAGAAACTGGAGCTACAAGAGGTGAGATTGCCTTACTCCTGCTCAAAAACTCTGTGATCTCACAAATTTCTTTTAATTCCACTTCTTGAATAATTTAAGAAACCAGGAAAAAGCAATAAAATAAGGAAAAGGGAAGAAGTTGAACTTCTATGATACCCATGTGTGTGGGTTGTTGACAGTTACCAAAATAATATTTCAATGTTTCAAATGTAGAATTCGCCTTCTTTCAAGGTCTTAGAATAAGTAAAATAATACTGATCCTTTACTAATGAAAGGGGCCTATGTCATGATAGTCTTTTGAGCTACAAAAAAGAAAATACAGAGATGTACTTACAAATCTGAACTTTTTAAATTTTCTTGGTTTGATTAGGAACTTTTGAAAGATCTCGACGAATCGAATCATAGACTGGAGTCCTTGAACAACGGCATCGATGATATGATAAATGGAACTCACCAGAAAGAATTTCAAGAGATGAAAGATCAGGTAGCACAGCTTGAAGAACGCTGGGATCAATTCAGAAGGAAACTCTCGTCTTCTATTGAAGATAACAAACGGGCGATCAGGAGACAAGTGGAATTTGATCAAGAACACCAGAAAATTTGTGCAGTCCTACAAAATGTCCTGCAAGGAACGGAGAATTTGAGCCTTGATCAGACAGATGTGGCTGTGAATCATGATCATGTAGAGGTGGGTATTTTATCTGTCCATATTCTGCTACTGCTGCTGTCGTCGTTGTTATTGTTATTGCTATTTATAATTAATATTTTCGTTGATTCAGACGTTTATGTTCGCTTGTCCCAGTATTGGAAGCAAGTTAAGGATATTCTCCGAGTTTTCAAGTTTTAATCCCTTTTCCGTTTTGGTTTATTGTTTTTTTATTCTTGTTTTATTGTTTAGTTTTATTGTGGTTTTTGCCGTCATTTTTGTTATCATTATGATTTACTGGTTAGCAAAGATCGTAGGCTTCATGCAGTTGCTTGTATTTTAATTTCTTCAGTCGAACGTTACTTTTTTATTTACTTACTTTGTTTTGTCTTTTTGTGAAGGATTTCCAATCCAACTTCGAAAGATACCGTGTGGATTTCGACTCTCTGCTTCGTCAGTCAGAAGATCTTGATCAAGATGCGCACACAGGGAGTAATTACAAGACACGCCTTGATGATAACATGTCGCGCGTTCGTCAGTTATGGAGCTCTGTGCTGAAGAGAGCAGATGAACACAAAGAGCAAGTTGGTCGGCAGAATGAAAGGTTGAAAGAATTTCAAGGTCTGAGTTCAGCGTTGATAAAGTGGATGGATGGAATTGAAACGCACAGCGGATTCACAGTTCCATCGTCTGCGAGCATTCAACAGATGAAGGTCCACTTTGAACATGTTAAGGTAATAATGTTGAAAAACAAATCTTCAAGTTCATTATTTGGAATTCATACCAAACTTTGCCACACTTCTCCCTTTTTTTTACTCATTTTTTCATACCCCTCAGGCTTTTGCTCCCAGGACAAACAAATAGATCGTAATGAAATAAAATAAGACTGTTATTTTAACTTTAAGCTGATAACAGGTAACAAAATTATCCCATAAGGTCAACTACAATTAAGGAAATTTCTGATTTTTTTTTTAATTGCATTTCACTTCCGAGGATCATTCCGTTACCTCTCTAGCGCTATTCTGTTTTAGCAACCCTTAATGTTTACCCTATACTGAATGGAAATAACCACGACGCCAAATAACTACTGGATATGTCATGAAGTAATTATCAGCGGCATAACGTACATAGTCAGAGAAAAGTAGTGAACTCTATCTGGATACCATCCCTCTACTCTTGTTTGCTGGCTCAGCGCGTCATCGTTCTTAACACTTAAAGTGAGAGTATGAAAATGGGTGTTATAGTTTTGCCAGGAATAGTTGATTTTTTCTACTAGATGTGCCAAAAAGAGATCCATGCTCACAGACCGGAGTACAACAACTTCTGCTCTACTGGTCAGCGAATAATCGAAGAAGCACCAGGAAATTTAGGTAACAAAGCCACCAGTGAACTCGACAAGGTAACGAGGCAATGGGTAATGATAACAAATCGTGTGACAGGCAACCAGCAGCAATTGGAGCTTTCACTAAAAGATTGGCAGGAGTACACGTCACTCAGTGAGAACCTGATGGTGTGGTTGAGGGAGAAGGAAAAAATACTTAGAGCTCAGTCCAAGGCCCTAACGGTTCGTGACGTTGAGAGGGAGCTAGGCACCATGAAGGTACCTTGCTTCTTAGTGTTATATTTTTCGATTGAACGTTGATGCGTATTTCGACATGCGTTTTCAGTTTGCTCTGGTGAAAAGAAAACAAGCTTAATCTTGACAGAACCTATCAGTGAAAGCGAATTTCGAACTAGTACTTCTAATTGTATAAAACAAAGAACATATGAATTTCAGTGACCAGTCAAACTGAGGGAAATAGTAGATGCTATCAGCAGTGTATTACTTGGAGGAAGTTCCCCTCATACTCCACCGATGATCGAGCGTTTTCTTGGACCAACCTTATCTCTCATATCAGTCGTGTGGAAAATTTCCATCTATTTATTATTTATTTATTTATTGGCAACATCATACATTAATTCCAATATATAAATTATCTAACAAAAAATTACTTACAGCGCATAACTTACTAAGAAACTTCCTCGCAGACTCCGAGTGCCAGTTTAAACGATAGGTGAAATTATCTCGCTCTGTCCCTTTTTTGAAATGCAGGTTGTCAGGGAAACCAACACTCTGTTGGTGAGAAAGGTCATAGGAAAGGCTGCATCAATAATTTATCACAAATACCGAGCGCGGACGGTGGATTCTTGATGGACATGAACGTATTTCTTTATTAGCTTTTTTTTTATTCTGTTAGTCCTATGATCTGAATACCCCTTCTAGTTGCGAAAATTTTTCTTTGCAAGAGAATTTGATGTTTCTTCGGGATAGCTTTAGCTGATGAATCTGCATAATATCCTTACATGTTTGCTGTATGATTAAATGATGTTGTGAAGAGCAGCTATATGTAAATATTTATTTGGGAGTTAAAGGATAAGTAAGTTTGCGGTTAAAAATTCTATTTACCATCCATAGGCTATCGCTGGAGAGATCGATGAACGGAAACCTCAGCTGGATAAAATCGCCTGGCGGGCGGAGGAGCTTTCGAAATCAACGGACCAATACGACTCAGAACGGATCAAGAAACAAGTTTCCTCCATGACCACCCTATGGGGAAGCGTTTGTCACCTGTTGTCAAGTTCCATGCAGTCCTTGGCTGAGATCATAAGACATTTCCAACTGTTTAGTCAACTACATGGATCCCTCTCTGATTGGTTGGTTAATGTTGAGTCGTCGGTAACACGTGATCTTGAAGAGTCGTTTCTCAGTATCCCGGATGATCAAGGAGATACTGTCTTTCAGGTTTGATGTTTTAGATCTTTGGCTTGTTTGTCTGTTTGTCTGCACCGTTGATAATGTCGCAGATTCCAGTCGGAAACATATTTACTTGCATGCATGTAGTGGTTGTGTAGTTATTTTTCTTCAAAATGTTATTCGGTATACTTTTTCATTACGCAGGGATATTATTTCAAAAAGCTTTAATTAACACTTTTGGAGCTGTATCCACCTTTTTGTCACCACAGAAATCACCTGAGGAAAGCTCTTCAAGAGAAACATGGTGAAACTGTGGCATATTTCCTTCGCATGGAAGTTAACCGTCGTATTTATTTTCACGCAGGTTTATGTAGCTGACATAGAAGGTCACGAGAACACTAGGTCGACTCTGAACGAAAGTGCGTACTACGTCATTAGCAAGGCGGGTGGTACGCCTTACGCAGGTGCAGTTGCTGAAAAACAGAAACACCTGAATGACCGTTGGCGCGCTTTGTGTCAGCAGTTGGGAATCACATACAAGAAGGCAGAGGAAACTAGATACGGATTGAAACTATTGGAGATTCAACTGAAGCAACTAAATACATGGATGGCCGAGGTGGAGACGAAATTGAGGGAGTTTTCTGTCGTGGGCTCGTGTATTCTTCCTGAGCTTCAAAGGAAAGTGAAGGAAATGAAGGTAATTATCAAAATGTCGGAACACACCTTTTCTCTGTTCTTGCTGATCGTCATTTCATTGTGTCGTTCATTTAATACTCACTCCTTTGTATTCCGAAAACAAGCTGAAATGAAGTCGTATTTGAACTAGTACAATTTTGGCAGGCGGTACGGTTTAAAAACTTGTGAGAAGTTTTTCCTTCCCATACTTTTCAAGAAGTTTTCGCTTGGCAACCTTTCTATCGCAGTGCAGTTGTAAATTTGATTGTTTTGGCATGTTTTCGTTTGGCAATATGAAAGAGGGAACTACCGCAGGGAAATTTCTCTTCGACAATTGTTACCTTGTGCGGAACATGCCAAGTTTTGAACACCAATGCTTGTCACGGAAAAACGTTTTTTAGGGGACAAAATTTGCCCAAAACTTGGCAAGTCAGGTTGAAACGTAGTGACTTGACCAACACACTTATCATAGAACTTTTGAGGGGCTTGAATGAAATTCCACTTTATTGTGTAGTACGTGTAAAGGTAAACTTGTGCTTTTAAGGGAAACATGTCAGCTTAAAATCTGACCAACTGACCTGAGTTCACTTAAGGATGTGCTAATGAACTGTTTATGTGAATCTAGGATACTGAATCAGATGTAGAGCGACGCGCCGTTGACGTACAAACGGTTCTTCGATTGTGCGAGGTATTCTTTAAGTGAAGAAGCATTTATTATTCAGTAATAACTTTTATCATATAAACTACGGTGTTACTCATGGAGTTTACTACGCTCTTTTTTTAAGTACACTTGTGTACTTTCTTGTTTTGATGTTAATTTTTCTCTGGCCTTGAATATTTAATTTCGGTCGCCACTATTACATTTGTAAATTTTTGCTAATCCACTCGATTAATCAGGAAGCCTATTCGGCGGCGTGACTCATTCGCAAGTGTTCGGATATTTCTATAAGATGACAAGGATCAGCATTTCACCTTTACACCCTTAAATAATATTTCATATTCTCCACTCTGTTTTCTCTACTTTTTCTATGGTAATGACAAAGAGAATGTGTTTGACAATCAGGAGCTTCTTAAGTTGGGGATCATTTCCTTTATTCTCATGCCCTGTAAATTTTATTAGAGGGTGATGCTGTGAGGAAAAATAAGAAGTCAGTCACAGTTAGGGATTAAAGAATTAACAACAATGTCGGTGATTTATAACAAAATGTATGTCTGATTCATTTCTAGAAACTTCGCCGGGATCGCATGGCGTGCCCTTCAGAAGAGGATCGTCAAAGTCTGCAAAGGACTAAGGAGAGTTTTGAAAACCGCTGGATAAATGTTCGTCGCACTGTCTCAGCGAAGAGAAGGCAAGCGGAAGAAAGAATGGTGCTGTGCAGAGAGTTTTGGAACGAGTACGAGAAGTTTGTGGAGTGGATTGACGAGACGGAAACCGCTGTCAAGAAATCCGAGGCAGCAATGTCATCAGACTTGGAGGTCTCAAAGAGTAAATTGAAAAGATTTGAGGTGAGGCTGACCTAATAGTTGGAATCCTGATTATTCTGCACGATTATAATCAGCCATTTTTTTTTAGCTCGGTTTTTTTTGGGGGGGAAGATTTTGACCCGACTTAGAGTGTCCATTGTTTTGAAACTTATCATTTCTACGACAAATTAGGATACGCAAATAATTCTGTCTCTGATTTTCCTCTAGGTGTTTCTGGAAGACATAAACTCTCATCGTTCGCAGCTGGAACGTATCATCAAGCGGAGTAAATATCTGCAGCTGGAAGCCAATACTACTTCTGCTTCCGATATCAGACTTGGAGTGGAGTCAATACAGAGCCGGTGGGGAGCGATTCGTAGTCGCGTAGAAAATCTTGTCCACCGCCACAGCAAGTTGTCAGATAAAGCGGAGAAATTCGAGGTTCTTCGTCAAGAGGTGTACAGCTTTTTAACAGAAGCGGAACTCAAGCTGATTACCCTCGATCCTTATACTTCAGAGGTGGAACCAAGAGTTCAGCTGGAGAAACTTAAGGTACTAAGGCTCTGTTAACCCTTTAGCTTCCAGAAGTGATTGACAAGTAACTTCTCCTTACAATATCCATAGAGCTGACGCTTGGTTCCGAATGTCATACAGAGCTGTGTATTAGCTCGTCCTGACTTTGACGTCATTTGCTGAATAATAGATCTTGCATAGCTTCAAAAATCCGAACGCGGGCTTTCTAACAATGAGAAGAATGTACTAGACATCATGATCCATGTTTTTATCTCAAGTTGACATTTATTCCCTCTCAGGGCTTACAAAGACTCATCAATATGAACTATGCGAAGCTTAAAACTTTGCTTCAAGAAGGAAAAGCCATGCGAGAGTATTGTTCACCGTCGGAATTCCAACCAGTACAACAGACGATGGACGAACTTAACTCCAGATGGCAACAGGTACCGTTTAAATCTTGATCAGGGCTGTCACTAATTTTGAACATGGAAGGTGCATAAGAAGAAGAAGGCGGTCGACGGTGCTGAGTAACGTTCGCGCATTGTCACAAATACGCTTATAAATCCGCAGCAACAGATACGTTGATAAGTATGGGGGTAATTTTTAAAATGTCGAAATCCTTGATATCCCTCATCCATTAAGACATCTATTAAGCATACTTAAACATACTACTGCTGAGGACTGTCCAGCTCTCGTATCGATGTTGTTGTAGCCCAACCTACCCTAAAGTATTGTCTCATTGGATTGTCATTTCTGTAACAAATATAGTTTTTAATTCTCTCTATTTGTGTTTGTTCAGGCCCTCCACTGCTGCATGACGTGGATCTTGGATCTAGCAATTCCCAGTCCTCGCTCCAGTGCTGCGGCAGCAGCTGAAACGAATTAATTCGTCCCGGAATAACATGTTCAATGTTTGTGAGTTTTGACTTTAATTGTCCTTTTTGAAATCTTGGAAAAGATGGCAGACAATGATTTCCCCGCTAAACTCCACCTCGTTTGTGCCTTTTTATTTTTCTTGAGCGTGACATTGAGCTCTTTCTGTACCCCGCACAGTACCCCTCTACTCTTACTTAGGATAATCAATGGGTACTGGTGAACTTTCGGGAAACTTGACGAAACTGCTGGAGGGCGGGAAAGAGGGGAGGAGGGATTAAACCGAACGCCATCCAGGAAGGTTCTTCGCAATGCGATTTTGCGGAAACCGGAATACTCTCTTTCCATTTTTAGCCACTAAGCTTGTGCGAGTTATTATGTTTTTGGAATAATTTGTCGTGTGAGACCATAATCATGCTACCCGTCTTGAGATATTTCTTGTTATAAAATTAATGAGATTAAACGTGCGCCCTTCTAGGTTGATAGCTTTGTTTTGATTGGAGAATAGTCGCTCTGTTGCGAGGCGTAAGATCCACGCCCATTTATAAAAGGCCTGGGAGTTGGGAAAACCCGTAACAGATATGCGAACCCTCGAGTGTGGGTCGCGTGGGGGTTTGGAAAACCCGTGACAGATATGCGAACCCTCGAGTGCGGGTCGTGTTTGCATAACTATCGTTAATTCTTGCTACAACTCAGCTGATTAGTTGAAGCTATCTGAAGGCAGAAAAAATCATGTGGCTGAAATCTTTTTCACAAGCAGCATCCACGATGATTTGCTGCCGGCCAAAGGAAGCTGAGCTGTACTGAATTTTTTTTCTCTCTTTTGTTTTAGGTTATACTTGCAATTAAAGGAAAAAGGTCATGATTATCTCCGTTTGGAAAGTACTTTTTATGACTATATTTTTTTCGACGAATGATCTTGTACATAGAGATCAATACTTGGTTTATAATTGTGTATATAAACTCCCTCCCCCCCCCCCCCTACTCACGCAATACGTTGACAACACTTTGTTATTTCTACGACTGGCCATTTCTATACAGCAATGTGCTTGTTAGGTTATCTTAGAGTTTTTAAAGGATATTCATATTATTATTTTCAGTGTATTCGGCTCGGCTTTAATCAGAGGTAATAGATTTTCTTCCTTCACTGAACGAGTGTAGGTGAAGTATTTTTACAGGACTCTGTACTTAATATGACATAGTGTCCTCAGATACGTGTATATTAGTTAATAGTTTAAGAAATGCAAAGTTATTTTTATAGACTTGTCTAAAATATTGTTGACTCAGAAGAGTAACCTTTATATCAAACGATGTTTGTTCATTAAAGACACAAGAGACTAGTATTTGTTTGCAATGTGCCTTTTGCTGCGTCAATTATTCAGCTTAAATTATTGGGGACTGCTAAAGCCCTCTTCCACATTCCAGAGACTTTTAGAAAACAATAACGACTTTGCGTCAACACTTCCATTGTAAAATGATTGAATCTTCAAACTATCATATCTTGAGCATAAAATCTCGCGGGTCGTTAAGTGTGCGCGAAGATTTTTTCCAAGGTTAGACTAATCCAGGGTCAGGCTGAGTACAGGCTACACCAAATAAACAAATTTCAATATAAAACTTTGGGGCCCTGTTTACCGAGTGCTTTGAGGAGCTACGTGTTTTTTGTACATGATTATTCGCTTTTTTTGATCGAATCCATAGGTAACGAAATGCAACGGGTTAAATGAACTTACGTCTGAGACCACTTGTAAACCAAATAATAAATTTTGACGGTTAATTTGCATATTGTAGATAAAACTATAATTTTGGATCAAAAGCCTAAGAACTGAATGCTGCAGAAATACTTAACAGATTTTCTCTTTAGAGTGAATAGTTCTTCATCGCCTGAAGAAGATTAGCAGTCGAAAGTGACCACATAGTGAGAAACGGTTACATTTCTCTTATGAAAGTGTTATTTACCGCGATGACTTACAAAAACGTATTTTACTTTATAAGCGAGTAGTTGTCTGGGATCATCCAGGCTTGTTTTATCGATTAGTATTGGACATGCCTGCATACATTATTTCCATTGTCGACTAATAATGGAAATTCCTTCACATATTATTGAAATTACATTGACGTCCGATGTCATCATCAAACTGATTGTCTGAAACATCGCACAAGTATACATTGATGAATAGATCACTTTATTCTACCTGAAGTACTCATCAAACAGGCAGGTTAAATGAGATACAATGTGTTTGGTGTATGTCGGGGGAAAATGAGATATAGGTATGTTATTTTTATTGTATTCAATTGTTTTGAGATGTTTAGGCTTGGATATACATGAGCACCAGTGTAAGAGAGTGGAGTAGGGTGGAGTGAACGGGCCGCCCAACCATCCTAATTTAGCTGTTAACCAATCAGAAAGCGGTAATCAGACCTAACCCAGTCTGACCGGTTCTGCTCTCTGAAACTTTGCATAGTGACAGACTTGCGAGTTATCGAAAATGGCGGACATATCTTTTGAGCGACACCGTCAAAACTTGTTTTGAGGAGATTACAGTTTAAACTAACGGAAAAAAGATTTTTTAAATATATTATTAAACAACAAAATAAAGAGTGGATCAAAAGAGTTAGAATGATAGATCTTCGCTTTGGATATGGGTGCTGAACATCATTTTGAAATCCTTACAATTGAAAGACAAAGTCACAACTTTCATTATTTGAACCTTGGTAAACTTTGATAAATTGTGCATGAATAAACCAGATCACTACGAAGTCGAAATCTTGATCGAATAAGATGCCATTTACTTTATGAACAAGCAGAAATTTTCGCGTCAGCTGATTTTTAATTTTAAAGTTATTCGTATAGTCAGAAGATTGGCTCGGGAGAATGAGTCGGTAACACTTTGTCCACGACTAGAATAATGAAACCTTTACGCCGTGGTATTGGAGCAAAAGGTGAATTCATAAAAAGTTACCACTAAGAATTTATCCAATAGAGCCTTATTGGGTTGACGGACCTGTCACTAAGTTCTTTACTAAAGCAGAGTTCTAAAATGAATAAGCACAATCTACATCCCTTTCAGTGAAGTTTATTTCAAGAAAGCCAGTCCCTTTAGAGAATTACTCGTACACATAAATATCCCATCGTTCCCTTCAACTCCATTGACATTTCTGTTATCCTTTTTTCTCCTTTTCAGCCCAAAATTTATCTCTTTTCTACACTATCAGTGAATATATGTCCCTTGTTACTTTTCGTTACGGAGGAAGGGCAAAGAGACGCGACAAGGCGCGGCGACGGCGCTTCTTCTTCATTTCCATGATCTCACCATTTTGGTTCACAAATTCTTCATTTGCGTGTGAAGGTGTTGATTCGCATGCCTGTCTCCCGCATCCACATTCCGTGATGATATCCAAGTCGGCCGTTTTTCTCGTTGTTTCATTTCCATTTTTGCAGATCAAATTGATTGTCACAATGGTATTATTAGACGGCTTGCAACACTTGCAGTTTTTACTTCCGTAGCCTTCTGGCAGAGTTTTTGCGATAGTGCTCGACTCACAATTACCTCTGCATTCAGTGAGACTAACCTCGGATTCTGATTCACAGCCGTCAGGGAATTTAAGGATACTTGGCGCCCTATGGCCGAGTTTGCAGATGTTCTCATCGTCTTCCGTTTTTACTATAAAATAAATTAAACATATCGTCTTTATACGAGCCATTATTGTAAACTAAATCAGCGTCCTTTAAAACGTCGGGCCTGCAAAACCACTGTAAAAAAAAAGATTATTTCTAGATTGTTTTAATAGGTTATGAATGATACTACACTGGAAGGTTTGAAAGAGAATGGCACTTCGTTGCCAACAAAACAGTGAATTCGGTTTATATTTTGAGTTGCTGGTTCGAAAGAGAAATCCATGTACACGACCGATCATGTTAATCCCACCCTTTCCCCTCCCCCCCCTACTTAGAAATAATTGTATGAAGAATAGAAATACAAACCGCATTGTGGACAGCATTGATCCTTTGATGGTGGTCGTTCGTATCCCTTCAAAGAGGAGAAAATGTTTGTTTTTAATTTTTACTCTAAGCTGCATTTCTCAAACGTGAATGACTTTCGAAATTTTGTCAATGAAACACTTTTTCGTAATGTGGCGCTCTGAAAAACTTAGCTCCCAGCGATATCTACCTTAGTGACCAGCATTAAGACATTTATGTAGAAATGATATGTGTGGTTTGGTTAGGTGCAACTGTAGCACAACATGAACGCAGACCGGTTGATCGGAGGCTTCAGATGATGAATTCGAGCTGGGTTCGGCTAATCAAAAGTTTAACTTTGTTAAATCAAACTAAAGTTACTATTTACTTGGCTTTGAATGTAATGGACTGAAGTAACCATAGTAAACCAACGGTCAGCTACTGCTATAATTGAGACTACTTTTAAAGAGTAGGAATTAAAATCTCGAGCTCCGATACTTGAAGAATATTGTATATTATCGCTGATGGGTGTCGTAATGGACTAGTGGTGGCTAATAATTAAAGCTCTATCTAGGTGTTTAGCCAGGCAACATTTCGACAGATCTACAAACTATCTTGACAAAGTAAAAAATAGAAATGCATTCAATTTTAATAGCAATCCACTTACCTTAGGACACTCAGAACATTCCTTTATGTAGACTTCTATTTGAGCGACTTGGTTGTTTTCAAAGCAATCATTAAAAACCATTTTACATTTGACAGTCTTGCAAGGCCCATCCGTCCAGGTTTCTCCCTCCTATAAGCAAACGAAAAATGCTTTAAAATAAGTTACCAATGCAATCGTAAATTGAAGAAAGTGCTATTCTTGAAAACAGTCAGTCGTGAAACCAATGTATAACACACATTCTTAATGTGTGAGTTTGGTGGGTAAGGATCAGCAGAATCTCAAATTTACGAAGTAACGACTGATACTCCTCTCATAATACCGATTTCACTCCTTTCACCCTTTAACTCCCAGAAGCATTAACTTGTTGCTTCTCTCTGTCACATTCATGCATCACCTAGCACTTTGGTATTAAGAATACTCAAACTTATCAAGTAGATTTTATCGTGATCCAACACAAAATTCTTGTGACTAATTAACAAGGAAATGAGTAGCTGAGTAGCAGCCAGAAGGAGAATTGATCAGATCTTAGGAGAGGGAGGTTGACTCAGTCACGCTTGGCTCAAAAGTTGGTTGAGTATTCGAGAGCCCGATGCTCTTATATCAGCATTATGTATCAGAATGTTGTCATGGATTCACATGTTATGACCACCTGACTAACAAGGAGGTTCATGGAGTATACAGGAACAAATAATCTTTTTCAAAAGTGCGAGAAATATGTGGTAACAGTTATAAAAAGATCGGGATCTCAGTCTCGACTTACGTGATGCTTTTCAGTTTCATTGAATCTATTTGTGTATACACAAATCGGACAGATCGAACCTGGAAGCCAAAGAAAAAGTGAAACAAAATTACTTCCAAAAAGTGTGGGAATTCTGCATTTCAAAAATTGTGACGTGCGTACACGACAAAACTAGACACCTTGAGAGAATTACCTCCTAATTTGTTCAAAAAAGGTCAGTTGTGGTTAGAAAAGAACCTCTTTTTTTGGTATGGGTACTTTTCAATTTTTAATCACAAGTGCAAATGTAGCTAAAGGGGTTTTTAAGGCGGCATGCCGTGACAATGGGATGTTAAAAACATTTAGTTCGATCTAGATTTGTAACATTTCAGCAAGTGTTGTTGCTAAAAAAATAACGCCCCGACAAGAAAGCTTTCACAATAAAAAAGTCGAAAGTTATTTAAAACCATTGATTAACGCGAATAATTTTTCATACATAGGGCTTTAAGCTTTATGAGGTGGGAGGGGGGAGAATTTGAAGGGAAGTGTGATACTCAAGAAAATTCCTCTAAATAAAGATTAACGATTGCTAAAATATTTGAAGCACTTACTACTTGAGACAGATGTCGAAACTGACGAGGATGTAGTCGGTGAGATTGAAGAAGAAATTGAGGAGCTAAGACTCGAGCTGCGAGGAGACAATTACATCAAACTGTTAAAAGCTATTTCTTTCAAAGCATAACTAAGAATACGTTTGGTTTGTGAGTTTTTGACCACTAAAAATCTGAATAAGTTTCAGGTAACAACGGTTGAAAGAATGAAACGTACCTTGATGACGTACTAAGAGAAGTTGAGGTCGGCGTTTTACTTTATGAAATAAAAAAAAATGAGTTAAGATTATCAAAAGCTGCGTATTTCTTAAATGTTTTCATTTACTGAGTTGCAACAAAAGCTTATGGCGCAGATCACCGATTCCTGTTAAATTCCTCTCCAAGATCACTGCAATTACTCACTGAAGAGAAAGTGAAGGTTCAATATATTACTCCCCTTTAAGCGAGATCGCAGTCGGGTTCATTTTAAACCACAAAGTTCGTTCCCGATAACAAAATAATACTCTAAAGCACCCAAAACAAGCTTTGGGAATCATCATACCTTGACGAGGTCGACAGGCTCGATGAGCTTGAGATTGATGATGAAGTCGACAAAGAACTTGATGTCGAGACAGAGCTAGATGTGGATGCTGAACTTGATGTCGAGGCAGAGCTGGATGTAGAAGCTGAGCTGGATGTCGAAGCAGAGCTGGACGTCGACACTGAGCTCGATGTCGAGACAGAGCTAGATGTGGATGCTGAACTTGATGTCGAGGCAGAGCTGGATGTCGAAGCTGAGCTGGATGTCGAAGCAGAGCTGGACGTCGACACTGAGCTCGATGTCGAAGCAGAGCTGGAAGTTGACACCGACGACGAAGTTGAAACACTCGAAGACGTCGAAGCAGAACTTGATGTAGAGACACTAAAATGTGTCACAATTTATTCAAAATGATGACTGGTTATTTAAAAATCTTTTGAATAAAAAGTAAACTATCGCTTCATGAAACTATATATCTGAAGGGCAACTTAACTTCATCATAGAATTAGCAAACAAAGAACAAGACAAAGATGTTGAAACTCACGACGGAGTGAAGAAAGGCTACTTTTATACAAAGTTTGAGACAAAAGTCTATATATCCCTTTCGTGATGATTATGTTAAGCCGTAAAAAGAATAATCAAAATAAAATAAACACCTTAAGAGATCCAGGAGAAAGGTCACTAAAATGTCATTCATACCTTGTCGTTGTTGGTGTCGAAACACTCGATGACGTCGATGATGATGTTGACGCAGAACTTGAAGTTGAAGCGCTGATTAAAAAATACAACGTTCACCGATAAATTTATACCATCTACTATAAATTACGAAAAAAAGAATAAAGTAACAGTGATCAAAATAGTCCTCCATAGAATGATGGATAATTTGCTGATACCTTGAAGAGGTTGACACACTTGATGAGGTTGATGCAGAACTTGAAGTCGATACACTAGAGGAGAATTAAACGATCTCAGGCGTCAGAAAGGCAGATAAATACGGCTTTGAAAAACATATAATAATATCTGTTTTTCATAAACATGAAAATTTTTGACCAATCTTCAATACCTTGAGGAAGTTGACACACTTGATGAACTTGACGTGGACACACTGAAAAAGAAAATCGATCAGTTCCTTGTGTAAACTGTACACGCTTAATTCTTTGAAAACTTACCAAAATTTTTACAAACAAAACTTGCTTTGTACGGAGTTTTACAATCATTAGAATGGCGCATAAGAGTTTTTCAATTGCAGGAATAACGAGACCCTCGGCTTATTGCTTGAAAGTGTAAGCGTACGGTCTCGACTTGTGATAAAATGAAATCTTGCGAAACAGAAGACGTCGACACTGACTATGATATTGAAGCGCTTGAGGATGTTGATGCCGACGACGATGTCGAGAATCTCAATGAGGTCGAAATTGATTACGATGTTGAAACGCTAGATGATGTGGACATCGACAACGATGTTGAAGTGCTTGATGATGTTGTTGCCGAAGAAGAAGAGGACGCACTATATCTACACTTCAAGAACTTTAAAAAAGTTTACAGTATATAAATTATTTTATTCCCATCGATGGAATTGTTTACTTCTAAATGCCTAACTTAGATTTTTTTCGATCAAAACTTTAGTTTCAATATCATAATATCATATTATTGAAAACTAAAGAAGATTAAGTCCTTACCTCGTCGTAGTTGGTGTCGAAACAGAGGAGGATGTCGACACTGACGATGATGTTGAAGCGCTTGATGAAGTTGATGCCGATGATGATGTCGAAATGCTCGATGAAGTCGAAATTGACGACGATGTTGACACACTTGAGGAGGTCGACACTGATGATGATGTGGAAGCACTTGATGATGTCGACGCTGACGACGATGTTGAGACAGTTGATGATGTCGACGCTGACGACGATGTAGAAGCACTTGATGATGTCGATGCTGACGATGACGTTGAAACGCTTGATGATGTTGACACAGAACTTGATGTAGAAGCACTTCAAAAAAGCCATGAGAAAATATTAAAGGGAACAGTAACTTTCAAACAAAGCTTCATTTGAAAAGATTAAAAGAACAAATAGGTTAAACTCCTACAATTTATCTCTAGACATAAAAACATTATATAGATATCTGAACATTAACGTCTACAGGCCAGAAATAGACACTTTGACATAAAATTAGAATAACGAATGACGAATAAAAAAAAAGGTTGACTTCGTCCACAGATATTAAAATTAAAGTGATTTGAAACAAAAAAGGTTTCTTCTTAAAAACTAAATGAAAAAAAGTAAAAGGTTGCTTCAAAATATTAATAGTAACCTGTAAGAAGCGGATGTACAAGGTAATGATAACGTAAGGAAGCAAAAGTATAATTTATACCTCGTTGTTGTTGGTGTTGAAACACTCGATGACGTAGACGCCGAAGATGATGTTGACGCAGAACTTGAAGATGAAGCACTGATTGGAAAGTAAAATTCACCAAAATATATAAAGGCAATGATCTAATGGGTCCTCATACTAATAATTATTGACACAATGGATTATTTTCAATTAAAATAAAGATCTAAAGTTTTTTCTGTTCTTCTTACCTTGACGATGTTGAGACACTTGACGAAGTTGACGCAGAACTTGATGTCGACACACTACGGGGAGATAAAAAGATTCCAAGTGTTGAAAAGGCTAGTAGAAATAGTCTATCTTTAAAATCTTTAAATCAACCTGATGCAATCTGTGTCTGATGCATTTCAACTTTGAAAAAAAATTTAAATACCTTGAAGAAGTTGACACACTTGATGAACTTGAAGTAGAAACACTGAAATAAAATCACGGATTAAAATTTCAATCAAACCTTGTACGTCTTTCAACAAACCATGATCATTTTGGTTACAGTGAAAAAAGCTTTCAACCTGCCTAGAAGTTGTATGGTATCATCTAAGATATACTAGAAACAAAAGCACACCGGTCAAAGTTTCAATTGTATTGCTACTACCTCGAAATGTGAAAATATTAGTGCGAGTCTCATACGAGATTGAACTGAATCCACGCAGCGCATACCTCGTTGTAGTTGGTGTCGACACAGAAGATGATGTCGACACTGATGATGAAGTTGAAGCGCTCGATGAAGTTGAAGCCGATGACGATGTCGAAATGCTCGATGAAGTGGAAATTGACGACGACGTTGAAACGCTTGATGAAGTCGATACTGACGATGATGTCGAAGCACTTGATGATGTCGACAATGAGGAAGATGTTGAAGCGCTCGATGATGTCGATATTGACGAAGATGTCGAAGCACTTGATGATGTTGATACTGACGACGATGTTGAAGCGCTTGATGATGTTGATGCAGAACTTGATGTAGAGATACTATAAAGAGATTTTAATCATTCTTTAAGAAAAGTCTCTTTCTTAAAAGTTTAATTTAAAAAACCATACTGTCAAAGAAAAAAAAAGATGTCAAGGCTTTAACTACTTCTACTTCTTAACTATAAACGTAAAGAAAATTTATAGATTCTTGGAAACCAAAAATCCAGAATAATGCAGTAGACATCAATGAGTACCGAGTATTTAACTTCAGTAAATAATAGAGATATTAAAAGTGACGTTGATCTCAAAAAAATCATATTTACTCTTACAAAGAAGTTGAAGAGAAAAAAGTTGACATGTTGCATTAAATTAGACTCTGTAAAGCAATATAAAAAACATCAACAATCACCTTGAAGAAGTAGATGCACTAGATGATGACGAAATCGACGATGATGTGGACGCGGAACTCGAAGTAGATACACTAAAAACCAACACGTTTACTTTTACAAGAAGTTAAGGGATATAATCTATGTATCTATTTTTCAATGTCTAAGATAAGTCGAGAACAAAAACATATTCACCTCCGGAAATATTGTCTCAAATATATCATTTATACCTTGTTGTTGTTGGAGTTGAAACACTCGATGAAGTCGACGCCGAGGATGATGTTGTCGCGTAACTTGAGGTTGAAGCGCTGATTATAAAGTAAAACACAACAAAATGTAGGTAATATTTTACAAATAAGGTGCAAAAACAAATTAAAACAAGGACAACATCTACAGCAGTCCACTAACTATACACTAATCAAACTATGGATCGATAAATGATACGATCGACTATTTGCAGTTAACATAACGATCTCACGTGAAACCATCATGGTTTTTCCTACCTTGACGATGTTGAGACACTTGACGAAGTTGATGCAGAACTCGATGTCGACACACTACAAGAAAATTAACAAAATTGAAGTGTTGAAAATTTAAGAAAGGTAGTTAATCGTTACATATTTTAAAGATGTTACTACAATTAAATCTGTGTTTGATGCGCTTTAACTTAAACACAACTTCTAAATACCTTGAGGAAGTTGATACGCTCGACGAACTTGAAGTAGACTCACTAAAAAGAAAAACATGGAATAAGATTATGGCTCAGAATGTATACAAACAACTCAGCTTTAGACATAAGTCCTTTAAAAACCCATCCAGGGGGGTTCCTAGGGGTCTTTCAAGAATTATGTTAGACTACAATAATAGTTTGGTTACAGGGAAAAACTGATTTAGAAAGTGTAAAATATTAACCAACATATAATAGAAACAAGAGCAAGCTGTTTATGGTAATAATTGTATTGCTATTGTCTCGAAATGTGGCGATATGAGATTTGAGTATCATATCGTCCTGTGAGATTTAACTAAATCATAGTGGTGTATACCTCGTTGTAGTTGGTGTTGAGACCGAAGATGATGTCGAAACTGATGATGTTGAAGCGCTTGATGAAGTTGACGCAGACGACGATGTCGAAATGCTTGATGATGTCGAAATTGACGACGATGTTGACACACTTGATGAAGTCGACACTGATGATGATGTTGAAGCACTAGATGATGTCGACGCTGATGACGATGAAGAGACACTTGATGATGTCGACGCTGATGACGATGTAGAAACACTTGATGATGTCGACGCTGACGACGATGTAGAAGCACTTGATGACGTTGATGCTGACGATGACGTTGAAATGCTTGATGATGTTGACACAGAACTTGATGTAGAAGCACTTCAAACAAAGCCATGAGAAAATATTATAAGAAACAGTAACTTTCAAGCAAGTCTTCACTTGAAAAGATTTAAAGAACAAATGGGTTAAACTCCCACATTTCATCTCGAAGACATGAAAACATTATATAGGTATCTGAACATTAACGTCTATAGGCCAGAAATGGACACTTAGGCACAAAATTAGAGAAAGGACTAACTCACCAGCTTAGGATAAAAAAAAAAGTTGACTTCGTCAACAGGTATTAAAAGAAAAGTGATTTGACACAAAAAAAAGGTTTATCCTTAAAAACAAATATGAAAAAAGTAAAAGGTTGTACCAAAACATTAATAGTAACCCTCTAAGAAGCGGATGTACAAGGTAACGATGACGTCAGGAAGCAAAAATATAATTTATACCTCGTTGTTGTTGGTGTTGAAACACTCGATGATGTAGATGCCGAAGATGATGTGGACGCAGAACTTGAAGTTGAAGCACTGATTGAAAAGTAAAATTCGCCAAAATATATTACAACAGTCCATTAACCACTGAGAAGTGATACTATGGATCATAAACATTACCCAATATCGTAAAAATAAAGGCAATGATCCAATGGGTCCTCATACAAATAATGATTGACGCAATAGATTATTCTTTGCTAAAATAAAGATCTAAACCTCTTTCTGTTCTTCTTACCTTGACGATGTTGAGATACTTGACGAAGTGGACGCAGAACTTGATGTCGACACACTACGAGGAAATGAAAAGATTTCAAGGGTCGAAAAGTTAAGTAGAAATAGTCTATCTTTAAAATCTCTAAATCAATCTGATACAATCTGTGTCTGATACACCTTGACTTTGTAAACAAAATGTAAATACCTTGAAGAAGTTGACACACTTGATGAACTTGAGGTAGAGACACTGAAATAAAATCATGGATTAAAATCTCAATCAAACCTTTTACGTCTTTCAACAAACCATGATCAGGAAATCTGAGGGGTTTCTCAACAATTATGATGAGGCATAATATTCTTTTGTTTACAGTGAAAAAAGCTTTCAACCTGCCTAGAAGTTATATGGTATCATCTAAGATATCAAAGAAACAAAAGCATACCGGTCAAAGTTTCAATTGTATTGCTACTACCTCGAAATGTGAAAATATTAGTGCCAGTCTCATACGAGATTGAACTGAATGCATGTAGCGCATACCTCGTTGTAGTTGGTGTCGACACAGAAGATGATGTCGACACTGATGATGAAGTTGAAGCGCTCGATGAAGTTGAAGCCGATGACGATGTCGAAATGCTCGATGAAGTGGAAATTGACGACGACGTTGAAACGCTTGATGAAGTCGATACTGACGATGATGTCGAAGCACTTGATGATGTCGACAATGAGGAAGATGTTGAAGCGCTCGATGATGTCGATATTGACGAAGATGTCGAAGCACTTGATGATGTTGATGCTGACGACGATGTTGAAGCGCTTGATGATGTTGATGCAGAACTTGATGTAGAGACACTACAAAGAGATTTTAATCATTCTTTAAGAAAAGTCTCTTTCTTAAAAGTTTAATTTAAAAAACCATACTGTCAAAGAAAAAAAGATGTCAAGGCTTTAACTACTTCTACTTCTTAACTATAAACGTAAAGAAAATTTATAGATTCTTGGAAACCAAAAATCCAGAATAATGCAGTAGACATCAATGAGTACCGAGTATTTAACTTCAGTAAATGATAAAGAGATATTAAAAGTGACGTTGATCTCAAAAAAATCATATTTACTCTTACAAAGAAGTTGAAGAGAAAAAAGTTGACATGTTGCATTAAATTAGACTCTGTAAAACAATATAAAAACATCAACAATCACCTTGAAGAAGTAGATGCACTAGATGATGACGAAATCGACGATGATGTGGACGCGGAACTCGAAGTAGATACACTAAAAACCAACACGTTTACTTTTACAAGAAGTTAAGGGATATAATCTATGTATCTATTTTTCAATGTCTAAGATAAGTCGAGAACAAAAACATATTCACCTCCGGAAATATTGTCTCAAATATATCATTTATACCTTGTTGTTGTTGGAGTTGAAACACTCGATGAAGTCGACGCCGACGATGATGTAGACGCAGAACTTGAAGTTGAAGCGCTGATTATAAAGTAAAACACAACAAAATGTAAGTAATATTTTACATATAAGGCGCAAAAGCTAATTAAAACAAAGGCAACAACTGTAGCAGTCTACTAACTATTGGCTAATAAAACTATGGATCGTTTGCGAAAGGCAATAACATTAAATTACAGCAAATGATCCAACGGGTTCTCTGACGAGTGATAAATGACACGATCGATTGTTTTCAGTTAACATAAAGATCTCACGTGAAACCATCATGTTCTTTCCTACCTTGACGATGTTGAGACACTTGACGAAGTTGATGCAGAACTCGATGTCGACACACTACAAGAAAATTAACAAAATTTATGTGTTGGAAAGCCAAGAAAGGTAGTTTATCGTTACATATTTTAAAGATGTTACTACAATTAAATCTGTGTCTAATGCGTTTTAACTTAAACATAAATTCTAAATACCTTGAGGAAGTTGATATACTCGACGAACTTGTAGTAGACACACTAAAATGAAAACATGGAATAAGATTATGGCTCAGAATGTATACAAACAACTCAACTTTGGACATAAGTCCTTTAAAAACCCATCCAGGGGGGTTCCTAGGGGTCTTTCAAGAATTATGATAGACTATAATAATAGTTTGGTTACAGGGAAAAACTGATTTAGAAAGTGTACAATATTAACCAACATATGATAGAAACAAGAGCAAGCTGTTTATGGTAATAATTGTATTGCTGTTGTCTCGAAATGTGGCGATATGAGATTTGAGTATCATATCGTCCTGTGAGATTTAACTAAATCATAGTGGCGTATACCTCGTTGTAGTTGGTGTTGAGACCGAAGATGATGTCGACACTGATGATGAAGTTGAAGCGCTTGATGAAGTTGACGCAGACGACGATGTCGAAATGCTTGACGATGTCGAAATTGACGACGATGTGGACACGCTTGATGAAGTCGACACTGATGATGATGTTGAAGCACTAGATGGTGTCGACGCTGATGACGATGTGGAAGCACTTGATGATGTCGACGCTGATGACGATGTAGAAGCACTTGATGATGTCGACGCTGACGACGATGTAGAAGCACTTGATGACGTTGATGCTGACGATGACGTTGAAATGCTTGATGATGTTGACACAGAACTTGATGTAGAAGCACTTCAAACAAAGCCATGAGAAAATATTAAAGGAAACAGTAACTTTCAAGCAAGTCTTCACTTGAAAAGATTTAAAAAATAGATAGGTTAAACTCCCACATTTCATCTCGAAGACATCAAAACATTATATAGGTGTCTGAACATTAACGTCTACAGGTCAGAAATGGACACTTAGGCACAAAATTAGAGAAAGGACTAACTCACCAGCTTAGGATAAAAAAAAAGTTGACTTCGTAAACAGGTATTAAAGAAAAGTGATTTGAAACAAAAAAAGGTTTTTATCCTTAAAAACAAATATGAAAAAAGTAAAAGGTTGTATCAAAACATGAATAGTAACCTCTAAGAAGCGGATGTACAAGGTAACGATGACGTCAGGAAGCAAAAATATAATTTATACCTCGTTGTTGTTGGTGTTGAAACACTCGATGATGTAGACGCCGAAGATGATGTGGACGCAGAACTTGAAGTTGAAGCACTGATTGGAAAGTAAAATTCGCCAAAATATATTACAACAGTCCATTAACCACTGAGAAGTGATACTATGGATCATAAACATTACCCAATATCGTAAAAATAAAGGCAATGATCCAATGGGTCCTCATACAAATAATGATTGACGCAATGGATTATTCTTTGCTAAAATAAAGATCTAAACCTCTTTCTGTTCTTCTTACCTTGACGATGTTGAGATACTTGACGAAGTGGACGCAGAACTTGATGTCGACACACTACGAGGAAATGAAAAGATTTCAAGGGTCGAAAAGGTAAGTAGAAATAGTCTATCTTTAAAATCTCTAAATCAATCTGATACAATCTGTGTCTGATACACCTTGACTTCGAAAACAAAATGTAAATACCTTGAAGAAGTTGACACACTTGATGAACTTGAGGTAGAGACACTGAAATAAAATCATGGATTAAAATCTCAATCAAACCTTGTACGTCTTTCAACAACCCACGATCAGGAGATCTGAGGGGTTTTTCAGGAATTATGATAAGACACAATATTCCTTTGTTTACAGTGAAAAAAGCTTTCAACCTGCCTAGAAGTTGTATGATATCATTTAAGATATACTAGAAACATAAGCATACCGGTCAAAGTTTCAATTGTATTGCTACTACCTCGAAATGTGAAAATATTAGTGCGAGTCTCATACGAGATTGAACTGAATGCATGTAGCGCATACCTCGTTGTAGTTGGTGTCGACACAGAAGATGATGTTGACACTGATGATGAAGTTGAAGCGCTCGATGAAGTTGAAGCCGATGACGATGTCGAAATGCTCGATGAAGTGGAAATTGACGACGACGTTGAAATGCTTGATGAAGTCGATACTGACGATGATGTCGAAGCACTTGATGATGTCGACAATGAGGAAGATGTTGAAGCACTCGATGATGTCGATATTGACGAAGATGTCGAAGCACTTGATGATGTTGATGCTGACGACGATGTTGAAGCGCTTGATGATGTTGATGCAGAACTTGATGTAGAGACACTACAAAGAGATTTTAATCATTCTTTAAGAAAACAGTCTCTTTCTTTAAAGTTTAATTTAAAAAAAACCATCCTGTCAACGGAAAAAGATGTCAGGGCTTTAACTACTTCTACTTCTTAACTATAGACTTTATGATATTTATAAATTCTTCGAAACCAAAAATCCAGAATAATGCAGTAGACATCAATGAGTACTGAGTATTTAACTTCAGTAAATAATAAAGAGATATTAAAAGTGACGTTGATCTCAAAAAAATCATATTTACTCTTACAAAGAAGTTAAAAAGAAAAAAGTTGACATGTTGCATTAAATTAGACTCTGTAAAACAATATAAAAAACATCAACAATCACCTTGAAGAAGTAGATGCACTAGATGATGACGAAATCGACGATGATGTGGACGCGGAACTTGAAGTAGATACACTAAAAACCAACAAGTTTACTTTTACAAGAGGTTAAGGGATATAATCTATGTATCTATAAACATATACACCTCCGGAAATATTGTCTCAAATATATCATTTATACCTTGTTGTTGTTGGAGTAAAACACAACAAGATATAACTAATATTTTACATATAAGGTGCAAAAACTAATTTAAAAAAAGGCAACAACTGCAGCAGTCCACTAACTATTGGCTAATAAAACTATGGATCATTTGCGAAACGCAATAACATTAAATTAAAGCAAATGATCCAACTGGTTCTCCGACCATGATAAATGACACGATCGATTGTTTTCAGTTAACATAACGATCTCACGTGAAACCATCATGTTCTTTCCTACCTTGACGATGTTGAGACACTTGACGAAGTTGATGCAGAACTCGATGTCGACACACTACAAGAAAATTAACAAAATTTATGTGTTGGAAAGCTAAGAAAGGTAGTTAATCGTTACATATTTTAAAGATGTTACCACAATTAAATCTGTGTCCAATGCGCCTTAACTTAAACACAACTTCTAAATACCTTGAGGAAGTTGATACGCTCGACGAACTTGAAGCAAACACACTAAAATGAAAACATGGAATAAGATTATGGGTCAGAATGTATACACAACTTAACTTTAGACATAAGTCCTTTAAAAACCCATCCAGGGGGGTTCCTAGGGGTCTTTCAAGATTGATAGACTATAATAATAGTTTGGTTACAATCAGAATAACAGAAACAAAAATCTTTAATGCTAATTAAGAGAAATGTCCAGCAACGATACCTAGCTACATATTCGAATATGATCAAAAACCACTGGCGAAAGGAGGCGCGTAAGAATGTTCATTGATGAATCTCTTAACTTTGTTTTTAAGAAAAGACCTTTAGAGAAGCCCTCCAGGCAATGTGGATTGAGTTGAGACATCTTTTTAGAACAACAAAATTCTTCCTCCGTGAAGGGTAATATCAAGGCCAAAAAATTAAAAATGAGAGACTATTAACGGTTTTCTTTTAACAGTTTTCTTTCTGATCCGGTACATGCGGATTGGAATACACCTCTTTCTGATGTGCCCGAAAAGCTGTAAATACGAATTCAAGTAATAAAATGTATGTGTAGGTACGGAAGGAAATCTCTCAACTCACCTAGATGTTACTGGAAAAACTATTTCGGAGGATTTCGAAGGAGTGTACGGTGAGGGAAACCTCGTCGATACCTTTGTTTCTGTCTGAGGTTTAAATGAGGTCGACACAGCCTTTGAGGTGGATACACTAAGAAGAAAGCAGCATAGATTAATCGGAATACCAATCCTTTTTAAGAACTGTCATGTCCTTAAAGGAGTACAATATATAAATTGTTAGTGAGACTAACGAAGTCTAAAAGCAAGTTCATTAAGGTAGATGTCAAGGTTGAAGAAGTTGACGCAATTGACAAACTCGAACTAGTGGAAACTCTGAGAAGGGAAATAAAGATTCATATCAGAAAATGGATACAGGGTGTTAAGCACAGCTTAAGTCTCAATATTTTTAAACAAAATATGTGGCAATCATGGGGTTATTCATGTTTACTCTCAGTAAAAATGAGGGCCGATATAACTTTTTCACGACTCCCATAAATTAGTACCGTGGTTTAGTTGGTGACGAAACAGGTGACGTTGAGACTGACGATGATGTCGAGGCGCTTGATGATGTTGATGCCGAAGACGATGTTGAAATACTGGATGAGGTCGAAATTGACGATGATGTTGAAACACTCGATGATGTCGACACTGAGGACGATGTTGAGACACTGGATGATGTCGAAGCTGATGACGACGTTGAAGCACTTGATGATGTAGACGCTGATGATGTTGAGATTGATGATGATGTGGATGCAGAACTTGTTGTAGAAACACTACAACACAAATAAAGTAGTGTAACAAACAGATGAGGATAAAGTTGTTTTCTAACAAAGTCAATAATGAAAGTTCTTTAAGACAATTTTTATACCTGGTCGTCGTTGGTGTTGAAACACTCGACGACGTCGACGCCGAGGAAGATGTTGACACCGAACTTGAGGTTGAAGCGCTGAAAACGATAATTTTAATTAAAATAAATTGGCATTTTAACGGTTTTATGTCGACGGTATAGGAAATAAAACGGAAGAAGGTTTACAGTACTCAAAACGATGCTCTTTACAAACTAAAAGTAAAACAATTTAACATTTAAGTAAGCATAAGAGGTAATGTAAAACAATCGTCTTTCGTTACCTTGACGAAGTTGAGACACTTGACGAGGTGGAAGCTGAACTTGATGTCGACACACTTGTAAAAAATGAATAATAATAATATGGCGTTAGAAAGGCAGCTTTTAGAGTTTCTCTGATTGCCTTTGAAGTTTTGTTCACGGAGTAATTCTGATTTGATAATTACATCTGGGGATCGAGTAAAATTATTTTGATACCTTGATGAAGTTGACACACTTGACGAACTTGAAGTAGACACACTTTAAAGAGGAATAAAAAGTAACATGAGAAAACAACTACAACATATGTAAAGTACCACAACTTGAGTTAATAGAGTTTTTACTGTGCTATGCACTTTAAAAAGTCTTAAGAGTATAATGTTATAGTAAAAAGGCCTAGAAAAAAATATCCATTTTAACACCATGTGAACGTATTTACTTATTTGACAAAGTTTATTCAGTATGGAAATGAAGACCGATGATACTTATGGGACTACTATTATTTACGACTACTACTTTAGGAAACAAGGATTAGATCAAAATCGTTTCTGTTGTGAGCTCAGTATGGATAAAGTGAACCCAGCTTTTCGATGTAATATTTCTCATGAACGCTTTCCTTGGCTCAGACAACTGAAGTGGTCAAATCTATTAAAAACTGAACAAAATTAAGTCCTTACCTCGTCGTAGTTGGTGTCGAAACAGAAGATGATGTCGACACTGACGATGATGTTGAGGCGCTTGATGAAGTTGATGCCGATGATGATGTCGAAATACTCGATGAAGTCGAGATTGACGATGAGGTTGACACACTTGATGAAGTCGACACTGACGATGATGTAGAAGCACTTGATGATGTCGACGCTGATGACGATGTTGATACACTTGATGATGTTGACACTGACGATGAGGTTGAAGCGCTCGATGATGTTGATGCCGAAGACGACGTGGAAATGCTCGATGAGGTCGAAATTGACGAAGATGTCGAGACACTTGATGATGTCGACACTGACGACGATGTAGAAGCACTAGATGATGATGTCGATGCAGAACTTGATGTAGAGACACTACATAATATTACAGGAAACAGTAACTCTATTGAAAATTTATGTAAAGTCAAAACAAACTTCATTTACACAGAATAAATGATGACATGGGTTAGATTGCTGCTTTTTAAGTCAAACTGACATCAAAACATCATAGGGGCACTTAAACATTTTTGTCTACAAACCAAAAAAGTTCACTTCGCCAGCCACTGGTGACATACCAACTTGAGTATGTACTAAAAAAGTTGTCAATTTTTGTAAACAGGTATTGAAATCAAAATGATCTGAAACAAAACATGTTTATTCTTATAATAAAATATTTAAGAAGAAAGTAACACGCAGTATTAAAACGAATTCCCTCAAGTCATATCAGAAAAGGGAAAATATCATCAACAGTAACCTTGGAGAAGTGGATGCATTAAATTATGATAATATAATGACTTAGCAGACTCGCGAAAATACAAAAGGAGTTCCTAGAGTGGTCCAGAAACAAGGACTGAAAAATATCTTTTATACCTCGTTGTTGTTGGTGTTGAAACACTCGATGACGTGGACGCCGACGATGATGTTGACGCTGAACTTGAGGTTGAAGCACTGATTTGAAAGTTTAATACACCAAATATATGTCATATTTTACACACAAAATGAAAAAAATATTAATACAAAGGCAATGATTACAACAGTTCACCAACATCTGCCAGATGACACTATGATCATTTGCAATACACAATAAAATGAAAATAAACGCAATCATCCAACCGGTCCTCTTACAAATAATCATTGACACGATTGACTATTTCAGTTATAATAAAGATCTCACGTAAAACCACCATGTTCTTTCTTACCTTGAAGATGTTGAGACGCTTGACGAGGTTGATGCAGAACTTGATGTGGACACACTACAAGTAAATTGACAGATTTTAATCGCTGAATAGGCAAATAAAGTAATTAATCGTTAATTGAATCTATAAGACAAGTTAATACAATTAAGCGTGTCGAACGCACCAAAATTAACAGATTTTAATTGTCGAATAGGCAAATAAAGTAATTAATCATTAAACCTTTTGAACCTGTTTTAAAAAATTACGTGTGTGATGCACCAAAATTTAAAAACAACTCTTAAATACCTTGAGGAAGTTGACACACTTGATGAACTTGAAGTAGACACACTAAAATGGAAACATATTTAAAATCATACATCAGAAAGTCTGAGGGTTTCCTTAGCAATTATGATAAGACATAATATTCTTTTGGTTGCATTTAGAAACGCTTGCATCCTGATTCAGAGGTGGTATGGTGTCAACTAAATATGATAGAAACAAAAGCATACTGGTCAAAGTTTCAATTGTATTGTTACAACCTAAAAAGACGACAATATTAGATTTGAGTCCCATACGAGATTGAGGTGAGTCTATGAAGCGCATACCTCGTTGTAGTTGGTGTCGAGACAGAAGATGATGTCGACACTGATGATGATGTTGAAGCGCTAGATGAAGTTGATGCCGACGATGATGTTGAAGCACTTGATGATGTCGATACTGACGACGATGTTGATACACTTGATGATGTCGATACTGACGACGACGTTGAAGCACTTGATGATGTTGTTACAGAACTTGATGTAGAGACACTACAAAGAGATGTTAATCATTATTTTAGAAAACAGTCACTTTCTTGAAACATCAGTTTCATAATCAACACAAACTTCACTTTCAGAGACAAAGTTTAAATTGCTTCTTTTCGAACTATAAATGTTAAAACAATTTCTACCTTCTTTTAAGCCAGATAGAATAGTGCAGTGGACAAGAGTGAAACTTGTGTCAACACACGTTTAAATGGCACATCTCAAAATAAACATTTTTTCTTTGACAAGGAAAAAGGTGACATGTTGCATTGAATTAGACTCTTGAATGATGAATAAATCAACAGAAAAATCACCTTGAGGAAGTTGATACACTAGATAATGATGATAGCGACAATGATGTGGACGTGGAACTCAAAGTAGATACACTAAAACCCAACAAGTCTACTTTCACAAAAGAATAAGGAGAAGAGTCTATGTATCTTTTTTCCTTTTTCAGTCCAAGTTAAGTCGAGAACAAAAAAATTGGACACCCTCAGAAACATGGTCTGAAGTATATCATTTATACCTTGTTGTTGTTGGAGTTGAAACACTGGATGACGATGATGATGTTGACGCTGAACTTGAAGTGGAAGCGCTGATTACAAAATAAAACACCAGAATATATGTCACATTTACACAATACAAACAGGAAAAGTTGAAACAAAAGCAAGAATTGCAACAAGCCACTAACCACAGACAAATAACTAAGGATCATTTGCGAAACACAAAATAAAAAAGAGGCAATGATTAAACTGGTCCTCTAACGACTGATAAATGACACGATTGACTGTTTTCAGTTAACATAAAGATCTAACATAAAACCATTATTTTCTTTACCTTGACGATGTTGAGACACTTGAAGAGGTTGATGCTGAACTTGATGTGGACACACTGCAAGAAAATTATCGGAGTTAAGTTGCCGAAAAGGCAAATTAAATAGTTAACCGTTTGAACATGGTTAAAAAAATTACATGTGTCTGATGCACCAAAATTTAAAAACAACTCTTAAATACCTTGAGGAAGTTGACACACTTGATGAACTTGAAGTAGACACACTAAAATTAAAACACGGAATAAAACTATCGATAAAACTGTGTATACAAAGCACAACTAAAGTTTAAAACATAAGTCCTTCAAAAAGCAATGGCGGGGAATTCACAAGGGTCTTTCAGCAATAGAGTATAATATCGTTTTGATTACAAGGAGAGATCTGGTCTAGAAAGTGTACAATATCATCCAACATATGAGGGAAACAAGAGCATAAATCTCAAATTAATAATTGCATCGTTATTGTCTCGGAAAGTGGCAATATCAGTCCCAGATCGTCCTACGTTCTTTAATTCAAACATTGCAGTATATACCTCGTTGTAGTTGGTGTTGAGACCGAAGATGATGTCGACACTGATGATGAAGTTGAAGCGCTTGATGAAGTTGATGCAGACGACGATGTCGAAATGCTTGATGAAGTCGAAATTGACGATGATGTTGAGACACTTGACGAAGTCGACACTGATGATGATGTTGAAGCACTAGACGATGTCGACACTGATGAAGATGTTGAAGCACTTGAAGATGTCGACGCTGATGAAGAAGTTGAAGCACTTGATGATGTTGATGCTGACGAAGACGTCGAGGCACTTGATGACGTCGATGCTGAGGATGATGTTGACACCGACGAAGATGTTGAGGCACTTGACGATGTGGACACAGATGAAGATGTAGAGATTGATGATGATGTGGACGCAGAACTGGATGTAGAAACATTAAAATACAAGTAAAGTATTTTAACAAACAGATGAGGATAAAGTTTTTTTTTAAATAGGTTCATAAGAGAAGTTCCTTGAAACAATTTTTATACCTGGTCGTCGTTGGTGTTGAAACACTCGACGACGTCGACGCCGAGGAAGATGTTGACACCGAACTTGAAGTTGAAGCACTGAAAACGATAATATTAAAAAAAAAAAAGAAATTGGCATCTTATGGCTTTATATCTACAGTTTGAGAAATATAAAGGAACAAAGATATCAGAACTCAAAACGATGCTCTTATATATAGAAAAGAAAACGATTAAAGAATTTGAGTAAGCATAGGAGGTAATGTAAAACAATCGTCTTTCATTACCTTGACGAAGTTGAGACACTTGACGAGGTGGAAGCTGAACTTGATGTTGACACACTAATAAAAAAAATTACAAATTGAATTGCGTTAGAAAGGAAGCTTTCATAGTTTCTTTGATCGGCTTTGCAGTTTTATTCACGGGGCAATTCTAATTTAATGATTACATCTGGGGATGAAGTAATACTGTTTTGATACCTTGATGAAGTTGACACACTCGACGAACTTGAAGTAGACACACTTTAAAGAGAAATAAAAAGTAACATGAGAAAACGACTGCAACATATGTACAGTCCCTCAACTTGATTTCATCGAGTTTTTGCTTTGCTATCAGAAATTCCAGTTTCTTTTCACTCCTTTAAGCTACTGAAAGAGTTATTCATTTAAAATTGCTTGTAAGTTGGATATCTATACTTCCGGCACTTTTGAAAAACTTAGAGTATAATAAGTATTTAAGGCCATGGATAAAACTTTTTCATGTAAATGCCTACTTTTAATTTTTGCGATCAATGTTTCAGTTTCAATACCATATATATGTTTCTTGTAAAAAGGCTAGGAAAAAGAGTCTATTTTAAGCCAAAGTGAACATATTTGCCAAAGTTTGTTCAGAATGGAAATGAAGGCTGAGGATACTTTTGGGACTATTTTTATTAATGACTACTACATTACAAACAAGGCTTAGATCAAAATCATTTAAGTTGTAAGCAAGGTGTGGAGGTAGTGAGCCCAACTCTTAGGTAGAAATATTTCTCATAAATGCATTCCAAAGGTCAGACAAAGTGATCGACTCTATTAAAAACTAAACAAGATTAAATCCTTACCTCGTTGTAGTTGGTGTCGAAATAGAAGATGATGTAGACACTGACGATGATGTCGAAATGCTCGATGAAGTCGAAACTGAGGACGATGTTGAAGCGCTAGAGGACGTGGAAACTGATGATGAAGTTGAAGCACTTGATGATGTTGACACTGACGATGAGGTTGAAACGCTCGATGATGTTGATGCCGACGACGATGTGGAAATGCTCGATGAGGTCGAAATTGACGAAGATGTCGAGACACTTGATGATGTCGACACTGACGTCGATGTAGAAGCGCTTGATGAAGTTGATGCCGACGATGATGTTGAAATGCTCGATGAGGTCGAAATTGACGACGAAGTTGACACACTTGATGAGGTCGACGCTGATGACGATGTTGATACACTTGATGAAGTCGAAACTGAGGACGACGTTGAAGCGCTGGATGATGTTGATGCCGACGACGATGTGGAAATGCTCGATGAGGTCGAGATTGATGAAGATGTCGAGACACTTGATGATGTAGACACTGACGACGATGTAGAAGCGCTAGATGATGTTGATGCAGAACTTGATGTAGAGACACTATCAAGAGATATACAATATTACAGGAAATAGTAACTTTATTAAAAATATATGTAAAGTGTCGAAAAAAACTTCATTTACACAGAACTAATGATGACATGGGTTAAATTGCTAATTTTTAAGTCATTGACATCAAAACATTATATGGGTACTTAGACATTTATGTCTACAAACCAGAAAAGTTCACGTCGCCACCACTACTGACATACAAACTTTAGTATGTACTAAAAAAGTTGTCAATTTTTGTCAAAAGGTATTGAAATGAAAATGATCTGAAACAAAACATGTTTATACTTATGAAAAAAGATTTGATAAGAAAGTAACATGCAGTATTAAAATGAGTTCTCTCAAATCATATCAGAAAAAGGAAAAAAACATCAACAGTAACCTTGGAGAAGTGGATGTATTAAATAATGATGTAATGACAAAGTAGAGTCGAGAAAATACAAGAACTCAAAAATATCATTTATACCTCGTTGTTGTTGGTGTTGAAACACTCGATGACGTAGACACCGATGATGATGTTGACGCTGAACTTGAGGTTGAAGCACTGATTGGAAAGTTTAATACACCGAAATATATGTCATATTTTACATAAAAAATGAAAAAAAATGCAAATGAAGGCAATGATTACAAAAGTTCACCAACAACTGGCAATTTACACAATGATGCATTTGCAATACACAATAAACTAACAATAAACACAATTATCCAACCGGTCCTCTTACAAATAATCATTGACACAATCGCCTACTTCAGTTCGAATAAATATCTAATGTAAAACCATCGTATTCTTTCTTACCTTGACGATGTTGAGACACTTGAGGAGGTTGATGCAGAACTTGATGTGGACACACTACAAGAAAATTTACAGATGTGAATTGTCCTATAGGCAAATAGAGTAGTTAATTGTTAATTGAATCTTTAAGAAATGCTAATACAATTACATATTTTTCTGATGCACCAAAATTTAAAAACGACTCTTAAATACCTTGAGGAAGTTGACACACTTGATGAAGTTGAAGTTGACACACTAAAATTAAAACATGGAATAAAATTATAGATAAGACTGAGTATACACAGCACAACTAAAGTCTAAACATAATTCCTTCAAAAACTCATGATGGGGAGTTCACAAGTGTCTTTCAGCAATAGAGTATAATAACGTGGTTACAGGGAGAAATCTGATTTAGAAAGTGTACGATATCAACCAACATATGATGGAAACAAGAGCATACCGGTCAAGGTAATAATTCTATCATTATTATCTCGAAAAGTGGCAATATCAGATTTGAGTCTCATATCATTTTACGTTCTTGAACAAACATTGCAGTATATACCTCGTTGTAGTTGGTGTTGAGACCGAAGATGATGTCGACACTGATGATGATGATGTTGAGGCGCTTGATGAAGTTGATGCAGACGATGAAGTTGATGCAGACGACGACGTTGAGACACTCGATGAAGTCGAGACTGACGACGATGTTGAGACACTCGATGATGTCGACACTGACGATGATGTTGAAGCACTTGATGACGTCGACGCTGACGACGACGTTGAGGCACTTGACGATGTGGACGCTGATGATGATGTTGAAATTGATGATGATGATGTGGACGCAGAACTTGATGTAGAAACACTAAAATACAAATAAAGTTGTTTAACAAACAAGTGAGGATAAAGTTTTCTTCTAACGAGGTCTATAAAGGAGTTCTTTGAAACAATTTTTATACCTGGTCGTCGTTGGTGTTGAAACACTCGATGACGTCGACACCGAGGAAGATGTTGACACCGAACTTGAAGTTGAAGCACTAAAAACGATAATATAAATAAAAAGAAATTGGTATTTTAATGATTTTATGTCGACGGTATGAGAAATAAAAACGAACAAAGATGACAGAATTGAAAACGATGCCCTTAACAAACTAAAACGATCAAACATTAAAGTAAGTATAAGAGGTAATCTGAAACGATCATCTTTCGTTACCTTGACGAAGTTGAGACACTTGACGAGGTGGAAGCTGAACTTGATGTCGACACACTAATAAAATATTTTAAAAATATTTCATGGCGTTAGAAAAGCCGCTTATATAGTTTCTCTGATTGCCTTTGTGGTTTTGTTTACGGGGTAATTCTGATTTGATAATTACATCTGAAGATCTTGTAATATTGTTTTGATACCTTGATGAAGTTGACACACTTGACGAACTTGAAGTAGACACACTTTAAAGAGAAATAAAAACCACCATGAGAAAACAACTGCAATATAAGTACAGTACCACAGCACGAGTTAATTGAGTTCTTGCTGTGCTACCAACAAGTCCGATTTCTTTTCATTCCATTAACCCACCTGTAGAGTTATCCATTTAAAATTTCTTTTAGTTAGATGTCTATACATCTGGCAGTTTTAAAAGCCTTAGAGTGTAATAAGTATTTAACTCCACTGCTAAAATTCCTTTATTGGAAATGCCTACTTTTAATTTTTTCGATCAATGGTTTAGTTTCAATATCATATATATATGTTCTTCTAAAAGAGATAAGAAAAAAAAATAAGATTTTTATCCTGTGTGAACGTATTTACCTATTTGACAAAGTTATTCAGTATGGAAATGAAGACCGATAATACTTATGGGACTACTATTATTAATGACTACTACATTAGGAAACAAGGTTTAGATCAAAATCGTTTCAATTGTGAGCTCAGTATGGATGTAACGAACCAAGCATTTCAGGAGTAGTATTTCTCATAAAGGCTTTCCTTAGCTCAGACAACTAAAATAGTCGCGTCTATTAAAAACTAAACACGATTAAGTCCTTACCTCGTCGTAGTTGGTGTCGAAGCAGAAGATGATGTCGACACTGACGATGATGTGGAGGCACTTGATGATGTAGACACTGATGATGATGTTGAAGCACTGGATGAAGTTGATGCAGACGACGATGTTGAAATGCTCGATGAGGTCGAAATTGACGACGATGTTGACACACTCGATGAAGTAGACACTGACGATGATGTTGAAGCGCTCGACGATGTTGACAATGACGACGATGTTGAAGCACTTGATGATGTCGACACTGACGACGATGTTGATACACTTGATGAAGTTGATATTGACGATGACGTCGAAGCACTTGATGATGTCGACACTGACGACGAGGTCGAAGCACTTGATGATGTTGATGCAGAACTTGATGTAGACACACTAAAAAGAAATAGTAATCATTATATTAAAAAAACAATCACTTTATTGAAAGTTTAATTAAATTCTTAAAACAAACTTCATTTTTAGAGACAAAGCTTAAATTGCTTGTTTTAAACTATAGACGTTAGAACAACTTCTAGCTTCTTTGGAGCCAGCAATATAGGATAATGCAGGAGACAATGAATAATGAGTGAAACTTGCCTCAAAACTCGTTTAAAATGATATTTATCCTAAAATAAACATTTTTTCTCTTACAAAGAAATTTGAGAAAAAGGTAACGTGTTGCATCGAATTAGACTTCCTCGAATAATATAGAAATCGTCAAAAATTACCTAGAAGAAGTGGATACACTAGATGATGATGAAATCGACGATAATGTGGAACTTGAAGTAGAAACACTAAAAAACCAACAAGTATACTTTTACTAAAGAATAAGGACAAGGATCTAGGTATCTTTTTTTGCAGAGTCTAAGTAAAGTCTAGAACAAAATGAATGGACACCTCCAGAATCATGGTCGGAAGTATATCATTCATACCTGGTTGTTGTTGGAGTCGAAACACTCGATGACGTTGACGCCGATGATGATGTTGACGCAGAGCTTGAAGTGGAAGCGCTGATTAAAAAATGCAACACACCAAAATATATGTCACACTTTACATATATAATACAAAAGAAGAAAAATTAAAACAAAAGCAAGAATTGCCACAAGCCACTAACCACAGATAAATGAAAATAAGGATCATTTGCAAAACACAAAATAAAAGAGGCAATGATTCAACTAGTCCTCTTACGACTGATAAATGACATGATTGACTGTGTTCAGTTGACATAAAGATCTAACGTAAAGCCATCATGTCCTTTGTTACCTAGACGATGTTGAGACACTTGACGAAGTTGACGCAGAACTTGATGTGGACACACTGCAAGAAAAATTACAGATTGTAATTGTCGAGAAGGCAAATAAAGTAGTTTATGGTTGAACCTTTAGGACATGTTAATAAAACTACTTATGTGTCTGATAAAAAAAATTTACAACAACTCCTAAATACCTTGAGGAAGTTGACACACTTGATGAACTTGAAGTGGAAACACTGAAATAAAAACATGGAATAAAGTTATATATCAACGTGTGTATACACAGCACAACTAAAGTTTAAAAATAACTCCTTCAAAAATTTATAATAAGGAGTACTCAGGGGTCTTTCAGGATAGAGTATAATAACGGTTCGGTTACAGGAAGAAAACTGATTTAGAAAGTGTAAGATGTCAACCAACATATGATAGCAACACGAGCATACCGGTCAACGTAATAATTGTACTATTATTGTCTCGAAATGTGGTAACATGAGATTCAAGTCTCATATGTTCATATGAGATTGATCTGAATCATTGAGGTGTATACCTCGTTGTAGTTGGTGTTGAGACCGAAGATGATGTCGACACTGATGATGATGTTGAGGCGCTTGATGATGTGGATGCCGAAGACGATGTTGAAATGCTCGATGAAGTCGAAATTGACGACGATGTTGAGACACTCGATGATGTCGACAAAGAGGACGAGGTTGATGCACTTGATGACGTCGACGCTGACGACGACGTTGATGCACTTGACGATGTGGACGCTGATGAAGATGTAGAGATTGATGATGATGTGGACGCGGAACTGGATGTAGAAACACTAAAATACAAGTAAAGTAGTTTAACAAACAGACGAGGATAAAGCTTTTTTCTAACGAGGTCTATAAAGAAGTTCTTTAAGACACTTTTTATACCTGGTCGTCGTTGGTGTTGAAACAGTCGATGACGTCGACGCCGAGGAAGATGTTGACACTGAACTTGAAGTTGAAGCGCTAAAAACGATAATATCAATAAAAACAAATTGGCATTTTATGGCTTCATGTCGACAGTATGAGAAATAGAAACAAGCAAAGATAACAGAACTCAAAACGATGCTCTTAACAGATTAGAAATAAGACGATTAAAGAATTTAAGTGAGCGTAAGAGGTAATGCAAAACAATCGTCTTTCGTTACCTTGACGAAGTTGAGACACTTGACGAGGTGGAAGCTGAACTTGATGTTGACACACTGATAAAACATTTAAAAATATATTTAATTGTCTTTGAAAAACAGGTTATATAGTTTTTTTGTTCGTCTATGTAGATTGTTCACGGGTTAAAACTAATTTGAAAATTACGTCAATGGATTAGGTAATACTGTTTTGATACCTTGATGAGGTTGACAAACTTGACGAACTTGTTCGCGGGGTAAAACTAATTTAATAATTACATCTAGTGATTAAGTAATATTGTCTTGATACCTTGATGAAGTTGACACACTTGACGAACTTGAAGTAGACGCACTTAAAAAGAGACAAAAAGTAACATTATAAAACAAATGATACATATGTGCAGCACCTCAACTTGAGTTGATCGAGTTGTTGCTGTGCTACTTGAAGAGATATCCATTTAAAATTGCTTTTAAGTTGGATATCTATACTTCCGACACTTTTAAAAAACATAGACTATAATAGGTATATAAGTCCATTGATAAAAAAATACTTTCTTTTCAACGGCTACTTTTGATTTTTATTAATAATGTTTTAGTTTCAACATCGTATATATGATCCTGTAAAAAGGCTAAGAGATAAAAATAGGTTTTAATCCTATGTGAACGTATTTACCAATTTGCCAAAGTTTCTTCAGCGTGGAAATAGAGGCCGATTCTCCTAAAGGGACTACTTTCATAAGCTAAGTGTGGCTGTAGTTAACCCAGCTCTTCGGGAGCACACTCACAACTCGTTTCCGCTTGAAAACCGAAATTGCCTATAACACGCTTGCTGAGCACGCTAGAGCACAATTTTGTTTTATATAACACACTAGAAACATTAGAACGGGCGCTGTTGAACAGTGAAGCGTGAGCAAGAAGTTAGTATGTGGGCAAACACAGCACGCTAGTGTGTAACCAAGTGTTCAGCCAGCAAGTCAACTGAACGTAAAGCTAGAGTAATCATTATACAGTCAAAGTACTCTAATTCTTGCAGTAATATTACTAGGTCAATCAACTAAAGCTCGTATTAGTGTGTTATAGTTATCAACTTTCTGATCAGAAAAAAAACAAAGTTGAAACATTTCGCCGCGAACAAGTTTCAAGAATTTAAGGCAGACACTTCTTACTTTTTTATGTGGAGAAGTGACTCTCGATTTTTTAGTAGCATGTTGAAGACCAAAATCTAACCCACTGCCAGAACGAAAAATTTGCCACGATCGCGCAAACAACTAAACTTACACAAGATACTCAAAAGTCACCATAAAAGACAGCCATAAACGGCCAAAACGTCTGTGTTAAAGTATAATCCATCCGAATATTCCATCAACGGCCAGAGTGGTGTTAAGGGGATGGTACGAGACCCAAAGTGAGAAACAATGTTTGTTTCGCATTTTGAAAACTCATGCGGACGATAGTCATGCGCTCAGTCACGTGCCTTAAACTCCATTCAATCAATGCAGTAAAAAAAAATAATGAAAACCATAATGATCCTCAGAAATATACATCGTTAAAATTCATTTCTCTCACTCGTCTGTTCACCAATATTCTAGTTTACTTATCACATTTGGGTGAAATTGAGTTCTAAAGAAAAAGCTTTGGATAAACCAATAAAATATTCAGCAATATTTCGTTTTCGTGTGTTAAAGTGTGTTAACTTACACGCTAAGCGTGACATCGATCACGCTTAACCAAAGAAAGACCAAGCGTGCTAACTTGACCGAAACAAGACAGTGTCTTTCATTGGCTAAAAACAACATATGCGTATATTGGACACGCTAAACGTGTTGTGTTGGTGTGTTGTTTGCGTGTTATCACCTTTCTCCCTGAAATCGTATGGCGGGGTCACAAATGGTCGCATCTCCTGTAATCTAAACAACATTAGGTCCTTACCTCGTCGTAGTTGGTGTCGAAACAGAAGATGATGTCGACACTGACGATGATGTCGACACTGACGATGATGTTGAGGCGCTTGATCCCGATGATGATGTCGAAATGCTTGAGGAAGTCGAAATTGACGATGAGGTTGACACACTTGATGAAGTCGACACTGATGACGACGATGTTGACACACTCGATGAAGTAGACACTTGATGATGTTGACACGACGATGATGATGATGTTGACGATGTTGATACACTTGATGAAGTCGAAACTGAGGACGACGTTGAAGCGCTGGAGGATGTGGAAACTGATGATGATGTTGACACTGACGACGAGGTTGAAGCACTCGATGATGTTGATGCCGACGACGATGTGGAAATGCTCGATGAGGTCGAAATCGACGAAGATGTGGAGACACTAGATGACGTTGATACTGACGACGATGTTGAAATACTTGATGACGTCGATGCTGACGATGACGTTGAAACGCTTGATGATGTTGTTGTATAACTTGTTGTAGGGAAACTATAAAGAGATATTATACAATATTACGGGGAACGGTAACTTTAGTGAAAATCTATTTTAAGTGTCAAAAGAAACTTCATTTGGAAAAAATAATTGATGACATGGGTTAAATTGCTACTTTTTAACTCATTGACATAAAAACATTATAGGAGCGAGGAAACATTTGTGTCTACATGCCAGAAATGTTTACTTCGTCAGCCAATTACAGTGAGTACTGACAAACCAACCTAAGTTTGTACTAAAAAAAATTGTCCAACTCCGTCAAAAGGTAATTCATATAAAAATGATCTGAAACAAATCATATTTAATCTTCTTAAATAACCTTGAGATAAAACTAACATGTTGTACAAAAATGAATTATCTCTAATAATAAAGAAAATTTTAAAATACATCAACACCGACCTTGAAATAATAGATGTATTAAATTATGACCATGTGATGACAAAGTAGAGTCGAGAAAATACAAAACGGATTCCTAAAGTGGTTCAGAAACAAGGACTCAAAAATATCATTTATACCTCGTTGTTGTTGGTGTTGACACACTCGATGACGTAGACGCCGATGATGATGTTGTCGCGTAACTTGAGGTTGAAGCACTGATTGGAAAGTTTAATAAACCAAAATATAAGTCAAATTTTACATACAAAATGCAAAAAAAAAAAATAAAAGTTCACCAACAACTGGCAAATGACACTGATTCATTTAAAATACACAATAATATGAAAATAAAGGCAATGATCCAACTGGCCCTCTCTTAAATAATCGTTGATAAAATCGACTTTTCCAGTTACAGTTATGAGCTAACGTAAAAACACCGTGTTCTTTCTCACCTTGACGACGTTGAGACACTTGACGATGTTGACGCAGAACTGGATGTGGACACACTACAAGAAAAATAAAAGGATTTGAAGTGTTTTTATAATAAGCAGTTTATCTTTAGAAGCTTAAAATAAAGTAGCTGCAGCTACATCTGAGTCTGATCGATCTTAACTTAAAAAAATTTCAATACCTTGAGGAAGTTGATACACTCGATGAACTTGAAGTAGACACACTGAAATAAAAACATCGACAAAAATCTCAGATCAAACTGTATATGTCCTTAAACAAACCATAATCAGAAGGTCTTTCTCAGCAATTCTGATAAGACATGATATTCTTTTGGTTACATTGAGAAACACTTGGATCCTTATTTGTAAGTGGTACGATGTCAACTAAATATATTAGATATAAAAGCATGCCAGTCAAAGTTTCAGTTGCATTGCTATTACCTAAAGAGTTGACGATATTACATTAAAGTCCCATACGAGATTGAAGTGAGTCTATGAAGCGCATACCTTGTTGTAGTTGGCGTCGAGACAGAAGATGATGCACTTGATGAAGTTGATATTGACGACGAAGTTGAAGCACTTGATGATGTCGATACTGACGAAGAAGTTGATGTTGAAATGCTCGATGAGGTCGAAATTGACGACGATGTTGAAACGCTCGATGAAGTAGACACTGACGACGATGTTGAAGCGCTCGACGATGTTGAAGCACTTGATGATGTCGACACTGACGACGATGTTGATACACTTGATGAAGTTGATATTGAGGACGAAGTCGAAACACTTGATGATGTCGATACAGAAGAAGAGGTTGAAGCACTTGATGATGTTGATGCAGAACTTGATGTAGACACACTAAAAAGAAATATTAATCATTTTTTCAGAAAACAATCACTTTGTTGAAGGTTTAATTAAATTCTCAAAACAAACTTCACTTTCAAAGACAAAGCTTCAATTGCTTCTCTTGGAACTATAGACGTTAAAACAATTTCTAGCTTCTTGGGAGCCATCAATATAGAATAATGCAGTAGATAATGAATAACAAGTGAAAATTGCGTCAACACACGTTTAAAATGACATTTATCCTAAAATAAACATTTTTTCTCTTACAAAGAAATTTGAGAAAAAGGTAACGTGTTGCATCGAACTAGACTTCTTCGAATAATATAAAAATCGTCAAAAATTACCTTGAAGAAGTGGATACACATGATGAAACCGACAAAAATGTGGACGCGGAACTCGAAGTAGAAACACTAAAAACCGACCAGTCTACTTTTACTAAAGAACAAGGACAAGGGTCTGGGTATCTTTTTTTCGCAGAGTATAAATTAAGTCGAGAACCAAAAGAATGGACACCTCCAGAAACATAGTCTGAAATATATCATCATTCATACCTGGTTGTTGTTGGAGTCGAAACACTCGATGACGTTGACGCCGATGATGATGATGTTGACGCAGAACTTGAAGTTGAAGCACCAATTGAAATTAAAACACACCAAAATATGTCACATTTTATATATACAATAAAAAAGAGAGAAAATTGAAACAAAAACAAGAATTGCCACAAGCCACTAACCACAGGCAAATGAAACTATGCATCAATTGCGAATTACAATAAAATAAAAATAGAGGCAACGATTCAACTGGTCCTCTTACGACTGATAAATGAGTCGATCAACTGTTTCTAGTTAACATGAAGATCTGATGTAAAACCATCATATTCTTTGTTACTGTGTTCAGTTGACATAAAGATCTAACGTAAAGCCATCATGTCCTTTGTTACCTAGACGATGTTGAGACACTTGACGAAGTTGACGCAGAACTTGATGTGGACACACTGCAAGAAAAATTACAGATTGTAATTGTCGAGAAGGCAAATAAAGTAGTTTATGGTTGAACCTTTAGGACATGTTAATAAAACTACTTATGTGTCTGGTACAACAAAATTTACAACAACTCCTAAATACCTTGAGGAAGTTGACACACTTGATGAACTTGAAGTGGAAACACTGAAATAAAAACATGGAATAAAGTTATAGATCAACGTGTGTATACACAGCACAACTAAAGTTTAAAATTAACTCCTTCAAAAACTTATAATAAGGAGTACTCAGGGGTCTTTCAGGATAGAGTATAATAACGGTTCGGTTACAGGAAGAAAACTGATTTAGAAAGTGTAAGATGTCAACCAACATATGATAGCAACACGAGCATACCGGTCAACGTAATAATTGTACTATTATTGTCTCGAAATGTGGTAACATGAGATTCAAGTCTCATATGTTCATATGAGATTGATCTGAATCATTGAGGTGTATACCTCGTTGTAGTTGGTGTTGAGACCGAAGATGATGTCGACACTGATGATGATGTTGAGGCGCTTGATGATGTGGATGCCGAAGACGATGTTGAAATGCTCGATGAAGTCGAAATTGACGACGATGTTGAGACACTCGATGATGTCGACAAAGAGGACGAGGTTGATGCACTTGATGACGTCGACGCTGACGACGACGTTGATGCACTTGACGATGTGGACGCTGATGAAGATGTAGAGATTGATGATGATGTGGACGCGGAACTGGATGTAGAAACACTAAAATACAAGTAAAGTAGTTTAACAAACAGACGAGGATAAAGCTTTTTTCTAACGAGGTCTATAAAGAAGTTCTTTAAGACACTTTTTATACCTGGTCGTCGTTGGTGTTGAAACAGTCGATGACGTCGACGCCGAGGAAGATGTTGACACTGAACTTGAAGTTGAAGCGCTAAAAACGATAATATCAATAAAAACAAATTGGCATTTTATGGCTTCATGTCGACAGTATGAGAAATAGAAACAAGCAAAGATAACAGAACTCAAAACGATGCTCTTAACAGATTAGAAATAAGACGATTAAAGAATTTAAGTGAGCGTAAGAGGTAATGCAAAACAATCGTCTTTCGTTACCTTGACGAAGTTGAGACACTTGACGAGGTGGAAGCTGAACTTGATGTTGACACACTGATAAAACATTTAAAAATATATTTAATTGTCTTTGAAAGGCAGGTTATATAGTTTTTTGTTCGGCTATGTAGATTGTTCACGGGTTAAAACTAATTTGAAAATTACGTCAATGGATTAGGCAATACTGTTTTGATACCTTGATGAGGTTGACAAACTTGACGAACTTGTTCGCGGGGTAAAACTAATTTAATAATTACATCTAGTGATTAAGTAATATTGTCTTGATACCTTGATGAAGTTGACACACTTGACGAACTTGAAGTAGACGCACTTAAAAAGAGACAAAAAGTAACATTATAAAACAAATGATACATATGTGCAGCACCTCAACTTGAGTTGATCGAGTTGTTGCTGTGCTACTTGAAGAGATATCCATTTAAAATTGCTTTTAAGTTGGATATCTATACTTCCGACACTTTTAAAAAACATAGAGTATAATAAGTATATAAGTCCATTGATAAAAAATACTTTCTTTTCAACGGCTACTTTTGATTTTTATTAACAATGTTTTAGTTTCAATATCGTATATATGGTCCTGTAAAAAGGCTAAGAAATAAAAATAGGTTTTAATCCTATGTGAACGTATTTACCAATTTGCCAAAGTTTCTTCAGCGTGGAAATAGAGGCCGATACTCCTAAAGGGACTACTTTCATTAATGACTAATACATTAGGAAAGAAAGTTTAGATCAAAATCATTCTAACCGTAAGTTAAGTGTGGCTGTAGTTAACCCAGCTCTTCGGGAGTAATATTTCTCATCAATGCATTCTCAAGCTCACGCAGGGTGTGACCCTCGATTAATTTTAGGGAAAAAGGTGATAGCACACTCACAACTCGTTTCCGCTTGAAAACCGAAATTGCCTATAACACGCTTGCTGAGCACGCTAGAGCACAATTTTGTTTTATATAACACACTAGAAACATTAGAGCGGGCGCTGTTGAACAGTGAAGCGTGAGCAAGAAGTTAGTATGTGGGCAAACACAGCACGCTAGTGTGTAACCAAGTGTTCAGCCCGCAAGTCAAGTGAACGTAAAGCTAGAGTAATCATTATACAGTCAAAGTACTCTAATTCTTGCAGTAATATTACTAGGTCAATCAACTAAAGCTCGTATTGGTGTTTTATAATTATCAACTTTCTGATCAGAAATTAAACAAAGTTGAAACATTTCGCCGCGAACAAGTTTCAAGAATTTAAGGCAGACACTTCTTACTTTTTTATGTGGAGAAGTGACTCTCGATTTTTAGTAGCATGTTGAAGACCAAAATCTAACCCACTGCCAGAACGAAAAATTTGGCACGATCGCGCAAACAACTTAACTTACACAAGATACTCAAAAGTCACCATAAAAGACAGCCATAAACGGCCAAAACGTCTGTGTTAAAGTATAATCCATCCGAATATTCCATCAACGGCCAGAGTGGTGTTAAGGGGATGGTCAACGGGACCCAAAGTGAGGAACAATGTTTGTTTCGCATTTTGAAAACTCATGCGGACGATAGTCATGCGCTCAGTCACGTGCCTTAAACTCCATTCAATCAATGCAGTAAAAAAAATAATGAAAATCAAAATGATCCTCGGAAATATACAGCGTTAAAATCCATTTCTCTCACTCGTCTGTTCACCAATATTCTAGTTTACTTATCACATTTGGATGAAATTGAGTTCTAAAGAAAAAGATTTGGATAAACCAATACAATATTCAGCAATATTTCGTTTTCGTGTGTTAAACTGTGTTAACTTACACGCTAAGCGTGACATCGGTCACGCTTAACCAAAGAAAAGACCAAGCGTGCTAACTTGACCGAAACAAGACAGTGTCTTTCATTGGTTAAAAAACAATATATGCGTATATTAGACACGCTAAACGTGTTGTGTTGGTGTGTTGTTTGCGTGTTATCACCTTTCTCCCTGAAATCGTATGGCGGGGTCACAAATGGTCGCATCTCCTGTAATCTAAACAACATTAGGTCCTTACCTCGTCGTAGTTGGTGTCGAAACAGAAGATGATGTCGACACTGACGATGATGTTGAGGCGCTTGATCCCGATGATGATGTCGAAATGCTTGAGGAAGTCGAAATTGACGATGAGGTTGACACACTTGATGAAGTCGACACTGATGATGATGTGGAAGCACTTGATGATGTTGACACTGATGACGATGTTGATACACTTGATGAAGTCGAAACTGAGGACGACGTTGAAGCGCTGGAGGATGTGGAAACTGATGATGATGTTGACACTGACGACGAGGTTGAAGCACTCGATGATGTTGATGCCGACGACGATGTGGAAATGCTCGATGAGGTCGAAATCGACGAAGATGTGGAGACACTAGATGACGTTGATACTGACGACGATGTTGAAATACTTGATGACGTCGATGCTGACGATGACGTTGAAACGCTTGATGATGTTGTTGTATAACTTGTTGTAGGGAAACTATAAAGAGATATTATACAATATTACGGGGAACGGTAACTTTAGTGAAAATCTATTTTAAGTGTCAAAAGAAACTTTATTTGGAAAAAATAATTGATGACATGGGTTAAATTGCTACTTTTTAACTCATTGACATAAAAACATTATAGGAGCGAGGAAACATTTGTGTCTACATGCCAGAAATGTTTACTTCGTCAGCCAATTACAGTGAGTACTGACAAACCAACCTAAGTTTGTACTAAAAAAAATTGTCCAACTCCGTCAAAAGGTAATTCATATAAAAATGATCTGAAACAAATCATATTTAATCTTTTTAAATAACCTTGAGATAAAACTAACATGTTGTACAAAAATGAATTATCTCTAATAATAAAGAAAATTTTAAAATACATCAACACCGACCTTGAAATAATAGATGTATTAAATTATGACCATGTGATGACAAAGTAGAGTCGAGAAAATACAAAACGGATTCCTAAAGTGGTTCAGAAACAAGGACTCAAAAATATCATTTATACCTCGTTGTTGTTGGTGTTGACACACTCGATGACGTAGACGCCGATGATGATGTTGTCGCGTAACTTGAGGTTGAAGCACTGATTGGAAAGTTTAATAAACCAAAATATAAGTCAAATTTTACATACAAAATGCAAAAAAAAATGTAAAAGTTCACCAACAACTGGCAAATGACACTGATTCATTTAAAATACACAATAATATGAAAATAAAGGCAATGATCCAACTGGCCCTCTCTTAAATAATCGTTGATAAAATCGACTTTTCCAGTTACAGTTATGAGCTAACGTAAAAACACCGTGTTCTTTCTCACCTTGACGACGTTGAGACACTTGACGATGTTGACGCAGAACTGGATGTGGACACACTACAAGAAAAATAAAAGGATTTGAAGTGTTTTTATAATAAGCAGTTTATCTTTAGAAGCTTAAAATAAAGTAGCTGCAGCTACATCTGAGTCTGATCGATCTTAACTTAAATACCTTGAGGAAGTTGATACACTCGATGAACTTGAAGTAGACACACTGAAATAAAAACATCGACAAAAATCTCAGATCAAACTGTATATGTCCTTAAACAAACCATAATCAGAAGGTCTTTCTCAGCAATTCTGATAAGACATGATATTCTTTTGGTTACATTGAGAAACACTTGGATCCTTATTTGTAAGTGGTACGATGTCAACTAAATATATTAGATATAAAAGCATGCCAGTCAAAGTTTCAGTTGCATTGCTATTACCTAAAGAGTTGACGATATTACATTAAAGTCCCATACGAGATTGAAGTGAGTCTATGAAGCGCTTACCTTGTTGTAGTTGGCGTCGAGACAGAAGATGATGCACTTGATGAAGTTGATATTGACGACGAAGTTGAAGCACTTGATGATGTCGATACTGACGAAGAAGTTGATGTTGAAATGCTCGATGAGGTCGAAATTGACGACGATGTTGAAACGCTCGATGAAGTAGACACTGACGACGATGTTGAAGCGCTCGACGATGTTGAAGCACTTGATGATGTCGACACTGACGACGATGTTGATACACTTGATGAAGTTGATATTGAGGACGAAGTCGAAACACTTGATGATGTCGATACAGAAGAAGAGGTTGAAGCACTTGATGATGTTGATGCAGAACTTGATGTAGACACACTAAAAAGAAATATTAATCATTGTTTCAGAAAACAATCACTTTGTTGAAGGTTTAATTAAATTCTCAAAACAAACTTCACTTTCAAAGACAAAGCTTCAATTGCTTCTCTTGGAACTATAGACGTTAAAACAATTTCTAGCTTCTTGGGAGCCATCAATATAGAATAATGCAGTAGATAATGAATAACAAGTGAAAATTGCGTCAACACACGTTTAAAATGACATTTATCCTAAAATAAACATTTTTTCTCTTACAAAGAAATTTGAGAAAAAGGTAACGTGTTGCATCGAACTAGACTTCTTCGAATAATATAAAAATCGTCAAAAATTACCTTGAAGAAGTGGATACACATGATGAAACTGACAAAAATGTGGACGCGGAACTCGAAGTAGAAACACTAAAAACCGACTAGTCTACTTTTACTAAAGAACAAGGACAAGGGGTTGGGTATCTTTTTCGCAGAGTATAAATTAAGTCGAGAACCAAAAGAATGGACACCTCCAGAAACATAGTCTGAAATATATCATCATTCATACCTGGTTGTTGTTGGAGTCGAAACACTCGATGACGTTGACGCCGATGATGATGATGTTGACGCAGAACTTGAAGTTGAAGCACCAATTGAAATTAAAACACACCAAAATATGTCACATTTTATATATACAATAAAAAAAGAGAGAAAATTGAAACAAAAACAAGAATTGCCACAAGCCACTAACCACAGGCAAATGAAACTATGCATCAATTGCGAATTACAATAAAATAAAAATAGAGGCAACGATTCAACTGGTCCTCTTACGACTGATAAATGAGTCGATCAACTGTTTTTAGTTAACATGAAGATCTGATGTAAAACCATCATATTCTTTGTTACCTGGACGATGTTGAGACACTTGACGAAGTTGATGCAGAACTTGATGTCGACACACTACAACAAAATTTAAAAATGTCGGAATGGGAAACAAAGTAGTTAATTTTTAAAATCCTCACAGCATTTTAATACAATTAAATTTGAGTTCGATGCACCTCAACCTCAAAACAAATTTCAATCACCTTGAGGAAGTTGACACACTTGATGAACTTGAAGTAGGTGCATAAAATAAAAACATGGATGAATTTTTCGGATCAAACTTTCTATAAACAGCATTTTGTACTTAGCAGACGCTTCAGAGAGCGCTCAGTATTTATAAATTGAATTTCTGAGCAAAAAAATTGTCATTCTATTAAAACGCTTCAGTTATGCAAATATGGCATACAAGGACACAGAAAATGTTAAAACTCTTCAAAATGAAATGAACACTTGAGAAGAAGACTCGGAAACTTAAGAGCAAAATTTGAACTCATTAAGAAAAAGATGGAACACCTGATTGAATACCAAGGCCATGCAGCGTTTTTTCAGAAATAATTTCCTGACAGTCGTCGTTTAGTTGACTATTTCTTTTATTCTCTCTTTTATTACTCAAGTTATTACAACTGGGACTAGCTCTGATCTCTGGGAAAGTGTGGGTCACCGCTTATAAAGGTGACACTTACGGAGCTGTCAATCTCTAACCTTTGTCATGCCTTTACACTTAACTATCGAATTACAACTTCGCGATGTTTACGCTTTATGAAATGTCTTTCTAATTTCAATCTCTCAGTCTTACGGTCAAGTTCGGGTAAACAAAAACAAGATTGACAAAATAAAAATCATAACAAACTTACTAACAGAATTAAAATCATACTTGAAATAATGTCTCAAGAGAAAATAGTCCTTGAAGGCTGTTGCATAACAGCAGAATAAACACAAAACCCGGAGAAGAAAGGGCACACCCAAGGTACCACCCCTGAAAGAGCTACGTGCTAGCCCCATAAGTTATCTAATCACAACTTCATTGCTGAAGATGAAAAGTACTACATGTTTACACCTAAAGTCACCTCTAAGTATAAGAGGTGTCAAGCGTGCTAAATTACACCTATAAGATGAGACCGCCAAAAGGAATAAGAAATGATCAACTGGCTTATTACAATTTTTTACAAAGTGGCTTATGTGCTAATATATTTTTTCTATTTATTTTCACGTTCAAATAAGTCAAAAATCACCTATAATGAAAATATTTGCTCGATGCCAATTTTGTCTTTTAACAGTTGCTTAAAGGTTAGATTTTGCTAATATCAAATGTAGACAAGATAAGCAAAGCTGTTGGTAAAATACTGCATCGTAGTTATCAATACAACCTCAGGGTCGATGGCGTACCACAGATTAAAGAAGAGAAACCAGCTCATGAAAGTTGCTCTCTGACCCTGGAGTCGATGTCTTGGCCACAAACATTGACAGGATTCTATTTCGGAATGCCACTATCGACAATGGCGGCCAAAGACAACTACACCTTATCATTTGCAAATTTTCAAAAAAGATGGCTCGGAGTGTTTTAAACTTTAAGAGGTAACGCTTGCCAACTTAATACTGTGATTTGGGGCATCATTCTTCACCTGTGATCCAACCAATTTACGATTTATAGTCACCTGACGCCCAAATTACGACATTTGTTTTGGGCTGCAAAACAGTGCACAGTGCATATAACTAAAAATAGTGATAGGGGATGCAATCCTTCTCCTTGAGAGAAATTCATTGGTGCCCATTAGTCTTAATCACTTAAAGACCTATCCAAGCTGAGAGAGCGAAAACTTTCTGTCTCTCCAGCAGATTTAGTGTATCTTGGCGGGTAAGTAGAACTTAATATCATTACGCGTTGCATTTAAATGAAATGTAGTTCTAAAACCAAAGAAATTCCATTTAAACAAAACACTTAACATATTTTAGCTGTGGAAGAGATTTAGCTAAAATGCATGGCCAATTTAATAATTCCTCCTCGATATTTCTGAAATCTAAACGTGAGCAAGACATACTTAGTAGTTTGTTTGACTTATTTCTGTTTCCTTTTAAATACAGCTTAAGATTATAGTTTGAATTCTAATGATAATCCTGTCAATAGAAGAATACCCGGTCGGTATTTCTTAACACTTAGTTTAAGGCAAATGAAAATCAAGTTGTTAAAGGGCACAACTGAATGTGTCCCATCAATTTTCCACAACAATGTCCTTGGTCTGAACCACAACCTTGAAAGTCTTAAGACTTCCCTTTTGCATGAATACGACTTTAATTTCAATATCACCGGAGTGACGGAAACAAAACTCACCAATGCTAATGAACAGCAGAGATACAAAGCTGCATGTTCGAGGGGGGAATCCTTGAAAACATGTGTTCAAAATGGGAATAAAGAGAAAGCTATTTGACATTATCGCTCACCCATAAAATCATTCCAAAGTTAAAGCTGCTCTAAGACGTTTTTATTGATTCTAGTGAGTTTTGGGCCTGTCAACATGTTATATTCCTATTTAGTCCTGAGGAGGTAACTTTTTGGAATCTAAGTAATCAAATTTATGTATAACTATGGAAGTAAGTCGTCAACTCACCTAGAAGGCAATGAAAAAACGGTTTCGGAGGCTGTCGAAAGAGTGTACGATGAGAGAAACCTCGTTGATACCTTTGTTTCTGTTTGAGGCTTAAATGACGTCGAGACAGACTTTGAGGTGAATACCCTGAGAAAAAGGCAGCATAGATTAATCGGAATACACATGATTTTTTTAAGTAGAGACACTGAAAACCAACGAGGCAACTTTTACAGAGAGCTGAGGTCAAGGGTACTTATATTACTATTAGTCCTAACTAAGTCGAGAAAAAAATGGATAAATGTAACAGTCCGGAAATAAGGTTTTAAAATAATATTCATACCTCGTTGTTGTCGGAGTTGAAACAATAGACGAGGTCGACACCGATGATGATGTGGATGCTGAGCTTGAAGTTGAAGTACTAATTGGATAATAAAACATACCAAAATATTGTCATAGTTTACATATAAAAAGCCAAAAACAACCAAAACGTAGGCGACGATTTCAACAATCCGCTTACGAAAGGTAATTGAAAGTATGGATCATTTGCAGAACAAATTGAACTTGAAATATTGGCAATGATCCAACTGGTCTTCTTACGACTCATAAATGACGCGATAAACCATTTTCAGTTAACATGGAGATCCAACATAAGAACATGATCTTTAATACCTCGACAATGTTGACACACTAGATGAGGTTGATGAAGAACTTGATGTCGACACACTACAAGAAAATTACCAGATTTCAAGCGTCGTAAAAGCAACTGAAGTATTTTATCTATAAAGTCTTCACAACATGTTGATTTAATTGTGTCTCGTGCACTTTAACTTGGAAAAAAAAAGTCTAAATACCTTGAAGAAGTTGACACACTTGATGAACTTGAAGAAGACACACTGAAATAACAACAAGAACAATTAAAGTTTAAACGTAAGTGCTTAAAAACCCATTTTAAGGTTGTCTAACGGGTTTCTCAGAAATTGTGGTGAAGCGTTAAATATTTTTTGGTTACGGGGAAATGGCTAGCAACCTAGCTTAGAACTTGTCTGATATGAAAGAAGATATTACAGAAACAAAAACACACCTGTCAAAGTTATAGTTGTACCGCTATTGTCTCAAAATGCTACGATATGAGATTTTGAAATCCATACTGTTACACGAGAATGAACTAAATTTATGCAGTGTGTACCTTGTCGTAGTTGGTGTTGAAACAGAAGATGATGTCGACACTGATGATGATGTTGAAGCGCTCGATGAAGTTGATGCAGACGACGATGTCGAAATACTTGATGAAGTCGAAATTGACGACGACGTAGAGACACTTGATGAAGTTGACACTGACGATGATGTTGAAGCACTTGATGATGTTGATACTGACGACGACGTTGAAGCACTTGATGATGTCGATAATGACGACGATGTTGAGGCACTTGACGATGTTGATGCTGATGATGACGTAGACACAGAACTTGAAGTTGACGCGCTGATTAATAAAAATTTGCATATCGACTTTGAGGTCTAATACCCAAGAATATTGATTTCTGTTGAAGACAATCTGACTAAAACCGTAACATTTTTATGGTAATTATTTAACTGTCCTAGTTTCAGCAGAACTTGCCCTTGGAGAATCATCTTTTAATTTGTTTCTTAAAGACATTGATTCGATAAAAAAAGAATACATTATCAACTGTGTAGAAAATGTTATGAAACAATGGCTTCCCAGATAAGGTGCACATTCGTCGAAATATGAAGCACTCAAAAAGATTGGAGAGCACTCATCAAGCTTGAGTTGCTCTCGGTAACACCTCCATCTCGATGAGTAATTTTAAGGCGTGGTTCAAACGAAAGAGATAAACCGTGGAAATTTTTTCTTTGGACAGCTTTGAAGTCTAGACAGAAGGTCTCTTACATATCATTTTACCTCGTCGTGGTTGGTGTTGAAACACTTGATGATGTCGATGCCGATGATGACGTGGACACAGAACTTGAAGTTGACGCACTGATTGATAAAAATAAAAACACAAATGAACTTGACGCAATCTCCTAGTTCAATAAAAACAATAAAATGAAATAAAGCCGATGGTCAAAACGGTATTTTTACGATTAATAAATAAAAGATGGATCATGTGAATTTATCATAAAAATGTGAAGCAAAACAATCGTATTCTTCGCTACCTTGACGATGTTGACACACTTGACGAAGTTGACGCAGAACTTGAGGTCGACACGCTTGAAGAGAAATGAAGGAATTTCAATTGTTGGAAAGGCAGATATTGAACAACTTTTCACCGAAGTGGAGGCGGTTATATTTACCGAGCGGCGAAAATTCGTGGTGAAAATCCAACGCTAACCACCAACACTGCGTTGAATAGTTGTTCTAAAATATACTAGAACAATAAGATAATGTAGCAAAAAAAAAGTTTTACAATTATAATGTGTTCGAATTCTGGTGTTCAGAGGTAAATGGCAAAGGATATTTAGAGTTTGAGTCACCAATCAGAACGCACCTTCGATGCCATCCATAGTTTCAAGTCTAGACTAATGTAGTTTATCAATTAGCTTTTAAAACATGTTGCTATAACCATACACACGTGCTTGATGCACCCTGACTAAACCAAATTATGCGAATCAGTACCTTGAAGAAGTTGACACACTGGATGAACTTGAAGTAGACACACTGAAATAAAGATATCGATAAGGATCTCACTTCAAACTATAAATACAAAGCACAACTTAGATTTTATCAAAAGTTATGAACGATCTATTTTTCTGCGGGCTAACTGACGATTATGATGTAGCTTTAGTTGCAGGGAAATATCTTGCAACCTAGTTAAAAACTTGGTAGGAACCACTAATTATCAACTACTTAATAACCTCGACCGGTCATTATAAGAAAATCTCTATTTGACATTTTGCAAGATTGACCTCGCTGTCACTCGGTCAACGCGGCTTGGCAGAGGTTTGAGATTTTCCAGTAATGAGCTAGTGGTCAAGGTTATCAAAATGTATAGCATATGACTTACAAACAGAAAAGGCAAAAAACGTATTTAAGAGGCAGTCTTCAATTCACATTTGACGATGCGCACATCTACCTATTCAGTACGGAACTCAAACCCCAGGTCGAATTTTTCAACGCAAGCCCGTGGAAGACACCACTTCTTTACATGTTCCTTCCACAACACACATTCATTTTCTCACAGCCATGAAAAAGTATTCTAGTATAGAGGTGTTCCAAATTTAAATAGAAATTTGGTGCGATTATTAAGGTAACGTTAGTGCGAACATAAATGACAGAAAATTGCTTCAAAGTACTCCAAACACGAACGGATTCTTGATAAAATGAAATAAAAATGTCTTAAAACGCACAGCCCTGTCAGTGTTTGCTTTTGCTTTCGATAATATATCTTCACCTTCCGAGAGATTCATATATGATCTTAACAAGACTTTTAAATATCTAAACTAAATCAAAAATTCTGCTGCCAACAAATATTCTCTCGGCTGCTTACGTCTGATGTTGCTGGCAGCTAATTTAAAACTTGTTTACTTGCGAGGGAATCTATCGATGAGAAACACCAAACCATGTGTGAGGAGCTTTGATCTTTAGTCATTTGTTGTCACTTAGCGATTCATGCTTTAGTTACGAATCGGCAAACTTTGATTGTCCTTCACTCGTGCCCTCAAGGTTACCAGCCATTAAATCAAAAACCATTTCTTTACATGAGATATTAAGGAAAAATTTTTGTGGATTGTCATCATGTCACTGACAGCTTTCCGATGTGAGTTATTAACGATATTTGTGTTTCTTAGTCGCGAGCTTGAATGTGTTCTCCTTTGTTTACCTCATTCTTTCTAGCGCAATCTCGTGGTTAATTTAACACGACACCTTTGCAGTTTTTCTAAAATTTTAACTACTTGTATAGGATTGAATGTACTTCTTCTGGCAGTTTATCTGCCTTCATAGTTCTCATGGCTCACAGTTTCAAAATGCACAAAAAGACGCTGCGGTACTTGTTTGACATTTTATGCTCTTATTAATTTGTATTATCCGTACTCGGCCCTTGGCATTAGTGCTGTATTATGTTCCTCTCAACTTGCTCTCAGCCAATCAGAGTGCACGTTACATTGGCCACAAGCCAAAGCCATGTAATAAATGATAGAAACATACGCACACCAATAAAAGTGAGTTATATTGAAGCTGTTGTCTTAACCTAAAGAAAATTTTAAGGCGCCTGGGATGAAACTATGCAATGAATACCTTGTTGTAGTTGGTGTCGAAACAGAAGATGAGGTCGACACCGATGACGATGTTGAAGTTCTTGATGAAGTCGATGCCGAAGATGATGTCGAAATGCTTGATGAGGTCGAAATTGACGAGGATGTTGAGACACTTGATGATGTCGAGACTGACGACGATGTTGAAGCACTCGATGATGTTGAAGCACTTGACGATGTAGATGCTGATGACGATGTTGAAGCACTTGATGATGTTGAAGCACTCGACGATGTCGATGCCGACGACGTTGTTGAAGCACTCGACGACGTCGATGCCGAAGACGATGTCGAAGCACTTGATGATGTTGACACTGACGACGATGTTGAAGCACTTGATGATGTTGAAGCACTCGACGATGTCGATGCTGACGACGATGTTGAAGCACTTGACGACGTCGATGCCGAAGACGATGTTGAAGCACTTGATGATGTTGAAGCACTCGACGATGTTGATGCCGAAGACGATGTTGAAGCACTAGACGACGTCGATGCCGAAGACGATGTTGAAGCGCTCGACGATGTTGAAACTGACGACGATGTCGAAGCACTAGATGATGTTGACGCCGAACTTGACGTCGAGACACTATAATATGTTTCATAATTTTTAGGAATGTTTTGAATGAAAAGGTCACCATGATTACAGGAGCCTTTGGGTATTAAAGGGAAATTAATTACCTTTTATCAGCTAAAGACTAACCAAAAGGAAAGCCACGATACTTTATGGCAGAAATTTTTTTTCTCTCGTAAAAAAATAAAGGTAATATGTATAATATACTTCATTTTTCTAAAGTAAAATTGAAATAAAATCAACACACACCTTGAAGAAGTGGATGCACTAGACGATGTTGAAATTGACGATGACGTAGACGCAGAAGTCGATGTAGAGACACTGAACACCAGAAATAAAACGTTATTTAACGAGAGCAACAGACAAAGTTACAATATATGTGTTTCTCAACTATTAACTCTAGACTAGATGGGATCATCTTGATGAAATAAATACGTCCGAGTGTTAAGTTATGCTGTGAAAAAAATTGACTCGTTAAGAAATCCAAAAACATTGTGTCAAAAATATCCTTCATACCTCGTTGTAGTTGGTGTTGAAACACTGGATGACGTCGAAGATGATGTTGACGCAGAACTAGATGTTGAAGCGCTGATTGAAATGTAAATCACGCAAGAGATGTTGTTAGAAGTATTAAGAAAACAAAAGCTGAATCAGTTTATGCCAGAAGAAGAAAAGCTGCAGCAAGGGGAAGGTAAGACTGAGGCTGTCTCCCTGATACAGCCCACGGGCGGCAAAGGGTGTTTAAAAAACAAAGGCGAGCTCTCAGGTTGAGGCGAACCATAAATGATATTGTGGAATACGAAACAAGTACACATCTCTACACTATTAGGGTAGAGTTAATCAATAACTAACGGATGTAACATATTTTACTGCCATGAAGTGGTAATCACATATGAACCAACATAATCCAAGCACTGGGGAAAAAGACAATTATAGAATAAGGTTGAGTATGATATCATGAATAATCATGAAGCCTGCGTTATCTGCCGAAGCCGGAAGGCCGCGGAAGCAGATGAAAATGCTAGAGGTTTAATAATCCATGATATCACACAAAAACCGGATTCGATAATTGTTTTATGATGCATTTTTTAAGAATATCAGAAAAGACACCTTTCTGAGTTTTGAAAGTATAGGAGCAGTACATGGAAGAGGCGCTTGGAAACTTTGAACTCGACACGATGACAGAATATCTACAGATATTTGGTTATCATGTCACCTTTACACGATACTGTATATTGACTGTATGCTCTTGACCAATAAAAATTTGCAAAGTAAGTCTAACTTATGATAATTCATATATCTGTTATCTGCCCGAACAGACAGAGCTGCCTTAAGCCTTAGGAAGGTAAAACCTTGGCTGTTCCCACCCTCAGCGGCTTGCCAAAACCACTAAACGAGAGAAAAGAACGAGAGAAAATGGGAAGGGATAAAAAGGGGTGGGTGGTGAAGGAAAGGCAAAGCTGAAAGGAGAGTTCTCAGGTTGAAGACGAACTTCAAGTGAAATTGCAGAATATGAAACGTGCAAACATTAAAATAAAATGCTCACAGATCCATACTACGTCTTAAAACGCCACTGAACGGTATTCAATGTCTCAAATTTGCACATTTACTAAAAAATACCAAGCCATTGAAAACAAGAGGCAATACTCAAAGGAGCCCTTCAAAAACTATTAAAACAACGATCATTTACAGTTTACATAAAAATCTAATTCAAAACAATGATGTTCTTCCCGCAAAAAATTCGTGTAGCGCATCATATTAAACATTCGCCCTTTTTTCCCTTTGTCAAATCTCCTTTTAGCCCTTTTGTTTAGCACGCATGATTGACATCGACATTATTTTACTTTTTCCTGCATAAATTTGTTCATACGTTTGGTGGATATTCCCTACTGTTGATTTTATTCATTAAAATCAATCTTTCAAATCATTCGATTGTTTTGATAGTTTTCATTGTTCCTGATCTCACCACAAGTGACCTTATTTGCTGTCTTTTGTCTTTATTTTCTCTTTTGATAAATCTTGATTTCTGAATCTAAAGAACTTTTAATTGATCTGTTTGTAGCAACTGCTTTAATTTGATTTACTTCGCTTCAATTTGCTCTAATTCATTTCGTTTAGTTTTCTTTGTATCTTCAAGGTGAATAAAGGAGTGCACTAGAGATGTAACAAGTGTCTTAGCTACATTACATCCTTTTCGTTACCTTGATGAGGTTGACACACTTGAAGAGGTTGACGCAGAGCTTGACGTCGACGCACTAGAAGAGAATTAAAAGATTTCAAGCGTCAAAAAGGGAGATAAAAGAGTTTTTCAGTTCAGTCTTTTTTGTCTATAATTAGATAAGGGTGTGATGCAAAAAATTCTTATAAAAATTCTTCATACCTTGAGGAGGTGGACACACTTGATGAACTTGAAGTAGACACACTGAAACACAAAAAAAATCAGCCATCTCTTCACACTAAGCTATAAAATGTCACATGAAAGAGGTCTCATAAATTTTGCCTAACAAACCATGGTATTTTTACCAGCGATTATGATAAGGCACGTATTTTAATATAGACTAGAGGGGCTTGCAACCGTGATGAATAATGAATGGTATATCTCTATTTCAAGTGCTAAAATCTATTTACAATGGAATCTATAATTCTATACTCTTTACATATGTCGATTACAATAAAATTTGAAATATGAATACATTCATATGTAATACTAGTAAGGCTTACAACCTGGTTTAAAAGTGGGTGTGTTATCAGCTTAATTATAATGAAGCATTAAGATTTCAACTTCAAACTGTGAGAATTTTGGTTCAAATTATGACAAATAAAAAGGTCTTAACTGAATCTATGCGGTAAATACCTCGTTGTAGTTGGCGTGGAAACAGATGACGATGTCGACACTGACGATGATGTCGAAGCGCTTGATGATGTTGATGCCGATGACGATGTCGAAATGCTCGATGACGTCGAAATTGACGACGATGTTGAAACACTTGATGATGTCGATACTGACGACGAAGTTGAAGCGCTTGATGATGTAGACACTGACGACGATGTTGAAGCACTCGACGATGTCGATGCTGACGACGATGTTGAAGCAGTCGATGACGTCGATGCCGAAGACGATGTTGAAGCACTTGATGATGTTGAAGCACTCGACGATGTCGATGCCGACGATGATGTTGAAGCACTCGACGACGTCGATGCCGAAGACGATGTTGAAGCGCTCGACGATGTTGAAACTGACGACGATGTCGAAGCACTAGATGAAGTTGACGCCGAACTTGACGTCGAGACGCTATAATATGTTTCATAATTTTTAGGAATGTTTTTAATAGAAAAAAGTCACCATGATTACAGGAGCCTTTGGATATTAAAGAGAAATTAACTACCATTTACCAGCTAAAAATTGACCAATAGGAAAGCCACGATACTTTACGGCAGAAATTTTTTTTTCTCTCTTAAAAAAATAAAGGTAGTATGGGCAATATACTTCATTTCTCTAAAATAACATTGAAATAAAATCAGCACACACCTTGAAGAAGTGGATGCACTAGACGATGTTGAAATTGACGATGACGTAGACGCAGAAGTCGATGTAGAGACACTGAACACCAGAAATAAAACGATATTTAACGAGAGCAACAGACAAAGTTACAATATATGTGTTTCTCAACTATTAACTCTAGACTAGATGGGATCATCTTGATGAAATAAATACGTCCGAGTGTTAAGTTTAGCTGTGAAAAAATTGACTCGTTAAGAAATCCAAAAACATTGTGTCAAAAATATCATTTATACCTTGTTGTAGTTGGTGTTGAAACACTGGACGATGTCGACGCCGATGATGATGTTGACGTAGAACTAGATGTTGAAGCGCTGATTGAAATGTAAACCACACAAGAGATGTTGTTATAAGTATTAAAACAAAAGCTGAATCAGTCAATGCCGGAAGAAGAAAAGCTGCAGCAAGGGGAAGGTAAGACTGAGGCTGTCCCCCTGATGCAACCCACGGGCGGCAAAGGGTGGTTAAAAAACAAAGGCGAGCTCTCAGGTTGAGGCGAACCATAAATGATATGGAATACGAAACAAGTACACATGATCAGGGTAGAGTTAATCAATAACTAACGGATGCAACATATTTTACTGCCATGAAGTGGTATTCACATATGAACCAACATAATCCCAAGCACTGGGGAAAAAGACAATTATAGAATGAGGTTGAGTATGATATCGTGAAGTGCTTCCGGCTTCGGTAGATAAAAATGCTAGAGGTTTAATAATCCATGATGTCATGCAAAAACCGGATTCAATAATTGTTTTATGATGCTTTTTTTTTAGAATATCTGAAAAGACACCTCTCTGAGTTTTCAAAGTATGAGTGCAATACACAGAAGAGGCGCTTGGAAACTTTGAACTCGTCACGATAACAGAATGTCTACAGATATTGGGTCATCATGTTCCATTTACACGATACTGTATATTGACTGTATGCTCTTGACCGATAAACATTTGCATAATAAGTCTAACTTATGATAATTCATATCTATTATCTGCCCGAACAGACAGAGCTGCCTCAAGCCTTAGGGAGGCAAAACCTTGGCTGTTCCCACTCTCAGCAGCTCGCCGAAACCACTAAACGAGAGAAAAGAACTAGACAAAAACAGGAAAGGATAAAAAGGGGTGGGTGGGGAAGGAACGGCAAAACTGAAAGGAGAGTTCTCAGGTTGAAGACGAACTTCAAGTGAAATTGCAGAGTATGAAACGTGCAAAAATTAAAATAAAATGCTCACAGATATCGATACTACGTCTTAAAACGCCACTGGACAGTATTCAATATCTCAAATTTGCACATTTACTAAAAAATACCAAACTATTGAAAACACGAGGCAATACTCAAAAGAGCCCTTCAAAAACTATTAAAACAACGATCATTTACAGTTTATATAAAAATCTAATTCAAAACAATGATGTTCTTCCCGCAAAAAATTCGTGTAGCGCATCATATTAAAAATTCGCCCTTTTTTCCCTTTGTCAAATCTCCTTTTAGCCCTTTTGTTTAGCACACATGAATGACATCGACATTATTTTATTATTTTCTGCATAAATATGTTGATACCTTTGGTGGATATTCCTTACCGTTGATTTTATTCATTCAAATCAGTCTTTCAAATTATTCGATTGCTTTGATAGTTTACATTGTTCCCAATCTCACTACAAGTGTCCTTATTTGCTGTCTTTTATCTTTATTTTCTCTTTTGATAAATCTTGATTTCTGAATCGAAAGAACTTTTAATTAATCTGTTTATAGCAACTGCTTTAATTTGATTTACTTCGCTTCAATTTGCTCTAATTCATTTCGTTTTGTTTTCCTTGTATCTTCAAGGTGAATAAAGGAGTGCACTAGAGATGTAACAAGTGTCTTAGCTACATTACATTCTTTTCATTACCTTGATGAGGTTGACACACTTGAAGAGGTTGACGCAGAGCTTGACGTCGACGCACTAACAGAGAATTAAAAGATTTCAAGCGTCAGAAAGGGAGTTAAGAGTTTTTCAGTTCAGTCTTTGAAGGATAATAGAATTAGATAAGGGTGTGATGCAAAAAATTCTTATAAAAATTCTTCATACCTTGAGGAGGTGGACACACTTGATGAACTTGAAGTAGACACACTGAAACACAAAAAAAATCAGCCATCTCTTCACACTAAGCTATAAAATGTCACATGAAAGAGGTCTCATAAATTTTGCCTAACAAACCATGGTATTTTTACCAGCGATTATGATAAGGCACGTATTTTAATATAGACTAGAGGGGCTTGCAACCGTGATGAATAATGAATGGTATATCTCTATTTCAAGTGCTAAAATCTATTTACAATGGAATCTATAATTCTATACTCTTTACATATGTCGATTACAATAAAATTTGAAATATGAATACATTCATATGTAATACTAGTAAGGCTTACAACCTGGTTTAAAAGTGGGTGTGTTATCAGCTTAATTATAATGAAGCATTAAGATTTCAACTTCAAATTGTGAGAATTTTGGTTCAAATTATGACAAATAAAAAGGTCTTAACTGAATCTATGCGGTAAATACCTCGTTGTAGTTGGCGTGGAAACAGATGACGAAGTCGACACTGACGATGATGTCGAAGCGCTTGATGATGTTGATGCCGATGACGATGTCGAAATGCTCGATGACGTCGAAATTGACGACGATGTTGAAATACTTGATGATGTCGATACTGACGACGAAGTTGAGGCACTTGACGATGTCGATGCTGATGATGAGGTTGAGGCGCTCGATGATGTCGACACTGATGATGATGTTGAGGCGCTTGTTGACACGGAGGACGATGTTGAAACAGAACTAGATGTTGACACACTAAAAATGACAGAATTGATGAAAGAGAATGTTCACTCTTACGATGTTATGGTACCAGTGTAAACAATTAAAAGATAAGAAACAAACTCTTTTTTCAAAACAATGTACTTAACCAGCTTTCGATAAAATAAGTGGCCATTTTGGATAAGTTTGAAAATAAATTTAAAGCTAGGTTCCTCTTTACCTTGACGAGGTTGACACACTCGACGATGTTGATGCTGAACTTGTTGTTGACACACTAAGAGAAAGTTGCAAGATTCAGTAGAATTAAAAACTGGAGCGAAATTTTCTATTTGTTGCCTTTGCAGTTATGATCTGGTTTATTCTAATTTATTAACCTTATCTGTGAATTGAAGAATTTTTTTTAATACCTTGAGGAAGTTGACACGCTTGAAGAACTTGAAGTAGACGCACTAATGAGGAAATAGAAAATTGAAAATATATGAATCTCAATTAACTTTTGCTTAAAAGTTCTAAACGAGGGAAGGTTGCCCTCTCGGTGGTAGTCCGGTTTATTGAAAGCAAGAATGAAGAGCAGTGGTATTTTTAAGTACTTTGTTAACCACTGTTGCAAAAGGAAATTTTTTTTGATTTTAAAATGTGTGTGCTAAAAAACCAGGTAGTCCGAAAGCCAACATTGTGCACAATGGTGGAATAATATATCTTTCAACTCTCTTGAACCCCGACAAAATGGGCGCATCTTTTGTGTTATAATATTGTAATTTTCACGCCCTGTGTTGAATTTCATTTGCACGTGCTGCTAGACTCATTATGTATTCAGTTTCGTTTGTACCTTCGAGGCACTTGATAGAGATTAAATGTCTGTTCAGTAACTGTTTGAACGTGTGGATCGCTGTGCTATTACATTTTGTATCCAAACTAGATAAATTCAGTCAGTACCTCGTCGTAGTTGGTGTCGAAACAGATGATGATGTTGACACTGACGATGATGTTGAAGCGCTTGATGATGTTGATGCGGACGATGACGTTGAAATACTTGATGATGTAGAAATTGACGACGATGTTGAAATACTTGATGATGTCGATATGGATGACGAAGATGAGGCACTTGATGACGTTGACGCAGAACTTGATGTAGAGACACTGAAATATGTTTTACGATGTTTCAGAAAATAATAATTAGTTGATTTAAAATCTATCGAATAAGAAAACATAGAATAAATATACTGAGACTCTTGTTTGAGAGGCCAAAATGTGACTGATTAGCAGCAAAAATAACTGTAACCAATAGCTAACTCAACGATAACGCAAGTAGAGATTAACAAATATTTACTTTGTTCATTGTGTTGAAAATCAAAACGGTTTTAAATAAACCATATGTATTCTTTAAAAAATGAAAATTTAAAAAGATTGTGTGTTGCATTAAATGCATTTCTGCGATATAACATAAAAAAATCCAAAACTAACCTTGAAGAAGTAGATGCACTAGATGATGTTGAAATTGACGATGATGTGGATACGGAACTTGTTGTAGAGAAACTGAAAACCAACAAAAAAAAAACTTTCAGAGAAAACTAAGGACAAAAGTCAATATATCGATTTCGTAATGACTAAGTCAAGGCCGAAAAAAAATTACCCCTAAAATAAAATGTCATTCGTACCTGGTCGTATATGGTGTTTAAACACTCGATGACATCGGCAAAAAAAAGATATTCTCACCATTTAATTATGATAAGCATTGCAATGAATATGAATGGAATGATCAAGTTGGTGTTGAAACGACTGATAATAAGAACGATGGACCCTGATTAAATTTGCACTGAATTAAATAATACAAAACCACAATGTTCTTCGTTACCTTGATGAGGTTGACACACTTGACGAAGATGACGCAGAACTTGATGTTGACACACTGAAAAAAATTAGGATTTTAAGCGTCGGAAAGGCAAACAAAGGATTGTGTTCATAATGCCCTTGAAATATCAACTTTAAGAGCTCCTCACAGCTAAGAACACTACTGAACTAGTAGTAGAGAATAGGACCTGAAAAAAATTCAGGCCCGTACAGGATTTGAACCCATGACCTCTGCGATACCGGTGCAGCGCTCTATCAATTGAGCGAACGAGCCAACTGGGAGCTGATCAATATATTGGGTCCAAATAAACCATCCAAGTGATGAATAATGATTTTAGATATATGAAATTCATATATTTGCAATGTGAAGAATCAAATTAAAGAGCTCCTCGCAGCTGAGAACACCACTGAACTAGTAGTTGAAAAGAGGACCATCTAAAGCTGTGACTGATGCACAGTCACGTGTACACAAATTCTTAATACCTTGAGGAAGTTGATACACTTGATGAACTTGAAGTAGACACACTTCATTGAAAGGAAAAGAGGAGATAAATAACTCACATTAACCTGTATCTAAGTAACACGACTAAAACCTTATCAAAGTCCCATAGTTTAGAAGTTGATATGGTATCAACTCAGTAATAATGGGCCATGTACTTTTCAGTCAAAGCTGTTGGGAAGTGTCTCAAATTATGGAACTATTCAGTAAATACCTGGTTGTAGTTGGCGTCGAAACAGAAGATGATGTGGACACTGACGAAGACGTTGATGCACTTGAAGATTTTGATGTTGATGCCGATGATGATGTCGAAATGCTCGATGACGTGGAAATTGATGACGATGTTGAAGCACTTGACGATGTCGACACTGATGACGAGGTTGAAGCACTAGATGATGTCGATACCGAAGAGGAAGTTGAAGCGCTTGATGATGTCGACACTGACGACGATGATGAAGCAATTGATGATGTTGATGCTGACGACGATGTTGAAGCACTTGATGATGTTGATGCAGACGACGATGTTGAAGCACTTGACGATGTCGACACTGATGACGAGGTTGAAGCACTTGATGATGTTGACACAGACGATGATGTCGAAATGCTTGATGACGTCGACACAGAACTTGATGTAGAGACACTATGGAGAGATCAATTACTGTTACAGAAAACAGCATCTCTCCTGACATCTGATACATAATCACATCAACAACTCGACAATAGTTTCTATTGAAAATTTTTTTTTTTAACTACTGTAATGAATTTTTAGTTTTCAACTTGATATCGATAACAATTTGGGCCAAGAATTTGATGTAGAAATACTAACGTACAATAAAACTTGATTAACAGAGAGATAAATACATTGGTTAGGATATGTTTTTCAGTGAAAGAAATGTTGACATCTCTGGAGGTTTTTAAACAAAAGGTCTCCCCGTCTAAAAGATTTTACATATACCTGGTCGTGGTTGGTGTTGAAATACTCGAGGACGTTGACGCCGATGATGACAAAGAACTGGACGTTGACACGCTGAAAACAATGATGTAAATGACTATATTTTAGCAGTGTATAAACATAACATAAAACGATAGGAAGAGTTCAAAGGGATGTACTTAACGAAATATAGATAAAGCGACAAACCAATCTATTTATATATTAAAAAGCAATGGAAAACAATCGTCATTTCTTACCTTGACGACGTCGACACACTTGATGATGTCGATGCTGAACTTGATGTTGACACGCTTAAAGAAAATTAAAAGATTCGATTGCTCTAAAGGCACATGAAGTATGGCTTTGATCTATGACCAGTAAATTATCAATCAACAGGTTATTTTGTTCAAGTATAACTATTGTTTATCTAGCGACTTTATGATCAAAACACTGAAAATACATTTTACTCTCAACATACTACTTACCTTGAGGAGGTTGACACACTCGAGGATGATGTATAAGTCTCACTACAAATATAATTATACAAAGATATTGGAAATTCATTATAAATGTTTAGGGGTCATATTCAATCATTACTAGGTTGTAGATGATAGCCATTTCTATCATGAAGCAAGTTGGCTGTATGTACCTACGTATTTGCAACTCTTGTGAAACGAATGAGGCATGAAATCTACTATTTTATTTCCGTATGCAGACCAATTTCATCTAATCTCCTACGACCATACTGAATTTCACAACGTTTAAGTAAAGAAAAGCATAACTCAAAGACAATAATTGGTATATTCAGACCGTACCTTATTGTGGTTGGCGTTGACACACTCGACGACGTTGACGCTGATGAAGATGTCGAAGCACTGGATGAAGTTGATGCCGATGATGATGTTGAGATACTTGATGACGTTGATATTGACGAAGATGTCGAAACACTTGATGATGTCGACACTGACGACGATGATGAAGTACTTGATGATGTCGACAATGACGACGATGTTGAAGCACTTGATGATGTTGACAATGACGATGATGTTGAAACACTTGATGATGTCGACAATGACGACGAGGTTGAAGCACTTGATGATGTTGACGCAGACGATGATGTGGAAATGCTTGATGACGTCGACACAGAACTTGATGTAGAGACACTAAGGAGAGATCAACTACTGTTACATAAAACAGCCACCTTCCTGACATCTAATATATAATCACATCAACGACTCGATGATAGTCTCTATTGAAAATTTTTTTTCTTGAACGACTGAAATGAATTTTTTAGTTTTCAACTAGATATCATCGACAATTTGGATCAAGAATTTGATGTAGAAAAACTAAAGTACGATGTAACATAATTTACAGAAGGATGAATGCATTGGCTAGGATATATATATTCCTGTAACAGAAATGTTGACATCTCTGGAGGTTTTTAAACAAAAAGTCTCCCCGTCTAAAAAATTTAATCTATACCTGGTCGTGGTTGGTGTTGAAATACTCGAGGACGTTGACGCCGATGATGACAAAGAACTAGACGTTGACGCGCTGAAAACAATGATATATATGACTATCTTTTAGCAGTGTATAAACATAACATAAAACGATAGGAAGAGTTCAAAGGGATGTACTTAACGAAACATAGATAAAGCCACTAACCAATCTATGTATATATTAAAAAGCAATGGAAAACAATCGTCATTTCTTACCTTGACGACGTCGACACACTTGATGATGTCGATGCTGAACTTGATGTTGACACGCTTAAAGAAAATTAAAAGATTCGATTGCGCTAAAGGCATATGAAGTATGGCTTTGATCTATGACCAGTAAATTATCAATCAACAGGTTATGTTGTTCAAGTATAACTATTGTTTATCTAGCGACTTTATGATCAAAACACTGAAAATACATTTTACTCTCAACATACTACTTACCTTGAGGAGGTTGACACACTCGAGGATGATGTATAAGTCTCACTACAAATATAATTAGACAAAGATATTGGAAATTCATTATAAATGTTTAGGGGTAATATTCAATCATTACTAGGTTGTAGATGATAGCCATTTCTATCATGAAGCAAGTTGGCTGTATGTACCTCCGTATTTGCAACTCTTGTGAAACGAATGAGGCATGAAATCTACTATTTTATTTCCGTATGCAGACCAATTTCATCTAATCTCCTACGACCATACTGAATTTCACAACGTTTAAGTAAAGAAAAGCATAACTCAAAGACAATAATTGGTATATTCAGACCGTACCTTATTGTGGTTGGCGTGGACACACTCGACGACGTTGACGCTGATGAAGATGTCGAAGCACTGGATGAAGTTGATGCCGATGATGATGTTGAGATACTTGATGACGTTGATATTGACGAAGATGTCGAAACACTTGATGATGTCGACACTGACGACGATGATGAAGTACTTGATGATGTCGACAATGACGACGATGTTGAAGCACTTGATGATGTTGACAATGACGATGATGTTGAAACACTTGATGATGTCGACAATGACGACGAGGTTGAAGCACTTGATGATGTTGACGCAGACGATGATGTGGAAATGCTTGATGACGTCGACACAGAACTTGATGTAGAGACACTAAGGAGAGATCAACTACTGTTACATAAAACAGCCACCTTCCTGACATCTAATATATAATCACATCAACGACTCGATGATAGTCTCTATTGAAAATTTTTTTCTTGAACGACTGAAATGAATTTTTTAGTTTTCAACTAGATATCATCGACAATTTGGATCAAGAATTTGATGTAGAAAAACTAAAGTACGATGTAACATAATTTACAGAGGGATGAATGTATTGACTAGGATATATATATTCCTGTAACAGAAATGTTGACATCTCTGGAGGTTTTTAAACAAAAAGTCTCCCCGTCTAAAAAATTCAATCTATACCTGGTCGTGGTTGGTGTTGAAATACTCGAGGACGTTGACGCCGATGATGACAAAGAACTAGACGTTGATGCGCTGAAAACAATGATATATATGACTATCTTTTAGCAGTGTATAAACATAACATAAAACGATAGGAAGAGTTCAAAGGGATGTACTTAACGAAACATAGATAAAGCCACTAACCAATCTATGTATATATTAAAAAGCAATGGAAAACAATCGTCATTTCTTACCTTGACGACGTCGACACACTTGATGATGTCGATGCTGAACTTGATGTTGACACGCTTAAAGAAAATTAAAAGATTCGATTGCGCTAAAGGCATATGAAGTATGGCTTTGATCTATGACCAGTAAATTATCAATCAACAGGTTATGTTGTTCAAGTATAACTATTGTTTATCTAACGACTTTATGATCAAAACACTGAAAATACATTTTACTCTCAACATACTACTTACCTTGAGGAGGTTGACACACTCGAGGATGATGTATAAGTCTCACTACAAATATAATTATACAAAGATATTGGAAATTCATTATAAATGTTTAGGGGTCATATTCAATCATTACTAGGTTGTAGATGATAGCCATTTCTATCATGAAGCAAGTTGGCTGTATGTACCTACGTATTTGCAACTCTTGTGAAACAAATGAGGCATGAAATCTACTATTTTATTTCCGTATGCAGACCAATTTCATCTAATCTCCTACGACCATACTGAATTTCACAACGTTTAAGTAAAGAAAAGCATAACTCAAAGACAATAATTGGTATATTCAGACCGTACCTTATTGTGGTTGGCGTTGACACACTCGACGACGTTGACGCTGATGAAGATGTCGAAGCACTGGATGAAGTTGATGCCGATGATGATGTTGAGATACTTGATGACGTTGATATTGACGAAGATGTCGAAACACTTGATGATGTCGACACTGACGACGATGATGAAGTACTTGATGATGTCGACAATGACGACGATGTTGAAGCACTTGATGATGTTGACAATGACGATGATGTTGAAACACTTGATGATGTCGACAATGACGACGAGGTTGAAGCACTTGATGATGTTGACGCAGACGATGATGTGGAAATGCTTGATGACGTCGACACAGAACTTGATGTAGAGACACTAAGGAGAGATCAACTACTGTTACATAAAACAGCCACCTTCCTGACATCTAATATATAATCACATCAACGACTCGATGATAGTCTCTATTGAAAATTTTTTTTCTTGAACGACTGAAATGAATTTTTTAGTTTTCAACTAGATATCATCGACAATTTGGATCAAGAATTTGATGTAGAAAAACTAAAGTACGATGTAACATAATTTACAGAGGGATGAATGTATTGCCTAGGATATATATATTCCTGTAACAGAAATGTTGACATCTCTGGAGGTTTTTAAACAAAAAGTCTCCCCGTCTAAAAAATTTAATCTATACCTGGTCGTGGTTGGTGTTGAAATACTCGAGGACGTTGACGCCGATGATGACAAAGAACTAGACGTTGAGGCGCTGAAAACAATGATATATATGATTATCTTTTAGCAGTGTATAAACATAACGTAAAACGATAGGAAGAGTTCAAAGGGATGTACTTAACGAAACATAGATAAAGCCACTAACCAATCTATGTATATATTAAAAAGCAATGGAAAACAATCGTCATTTCTTACCTTGACGACGTCGACACACTTGATGATGTCGATGCTGAACTTGATGTTGACACGCTTAAAGAAAATTAAAAGATTCGATTGCGCTAAAGGCATATGAAGTATGGCTTTGATCTATGACCAGTAAATTATCAATCAACAGGTTATGTTGTTCAAGTATAACTATTATTTATCTAGCGACTTTATGATCAAAACACTGAAAATACATTTTACTCTCAACATACTACTTACCTTGAGGAGGTTGACACACTCGAGGATGATGTATAAGTCTCACTACAAATATAATTATACAAAGATATTGGAAATTCATTATAAATGTTTAGGGGTAATATTCAATCATTACTAGGTTGTAGATGATAGCCATTTCTATCATGAAGCAAGTTGGCTGTATGTACCTACGTATTTGCAACTCTTGTGAAACGAATGAGGCATGAGATCTACTATTTTATTTCCGTATGCAGACCAATTTCATCTAATCTCCTACGACCATACTGAATTTCACAACGTTTAAGTAAAGAAAAGCATAACTCAAAGACAATAATTGATATATTCAGACCGTACCTTATTATGGTTGGCGTGGACACACTCGACGACGTTGACGCTGATGAAGATGTCGAAGCACTGGATGAAGTTGATGCCGATGATGATGTTGAGATACTTGATGACGTTGATATTGACGAAGATGTCGAAACACTTGATGATGTCGACACTGACGACGATGATGAAGTACTTGATGATGTCGACAATGACGACGATGTTGAAGCACTTGATGATGTTGACAATGACGATGAAGTTGAAACACTTGATGATGTCGACAATGACGACGAGGTTGAAGCACTTGATGATGTTGACGCAGACGATGATGTGGAAATGCTTGATGACGTCGACACAGAACTTGATGTAGAGACACTAAGGAGAGATCAACTACTGTTACATAAAACAGCCACCTTCCTGATATCTAATATATAATCACATCAACGACTCGATGATAGTCTCTATTGAAAAATTTTTTTCTTGAAAGACTGAAATGAATTTTTTAGTTTTAAACTAGATATCATCGACAATTTGGATCAAGAATTTTGATGTAGAAAAACTAAAGTACGATGTAACATAATTTACAGAGGGATGAATGCATTGGCTAGGATATATATATTCCTGTAACAGAAATGTTGACATCTCTGGAGGTTTTTAAACAAAAAGTCTCCCCGTCTAAAAAATTTAATCTATACCTGGTCGTGGTTGGTGTTGAAATACTCGAGGACGTTGACGCCGATGATGACAAAGAACTAGACGTTGACGCGCTGAAAACAATGATATATATGACTATCTTTTAGCAGTGTATAAACATAACATAAAACGATAGGAAGAGTTCAAAGGGATGTACTTAACGAAACATAGATAAAGCCACTAACCAATCTATGTATATATTAAAAAGCAATGGAAAACAATCGTCATTTCTTACCTTGACGACGTCGACACACTTGATGATGTCGATGCTGAACTTGATGTTGACACGCTTAAAGAAAATTAAAAGATTCGATTGCGCTAAAGGCATATGAAGTATGGCTTTGATCTATGACCAGTAAATTATCAATCAACAGGTTATGTTGTTCAAGTATAACTATTATTTATCTAGCGACTTTATGATCAAAACACTGAAAATACATTTTACTCTCAACATACTACTTACCTTGAGGAGGTTGACACACTCGAGGATGATGTATAAGTCTCACTACAAATATAATTATACAAAGATATTGGAAATTCATTATAAATGTTTAGGGGTAATATTCAATCATTACTAGGTTGTAGATGATAGCCATTTCTATCATGAAGCAAGTTGGCTGTATGTACCTACGTATTTGCAACTCTTGTGAAACGAATGAGGCATGAGATCTACTATTTTATTTCCGTATGCAGACCAATTTCATCTAATCTCCTACGACCATACTGAATTTCACAACGTTTAAGTAAAGAAAAGCATAACTCAAAGACAATAATTGATATATTCAGACCGTACCTTATTATGGTTGGCGTGGACACACTCGACGACGTTGACGCTGATGAAGATGTCGAAGCACTGGATGAAGTTGATGCCGATGATGATGTTGAGATACTTGATGACGTTGATATTGACGAAGATGTCAAAACACTTGATGATGTCGACACTGACGACGATGATGAAGTACTTGATGATGTCGACAATGACGACGATGTTGAAGCACTTGATGATGTTGACAATGACGATGAAGTTGAAACACTTGATGATGTCGACAATGACGACGAGGTTGAAGCACTTGATGATGTTGACGCAGACGATGATGTGGAAATGCTTGATGACGTCGACACAGAACTTGATGTAGAGACACTAAGGAGAGATCAACTACTGTTACATAAAACAGCCACCTTCCCGACATCTCATATATAATCACATCAACGACTCGATGATAGTCTCTATTGAAAAATTTTTTTCTTGAACGACTGAAATGAATTTTTAGTTTTCAACTAGATATCAACGACAATTTGGACCAAGAATTTGATGTAGAAATACTGAAGTACGATGAAACATGATTTACAGAGGGATGAATGCATTTGCTAGGATATAATAACTCTTTTAAAAGAAATGTTGACCTCTCTGGAGGTTTTAAACAAAAAAAAATCTCCGTCTAAAAAATTTAATCAATACCTGGTCGTGGTTGGTGTTGAAATACTCGAGGACGTTGACGCCGATGATGACAAAGAACTAGACGTTGACGCGCTGAAAACAATGATGTAAATGGCTACATCTTAGCAGTGTATAAGCGTTACATTAAATGATAGAAAGTGTTCAAAGCAATGTACTTAACCAAATATAGATAAAGCGACAAACCAATCTATGTAGATATGAAAAAAGGCGATGGAAACAATTGTCATTTCTTACCTTGACGAGGTCGACACACTTGATGACGTTGATGCTGAACTTGATGTTGACACACTTAAAGAAAATTAAAAGATTCGATTGCGCTAAAGGCATATGAAGTATGGCTTTGATCTATGACCAGTAAATTATCAATCAACAGGTTATTTTGTTCAAGTATAACTATTATTTATCTAGCGACTTTATGATCAAAACACTGAAAATACATTTTACTCTCAGCATACTACTTACCTTGAGGAGGTTGACACACTCGAGGATGATGTATAAGTCTCACTACAAATATAATTAGACAAAGATATTGGAAATTCATTATAAATGTTTAGGGGTAATATTCAATCATTACTAGGTTGTAGATGATAGCCATTTCTATCATGAAGCAAGTTGGCTGTATGTACCTCCGTATTTGCAACTCTTGTGAAACGAATGAGGCATGAGATCTACTATTTTATTTCCGTATGCAGACCAATTTCATCTAATCTCCTACGACCATACTGAATTTCACAACGTTTAAGTAAAGAAAAGCATAACTCAAAGACAATAATTGATATATTCAGACCGTACCTTATTGTGGTTGGCGTGGACACACTCGACGACGTTGACGCTGATGAAGATGTCGAAGCACTGGATGAAGTTGATGCCGATGATGATGTTGAGATACTTGATGACGTTGATATTGACGAAGATGTTGAAACACTCGATGACGTTGACACTGACGACGAGGTTGAAACACTTGATGATGTCGACACTGACGACGACGTTGAAAAGCTTGAGGAAGAAAGTGACGACGAAGTTGAAGCACTTGATGATGTCGACAGTGATGACGATGTTGAAGAGCTTGAGGAGGAAAGTGACGACGAAGTTGAAGCACTAGATGATGTCGACACTGACGACGAGGTAGAAGCACTTGAGGAAGATAGTGACGACGAAGTTGAAGCACTTGATGATGTCGACACTGATGACGATGTTGAAAAGCTTGAGGAGGAAAGTGACGACGAAGTTGAAGCACTTGATGATGTTGACGCTGATGACGATGTTGAAAAGCTCGAGGAAGAAAGGGACGACGAAGTGGAAGCGCTCGAGGAAGAAAGTGACGATGAAGTTGAAGCACTTGATGATGTGGATACTGATGAAGATGTTGAAAAGCTCGAGGAAGAAAGTGACGACGAAGTTGAAGCACTAGATGATGTCGACACTGACGACGATGATGAAGCGCTTGAGGAAGAAAGTGACGACGAAGTTGAAGCACTTGATGATGTGGATACTGATGAAGATGTTGAAAAGCTCGAGGAAGAAAGTGACGACGAAGTTGAAGCACTAGATGATGTTGATACTGATGACGATGTTGAAAAGCTCGAGGAAGAAAGTGACGACGAAGTTGAAGCACTAGATGATGTCGACACCGATGACGATGTTGAAGTGCTTGTTGAGATTCCCGAAGAACTGGCGACCAAATAAAAAATCGTTTTGATGGATGAGATATCTATTTATTTTATTTTTTTATTACAGTTTATTCCATCTAACAGAACAAATGTAATATCGTTAATATTACTTGCAAAAATAATTAAGGTAAAATAAAAACGTTACAATTGTGAAAGAAACAATATAACATAATATAGTACAAAAATATAAATTCGCATTGTTGTGGAATGCATGCATAAGGCATATCATGCATAAGGTCAGAAGCTTTTCCACTAATATTTACTTTTTTTCTTAAGACGATTCTTAATTTTTCATTTTCCGTCAATTAATAAAATAAACGCGTCAATATTTTGCCTATAATAAACACTCATAGTAATTGGTTTTTGTAGTTGTTCCAAATAATTTTCCGAAGTGCGATAAAGATAAAATGCATGCATATTTTACAATAAACCGATTAACAGCTTCCGGAAAAAATTCTTGATTGTAGTGAAATACCTAGAAAATGTGGAGAATAGTGACTGACAAATTGTGATATAAAACCTTTTTCCCTCGCTTTGACCATGTGTGCATAAGTCTTCTCGGTGACATTTAGTCTATGCTGTAACTTAAAATCAAATTGTCGTATTTTTTTCTTTACATGCTTTGCCAATTGCTGTAAAATTTGATTTCCAATCGATGCTTTCTTTTTTTGTATTTCATTACAGACGGTCAGTGTTTAGTAAAGGGATAAAAGGAAAAAGTTATTTCTGCAACTGTAAGGCTTCCTGGCCTTAAAAATCTGGCTATGCGTAGTTGATGTTCATGTAACTGTATATTTCTTAGGAATTCCATTATCATCCAGGTTACCTTGAGTAAAAATGTTTAAAGAAAAGCTATTTCCATCAATACGATGGAATAAAGTCAAATAGTTAAATAGAGTTAGATTTATGACCATTGCCATTTTTGTAAAGGTTCATCTAGTCCAGGATGTTTTTCGAACAGTCCGCTATATTGTTGCAATAGTTTTTCAAGTTTCTGCGACATTCAAGTCGGATGTTAAAAAACCTTGAGATCCGGGTTAAACGCACAGATTTAGATAAAGTATGTGGATCCGGCACCTGCAAACTGGTGCACGACATTTACTTTTTATTGTTTCTTGTTCCAAATAAAACTAAAACGGCTAGAAGCCGTGTATACAAACATGAGTCAGTTATACGTAAACATTGAAAAGAATGTCCAACATGCAATCACTCGAATTTTTTTTATTATTTGTGGAATTATTTCAATAGTTATGCATCTTCGTTACTAAATATTTGTCAAAAAGATGACAGCCTTGAAGAGAAAAACCCTTTTTTTTCTGCGAACGTAACTATCATTCAAAAAATTAGTCAATCAAAAAAATGAAAGCTTATTATTTACAATCGTTAATCACAATAAACTAAAGACTCCAATGTATGATTTTCGTGTTGTGATTGGAGTTGAGTGAGAATAGAAGGTGCTTTGTGAACTCACCTGGAATACAATGAGAAAACTGTTTCGGAGGATTTCGAAAAAGTGTACGTTGAGGGAAACCTCGTTGACACCTTTGATTCTGTCTGAGATTTCTGGGTAGAGAGAGAACTTGAGGTGGATACACTATAAAAGGAAAAATCATTACTCACGTAAATTTTGTGCATTTTTTTATTCTCTTATTAGTTCCAAAAACTATCCGAACTTTGATATCTGATAAAACGCTACTATGCAAAAGTTCTTTAGGCCCTTTAGATGTGAACAAAAAAATCAAATCGAACTGCGAAAGCAACAAAATCAGTCGGAAAACATACAAGCACAGAAGTGTTTAATAGCTAAATTGCATTGAAGCATTGATGTCAAAGTATGCCCATATTACCTTGACGAGGTTGATACACTCGAAGATGTCGACACTGACGACGAGGTTGATACACTCGAAGATGTCGACACTGACGACGAGGTTGATACACTCGAAGATGTCGACACTGACGACGAGGTTGATAAACTCGAAGATGTCGACACTGACGACGAGGTTGATACACTCGAAGATGTCGACACTGACGACGAGGTTGATACACTCGAAGATGTCGACACTGATGACGATATTGAAGTACTTGATGACGACGGTGATGATGAGGAGACACTGAAATATCGATTGTCACCTCGTCAGTTTTTCCATCACTCATGATAATGTACATTTTAAAATTCAAAATCTTTCCTAATCAGAATTGGTATTTGAAAACCATAGTGACTAAACTACTAATACAATGGTGTAGTTATGCGCAGTTGGGAAAAAGATACCCATAAGGAAAAAAATTCATCATACCTTGATGACGATAGGCTTGACGAAGAAATGCTAAAGAAAAAAATAGTGATTTATTCTCTCCTTAGAATCATCAATATCAGCAATGTACATCAGTGTCAAATTCCAGTTTTACAGATGTGTTAAACTGTAATGTTCTATGGAAGAAATAAGCCTTAGGGTTTACACAAATAATGGTGTCCATTTCGTAATTTTTATCAATAACAAAAATATACGATCACTGCTCACTTAAAGTGAAGGAGTTTTAAATTGTTTCTACCTTGTACTTCCTGATGACAGTGAGGTGGAGACAGTTGTAGAAGACGCACTGGTGGAAAGTGATGATGTGGAGTATGTAGAGCTTTGTGGGCTGCTGGAACGTATAATAAACAAAATAAAGTAATAAACTTATTAAGATTATTTAGGAGGTAGCTAACAAACATAACAGAGAAGTATACTGCCTCTAGCATATTCACGTATTTCCTTCTCTTCTTTAGCCATGTAAGTAAATATAGTTCTGATTCCTTTGTGCCCTACATCCATAAGGCACTTGAAAACAACCTTGTCTATGAAAGAGCTTCCAGCGATTGAAGTAGGATAATACACCATAACACGAATTTTGACCTTTTCTATTCTATTTCTTTAAGTGTTTACCAAAGGTTATTGAGATATTTAAGAGCGTGTATATATCTTTGGGAACCTTACCTTTTATTTTTGCTATCGTTGTTTTGTAATGATGAGGAAATGTCTCACAGTCGATACTGACGACGATGTCGATGAACTCAACGACAACTGGTGTAACTTAATTTGGACTGAGTATATACATTTACCGTTACACGTACCTTGAAGACGTTGACACTGAAGAGGACGTGGAAACAGAACTTGAAGTTGATGCACTAAAAGTAAACAAACCCATTGTGAGCATCGGATTCCTTCAAAGGCTGTTTTAAAATGAGAGGGTAAGTTTCTGAAGAAACTGTACTGCTGCTGTGTGAAAATATAACAGGGTAATTTGGTATTATAAACTGAGTTTATAACCTAAATTGGCCACCGTAAATAGTTTCGAACTTTAGCCCTTCGTCAGAGCGAATAGCGAAGGGCTAACGTTCGGAACGTCAGCTTTGAAGCTCTTTACAATGGCCAATTTACGTTATTAACGCTGTTTAAAATGTTCGATATTACGCTCTAATCCAAGCAAAGTAAAGTGAGCATTTTCCAGTTTGGGACATAGTATAATTTTGGATTAGAGATTCTTCTACCCTGTTGCAGCTGGTGTTGAAACACTTGATGAAGTCGTTACCGACGGTGAAGTCGACGCAGCAAGAACCAAACAAGACTTCTCAGATGTGAGTCGCTTATAAAATTGTAGTTTTTTTGTTGTTGTTGTTTTTGGAGTTTCTGTCATTTACCAACTTTAAAATATGATCATGAGTCAATCTTGTCTCCTTTTTTTTTTTTTTTTCATAGATATAACATTATCATTGGAAAGCTTCACGAAGCCTTGAAATAAAAAGGAGTGGTTAAATTAGAGATGTCGAGGTATATAATTCTGATGCTGGAATCAAACTGGAATCAAAAATTTGAGGAGTGATTCCGTTTCAGACCAAATGCATGCCTTTCAATCTATTTAAATATAGTATATGCAGATTATCCTTTGTTGCCAGATATGAGTATCAAAATGTTTAAATAAGTTTATGCTATATTTCACTATTTTTATACTCTTTCTAGCTAAATTTAAGTGATTATATTCTATTCTAGAATTCTTTGTAATTTTACTGTAGTAATGGTAATGGCCAAATCGACAGCTTTCGCTTTTTTGGTAACCATAAACTTTTCCCTTATTTCCTGTAATCCTCCATTTCTTACAAGTTTATGATTTTTTTAAAGTACATGAAATGTGTGTAGCTGAAGCGTAAATAAATATAAATAAATAAAATTGTAAAAAAATAGTATTACCTTGAAGAAGTTGATAAAGACGAGGATGAGGATGCTGATGAAGATGTCGAAATCGAACTTGAAGTGGACACACTGAAATGAAAGATTTTCAGCGCGAGCTTTAAATGAGAAAATTATTTTAAAATATCTCTTAATCTGAAATGGAAAAATTTACTGATGGTGGATTGGTCGCCCTTGCAGAACGCAACCGTGTAAAAAATTCAAAGATAGACATTTGAAATAGGCATTCGCCAGTTTCCTTAGGTGTACACATTATATTACCTTGATGATATTGAAGACGAAGTGGAGATTGAACTGTTTAAAAGAAAAAGAAAACAAAACTTATCGGAAGAATTTCATGGTTGATGAAGACAGGTTGGTTGATTATAAAAAAGAAATTAGAATATTGGAATATTAATATAACCTTAAAAATTAAGTCTCGCCTCTAACTAAAATTATTTTCACATGTATCAGTCAAAGAAATACATTTTGAAAAGCAGCAAACTTTATTACCTTAATGATATTGATGACGAAGTGGAAATTGAACTCGACGTAGATACGCTTTAAAAAAGATAGAGAAAAACCATCTGATTGGAGTTCTCAAAGAAGGTAACATAGTACTGTATAATGGGCCGAGGGCATAGAGGGTATGTACTTCTGCTGCTCCGCTTCTGTATTAACTCATCTTAATTTTTAAAGCTTTTTCTAATTCTAAAAATCATATAATATTAAATATTTATATGATATGTTTGTATTTGATATCTAGATTTTATTGTCCATATGTATTTCGATGGTTTTTTATATATGTATCAAACGCTCATTTGGTATATTTGTCGCAGTTTCCTAAATCAGTTTTCAGCTGCTAAATATACAAACCCAAGGTTATTTATAAAGTGAACATTGGTGAAGAAGGTGGAGTCACAAACTAAAATTGATCGGAAAATGAAGTGGTGCAACCTCTAGAAAATTTGTAAGTAACAATGTAACAGTCAAAACAGTTTTTTTTTGTTTAAAATCTTTGCCGTCTTGCACGATGATTGTGAAGTTGAAGATTACAGCCTTAAGTTAATCTTATCAATCCCTAACCAAGCCAGCTCCTTGCAGCTTTTATTAAACATTTTGGCGTTTTTCTCCATTACCAAGCTTATCTATTCTTTGAAAATGTAGTGATCTGCTCGATGCAAATAGGTTTCAACATCTCATATTGTATAATAACCCTTTTCTTACCGAGCGAGAGGATTGCCCAAGGTCATGGCAATACGGACCGAGCGCAGTGAGGACCGCACAAAAACTACCTAGGGCAATATTTCTACATACGGCTGTAGCAATTTTAATAAGTAGTTTACTATATGACAGTCGAAGTCAACTTGTTTAGTTTCTGGTTTTCGCGAACAAAAAATAAAAGGCCCATGACCGTTTGCATGGAAACAGTCCATATGGCAAAAAACTGAGCCAATAAGAATCATTTACTTCCGGGCTACCTTCCCATATAGTAATGTACCTTACATGGTTCTATACCAACCTTGTACTTGACATAGATGAACTACTGGTGGACGTACAAGGCCGGTCGCAATCACCCTTCTGCTCAACGCATTTCTTTCCATTGAAGTATGTCCCATTAGGACATGAACAACCCTCAACTCTTGTTCCACGACAGCATCTTTCGTTCGCTACAGGACATTCGTCATTTATTTCGCAAGCAGAAGGAATGGTAATGTTTGCTTCATATCCACCACTGTTTGCACAGGGTCGGCAACAAGGAAGCTCTGTTAAAATATGGACCAAATTTATGCTGATTGTTAGAGAAATTTTTAATTAATTGTTGAAAGTAATCCAAGATTGCACCTATTTTGCCTATTTTTGCCACCTTATTGGTTTAGTACATTTACCCTAATTGCTACGTTGATTAGAGGTGAGGCTGAACCAATTGCGACCTATTCACCAACGTTTTGAACATTCTAAATTCCAATTCGACCTGGAAACAGTAGACAAGAAGAGACACCTCGTGAAATCAGTGTCCACTACTGAAATCTCATCCCATAATGTTTCCTTACACTTCAGGTAGAATGCTTCATTTCATTTTTCATTCATCATTATCCTAGAAGGTTGGAATTTCATTGATTTTGGTCATTCCATCAAATGGTACTCTAATGAACGAAGGACACTGTCAATAGCTCGTAAAATCAATGATTTAAACTAATAGTGGAGGTAAGAGTTGCAATGCTGCATACCCTTTGCGGACCGACATCAAGACATGACAGCCTGTCTATTCCAGAATGGCATAGACTTATAAATGACAACGTTGACGCATCCAAGCTAAAATGTCCCCAGGCTAACTTTGAAAAGAGGGAGTAGACCATTTGATATCTATATCTGGCTTTAGAAAAGTAAACACGCGGACCCCGCCACTCAATTCAAATGTCAGAAAACAAAGCACTGCGTCCACAAATTGTCGCTGCTTTGGTAATCCGTCCTTCTGTTTTCATTGTGCCCGCTCTTCAAGTCTGATGAAAACGATTCGAGTGTAGCTCTACTGTGAGCTTGGTGATAACTAGGGGGTGTTTAAAATGACTACGTGCACGGTCGGATTTTGTAGGAATACAATAAAAAAAGATAAATCCCAATTTTCTCTTGGAACCAGAGTCATAACTTCATTCAGATTTTAAATATAGCAGAGAGAAAAAATATATTTCAGGAGTTTAATAATCTTTCTTTGTTTTCTAACGAGGCGAGTTGATTGGATAGAAACATCATATAGCAGAATTATCTTTAAATGTCACTCTATCCAGCACTTACCACAAAATCCTTCTCGACGCCACGTGATTGAGATTCCATGCTGATTACAAGCTCTTACATAGGTGGCAATAGCCGCACAGTAGCATGCACAGTCGCCTCCTTTGTTGCACAAACATGTTTCGTGAATACAGGCGTCATAATATGCCTGTGGTGGAACAACCGCGTGACAGGCGGAAAAGTTCTTGTCCGACATGAGCATTCCACATCCTACATAGAAAAGTGAGACAGACCAAGGATTAATTTTGTATTTATAATGGAAATTGGACCGAGGAGTCCAATTCGGTCTGTAATCATAGCAGTGATTAACAAAATCGGACGACCGCTAAGCTAATCACGAGTATGGTTACAGTTAGAATTGGACGACAAGAAGTCTTGTTACCAATGAATCAAAACTGTGACAAAATTTGAGAAAGAAACTAGAAACGGGGTATACGTTTTCAGAAAAAAACAACAACAACAGCTAACTGGGGAAATGCGAGACAACAGCGCGCACATTACGCGGTCCTTCCACTTACACAAGTATGACGTGTCAATTGTCCCTTTAACTGCACTGTTACACTGTCCAATTACAAGCAGGACGCGTTCACTGTCCTATAACACTGTCCAATTATAAGCATGGCGCGTACACTGTCCTACGAGTGCTCAAATCGGGCTGGTGATAACCAATAACGTTCGAGAACTTTGTTAGAGTTTTGATTACTACATGTAATAAAAACTTTGATATAAAGGGTAGTCATAGTCAAAGAAAAAAGAACAGTTTTCAATTGAGTGTCGAAAGTAATACTGCATTGCCTTACTCCACTCTAAAATTCGTCCAGAAACTTTGCACTAGTTTCTCAACCAATCACATGCACGCGTTTACCTGCACTTTGGGCAGTTCGCTTTGTTATTACTAAACGAGAGTGAATGTATGAAAGTCATATATTTGAACTGTGGATAAAGACGTGAATATGAAAGCGATCTTCGCAGTAATATACACTACTTGAGAAGTAGTGAAAATAAGGCGAGTTTTGTTTGGCTCTTTAGGGTATTTTCCCTTATTTATTGCCCGTAGTGATTACTTCGGTTTTGCTTTTACGATATTATATACTTGTTTTTGAGCATCTCTGTAAACATCTCTAAGGAAACTTGGAAATTTATAAATATAAAACTTTCTGAGTTACTTCATATTTTCCAATGTTTCCTAACTTTTCGATTAACCTATGTTGCCATTGCCGTCATTGTTCTTTCGAAAATCGTGGCTGTATCATAGTAATAAACAACTCCCTGATCCATGGGACACCAGAGATGAGAGCTAGAGCAATTTAGGGATACTAAGACACTGGTGAACACTGGTTAAGTTTCCTTTATAAAATACCCATTCAGCTCACCTTTTACTGCCCAACTCAATCGGTCAGTGTTATTTACACACACTTGCCAATAATCGGTGCTTACACTATTTTCGCATACAGGGTCAGCGCTACTCCTCCAACTATCACCAAATTCTTTAGGGGTCTTCGCGGGTTCGTAATTCCGTAACATAACGTCATCCCCATCCTTTCCGTTAAAGTTACCGCAAATTCCAACGAGTTTATCTTGATTTTTAAACTTGGAATTGGGGGTAATGTAGACTCGGTTACCTTTGTCGAATTTCACCTGTAGTAAGAGACGGAGAATAAACAAATTCAAAGTTGTGATGTAACGGTAATATTAGACCTTCATGCAGTTGAACAAAACGATGCTCAAATTCTACATAATTTTCTCATTCCATAGCTTATCAAATCTTTTCGAATAACTAGCTGATGATTGGTTAGGGTTTGTCAGCCTCAACCTTCAATTTTCAATCCCAGTTCTCAAGTTTTTACCAAACAGGAATTCTGAATTTCAATCATGATTGACTGCCGAGGATAGAAGAAGGCGGCTGTTACGATGAAACGGCCAAAACATCTCGAAATAAAAACAAATAAATCTAAACCAACTGCAATGATAGTCCTTATGACCTGCAGAAACTGGCTATTATTAAAACCTCTGTGTACTGCTCCACATAAAGCTTAAAAGGAGAACTCTGCAAAATGTGATTAATCAGGAAAATAAAGTTACAACAATTTTGACAAACCTCAAACAAGGGTTTGAAAGGCTCGTTCGGGTTGAACACCCGCACGATGATAAATAATCCCATGCTGAAAATCTCTGCATTGTCTAACACACTTCTGGTGCATGGTTCAGGGTAGGTCCCAGGTACATATTGTGTAGACGAGTCTTCGGTTTCGATTTTTATAGTCCTCTGAAAGAGTTCGATTGATCCTTCTCCTGTTTCAATCACTACTTTCTTACACATTTGCAGCTCTAGTGAGTCCACGCATGGCTCGTTTGCAACGCTGACCGTATTTTTGGTGCCCTTTATCAGCATGAGTTGGTATTCGCAGAGTTCGAGGCTACTAAATCTGATCCATCTGCCGTCAAATGTTCGGTAATGCTCCTGACCGAACGCAGCGCATTCGTATTCAGGTAGTGGATCAACACCAGGCTGAGGAATCCATGTTCGTGCGCCAGAACATTTGCTTTAGGAAAAGACAAGATTAGTCGTTATGATTAAAAGAATCATCTTGGAATGTGTTCTTTCTTAGGCTTTTAACTCAAATTTCACAATAGTTACGCTACTTATGTTTTATTCCATTTAAACAGTTTGCTATATTCGTCACTAGAATGATTCAGAACATGGTGAAGCGCAGTAAGACCCCTTGAAAATAACAAGCTAGACTCTCCCTTACTCCTTTTTCCCCACCACCTACATCCTACCTTTGACGTACAAGTACTTACGTTGAACATTCCAATGGTGAAGGTTCGCCTTTTTCGTAATATTCATTTTCGTGGATGCATCCACATTGGTCCTTCTGGACGCACTTCTTTTTGTATTCATTCCAGTAAAGACCATCCTTGCAGTGGCATCCAGGTTTGTTATCCACCGGAACGCCATATTCCAAACCCAAACAAGTACGTCCAAATGAATTGTACACCTGATCCTCGGCTTCACACTCAACTAGAAGGTTTCATACAATGTAAAAGAGTTCGTGTTAGATTTAAAAAAACTTGCAATAGACCTTGAGCTCGATTGCTGTTTCCATGAGTCAATTGATGTCATTAAAAGCATCATTTTCAAATTCAGTGCTTTGGGAATACTGTATGATTAAAATTCATAAGTCTGCATTTTAGAATCAAGGCATGGGTTTGGTTTACGGTGACTACTGAAGGGCTTGATCTAACAATCGAATAACATAGCGGTCAAACATCGGGCATGCACAGATCGACTGAATTTAGCCAACAGGGCTCCAAAATTATGCGCATGATTTTCAAGGAATAACCAACAACCAGAGTAACGCAAATTATGAGAAGAAAAAATTGACCAACGTTTAAAACAACTGTCAAATAAGTCAAAGGCAGGGCAAAGAAAACTCGACACTCAAGACCAAGCTTTTTGATAACGAGAAAAAATAACGATTTACCATTTGGTTTCGAGCTTCATCGAAAAAGTTATATGCTTTAAAACACAGACGGGAGACTTAGATGCACAGCCATTTCCTGTGACGAAGGGAAAACGGTCAATCGCCGAGATACCATTACAACGATGCATTGTATGTGTTAATGATATTCATTCCTAGCGATTTTTGTCCCCTATTTTTACAATCTTTCTTCTTTGATGTCGTTTTATGCTTAAAAGTAAAATATACCAACCCGGATGTTCCGCACATTCATCTTCTTCAATACACTCGTTTCCCCTCAGAACCGTGCCGTTCTTTTTACAAAAGCAACCTTCTATGCATCCACGACTGAAAAGGAAGAAAGGAAATAAAACGAGCAGTTTTTACTTGCTAAAAATAAACGAAAAGGTCATGTTTTTTGAGGAGCTGTGCGGAAGTACTGTACACTTTATTTTAATAGTCTCGTTATGGTTTGGTTAGCTTTACAGAGTAAGCCCTTCCCTGAAATTATGAAGTAGGATAAGACTAAAACTTTTGTAGTGAAAACCAGAAGCTACAACAAGAACTTGAATAGGTAACCTCTTCTTTTTGTTCATCGCTTTTCTCTCCGTAAATGAAGATTACCTATCCACCGCCCTGATTAGCCTTTTTATGGTATTGGCGGTGAGAGAGTATGTATAACTTTGTATTTCCGTAAACAGTCATTGTGACTCAGAAGAAACGCCTGAGTATAACATCTTTGCCGAATTTATTGCTACCTCAACTTTATGGGAAAATAAGTTGTTTCTGAGCTGCTAAGTAAGCATGACCGTTAAATGAAAGGTAAATGCACAATGACCAAAGGCTCACACTCACAAGTACGCTAAAACCCTTTTACTTCATCAGATTTGTTTCCAGAAGGTAATCAGTGCTGTTCCAAACTCGTAAAATGTACATTAGATGACTAGGGCTCAGATGGGCTTTGTGCAGCTGACATGTCAATTGTGAGGATATGACATACCTTGAATCCATTTAACTAACAAATTTTTAAGATTATTTAGCAGATCTGTCAGCTTGAATCGGCCGGATTGATTGACGTTGCTGGTTTTTAGATAACTGAGATACTGCAAGCGACTTAATTGGCCTCTGACTAGGGTTTATTGGTTTATTGTTTGAAAAATCTTACATATTTGGTAAATGAACGGTAGACCGTCAACCCCACTCAGATTTTTTTTGTTTTTTTGTTTTTTTTAATGGTATAAACAATGCAGTATAATGTAATAGACCAAAAGGAACATGAAATATTAACAAATTATCGTTTTTCCTTCGTAACTGGTTTTGTGTTCAACCCTATACCCGCTTGAATTTCAAGGTTGGTCTTAGAAGGTAAGTCCTTGCCTGTACTTTGCTATTTAGGGGCGAACCTAAAACACCTGTAAGCTACAAAGCTGTGAGACTTACTTCTGGCAAGCTTGTTTGTTTTTAAGATCCCCACATGTCTGCGGGCAAGTTGCATCACAGTATCTGAACTCTTGACCACTTGGACAACTCGCTGCAAGAAGAAATAAAGTAAGCTGGCAGAAAGCAAAGAAGGACAGAGAAACCCATTTTAGCAGATCATGTACATGAACGAGCTGACTCGGTTGTGCTTCATTCAAACTTTGTGTTGAACTCTTTATCAAACTGATATTGGAAGAGCTAGTAATTATTTGATCGCACTCGAGTGAGTTCAAGGTTTTTGGCGTATTTGGCAAAGACTTGTTGTTGTTAACTTCCCATTTGGGAAAATGAGAAAAATTTAATGTTGGAGACAATCTCGCTCCTCTTCAAATGAAAACATCTTTGGAAGTTACCTGTGTAGGACCTTCATTTGAACACGAGAATGAAAACATAAAAAGAATCAAAATAAAAGATTTACGTACGCTCTTGACATAGATCTATGACCTCTCTTCGTTGCCTCCATTTGAGCACCACAACACCTTTATCTCCGCAAGCTTTGGCGTATCCGGCTATGACGTCGCATAGACTAACAGAGTGCCTACAATAAGCTTCTACGGCATTTTCGTAAAAAACTTCTTTTGGCACCTCTGACCAGCAAGCTTGAAACGGACTGTCTCCGTTAATTAGAATAGAGGCGTGCTTTTCGGCTGCAGGTTCAAGCTCATAATTCCGTCTGCAATAATCCAACTGTGTGGGACTAGCGAGGGCAGGGTCGTCTCCCAGTTGATTTTCCATGCATTTATCTGAATTTTCATCGTAGAAGTTCAACCATTTCTTTAAGAACTCGTTCGGTGTGGCGGCTTCCCCCTTGTCGGGTTTGCGGAAATCATCGTTGCCGTTTCCGTTGAATGTACCGCACAGACCACATGTCTGATTTTGTAGATCAGGAGACACGGATAAAAAAAGGTTTTGATCGGTTGCGGTCATTTGAAAATAGCGAGTGGACAACACTACACTCTTTCCACCAACGTTTTCCACGGACATATCTTCATCCAAGGAACCGTGGGTTACAAAGATTTGGGGATCTGATTTGAGTTTCCTGACAATTTTTATAGCTGTTTTATTTTCACCAAAAATAACATCTATGTCTTGACTATTGCAGAACGGACGCACGATGGTTTCCTCGCAATCAGTGTTTTTTATTCTGATATCAAATTCAGATTGTTCGTTGTGACAGTGTCGCAGCAAATGAAACTCACAATCCATTGGGAAAACCCTGTACCTTTGGCCATCAAACGTCTTGATATTGGTACTTCCCAGAATGGTACATTCACCTTTTAAAAAAATCCACATTTCAAACAGCTTACAAGTGCTATTTCATTGTAGCATTAGTTTAGTTATCTTTTCTTGTCTTATTTTTGTCTACTTTTGTCTAGGTTTCAAGTCAAATGAGTACGATCTCGTTTTTTATCACTTCTACCGACCAAACAAAACTGAGACCTAAAAAAAAACCAATACAATATCTCAACAAAGCTATATAATCTTTTAGAAGAGAAAGACGGATCTAAGTAAACGGCAACTAACCTACACCGCTTAAAGAAACTAAAACTGGCAGCTTCGCTAAGGAAAAAACACCATAATGACGACAAGTTCAAACTTAATCAAGTCTTGATAATGAAGAAGAGTTTGTTATTTAATAACTTTATTACCAAATAATATTCCCTATTCATCATTTTGATTTCTCAGTCGGCCACTCTTCGCCTGAGTTCTTTAGTCTCCAATCTTGACCGAGGAGACAAACGAGCTTAAGCATAGGAAATATGACATAATACCCACCTCTACAAGGAATGGAAAAACAAGTCCACTTTCCTCCTTCGCACTTGCTGGAAAATGGAAAATACTTTTATAAGAGATGTTTAGAGGAAAGTGAAATTCTTTAACGCGTTTGGAAACGAGGGTTTCCTCTCTCCCGGATTAAACACAACGTCATCTATTTGTAGAAATTGCAGCTCACCAGAACATTTAGTGGTATGTTGAGTAGGTAACTTGACTAACGGAATAACACAAGTTACGAAGTTGGAAATACCGGCGCTCACTTAAAGGAATGGATATTTTCGCTGCCCAAAATTTGAGTCTCCAGAATATAACGTAAAGGTAAAGTTTCAGATAGAAGCCATGGTTTACTTTTTTTCTGAAAATTGCATGTTTCTTAAAGAATATAAGATGTTGCAAATTCCGTTTTAGAAAATAGTTCCGTCTTAATTGAAATAATACCACTCAACGACTTTTGTCTTTAGGCTTGATATTTTAAGAAACGAACTTTTAAACGTATCAGATTTTTCCCTTGGTCACGAAGAATACTTGGACGGTTTAGCATTCGGGTCAAATCCCGCTGATAACTAGCTTACACTGTTTGCCATCATAACTCGAGTTCAGCTATTGTTAAAGAAGGCGGATGGTTTGCTTCCGATTCTTGCTAAACAGTTTCGAATATTATTTCATATTTATTTATGTAATCAAGTCAAAACCAAATACGCTGCGTTAGAGCTGTTCAGCTTACCAGGCTTCGCAATCTTCGTAACGAAAGTCTCCGTGTTCATAACGTGTGTTATCGTGGTAACAGGAGCATTGAGACTGCTTCACGCACTTCTCTCCGTCGTGCCACATCTCAGCGGGACAAGTGCAACCTGGCAGGCATTTAGCGGAGCATTTTAGTATGTCCACATTTTTGCATGTTCTAGGACATCCACTGGCACATTCGCTGTACTCCATAGTTGCTGGACAGGTTTTTTCTGAGTGGCGAAAGAAAACAACACTCTTCAGATGGCTTAAAAATGCAACCGCACGCTTATTCGTCTAAGCGAACGAATTATTTGTAAATTCCTGGGTAACTAGTTGATTGAGCTGTCACCAACCAGCCAACTGACTGACTGACTCAGCAAATGGCTGACTGTCTACATGTTCGGGATGTTAATTAAACTCAAGGACCGATTCACTAAGTTGCTGACCTGAGTCTTGAGCGACTAATTGATTGAGTTGCGAGCGAGCGACCAACCAACTTATTGTCTAACCCGGCCCACTTACTAACTGGTCATTATCTGACGGAAAGAATAGCTGAACAAATGACAGACTGCTTGACTTATTTGCGTTTGCAAAATGCGTTTTACTTACGACAGAGGTTCTCTGATCTCCAGGTCAATTCTGTGTTATTCCAACTGCACTGTCGACTGTAGAGGGACAACATCGCACATCTTGTCTCATCGACTAAGAGAGGTGCTTTGACGGCAGTAGCGCAGACGTCTAATATGCACATTTTTTTGAAGATTTCAGGATCCACCACGCTATGGCAGGCCTCGAAGTCTTTAGTGTCCAGAATTGAGCACAACTTCCCCGCCTCAGACTCGTTTTCATCACAGGTGTCCCCTATCGTAATTTCATCTGACTTACACAGGGTGTTGCCAGGGGAGTATATGAAACTATTAGCGAAGTCGTACACCTTTTTCATTAACTTTTTTGTATTGGATTTCAGATCGTCAGAGTCGTCGTCATTGAAACTTCCACACAGCCCAGACATGTCCCACTTTGACCTGACTGCCTCTGGCAGGCGGATGTCTACTGACCTTTCTCCGTCCCATATGACTGTGACCCTATCTTTTGTGGTTACAAGGATATGATGCTCTGCACCTTTGAATGGAAACTAGAAACGAAAAAAATTACTCTTCCTGAGGGAGTTTTGAAATAGCTAATTTTCTTGTTGCCATTATTTCTTCTTGGCACTCGCTTATTCATTCACAGTACAATATAATATGAAATTACTGGATATTCTTCCCCGCTTGGAATGCCTAGAAGGCGAGCAGCGCCGCGTGGGCTATAAAACCTTGTTAGTGTCCGACAGGCGCGAGTTTAAATTTCTTTAAATTGATAAAATGTTATGTGCCTGCATGTGCACTCCACAGTATCTTAAGGATAGCCTGTGAGATCACTCATTTTGAGTCAGGTGATGTGACGCAAAAGAAGATCTCAAAGGAACATGGTCTTCTTTACGACAAAGTCTCTCTACCTCTTACCCCTAAATTTACTCTCTACTTGCAATTTAGTTCGCCCATCTTCCTTCAAGGAGCTTTTATCACTTTACCGGAGGATTACCAAATAGTTTTAATCTTGCGGTCGGCCATCTGGGAAATGATTGTCTTGGGTAAAACTACGAGGGAGCGAAAGTATATGGCCTTTATTAACCCTTGAATGCAAAGTTTTAGTTTGACTCGAGAGCATCAAATCATTCCAGATTCTTTTGAATCAATGAATTTTTCCCACCCTTGCAGAATTTTACTGGTATTTTCAGCTAACGTACAAATCTCAGGCAGCTTGTTGCGTAGTGAATAAATAATGTGGAATTTGATGGTAGTTTCTTTCCTTAAAGATGCATAGACTCCATCTTCAATAGATAGTGGGAAACGTATTTCCCGGTGTTGTGGCCTTGCCTTTAGATCGTATGCAATGTGTTCAAGCCCCCATTTAAGCTAGTTTTAAGCTGAACTAGGCAAGCCTGTCAAAATATCGCGAATAAATAACTACATACTTGAGCTTGAATGTGTACTGCTTCAGTCGGATCTCTGTACGGAAATGAGACTGGAGAGCCTCCAACTTTGACATCAAACTTTCCACCTTTCTTAGGTCCAAGTTCAACGCTGACGCCATGAGCGAAAAGAAGCACGGACTTCTGACACGCTAACGTGGGGTCGCATCCAAAATCATTTTTTAAGACTACTTTCAAATAGTCGGGATTATTCTCCAATTGAACCAGGGTGTAATCGCATTTGCCGTGAAAGGCATACGTCACGTTATCAAAGGTGTTGAAGTATGCGTTTCCAAAGACTGAGCAAGTTGCATAACCTGAGAATTCGCAAAAAGATAGTCGACGCTACGTTATAACCTTAACTTCAGGAAAAAGTTGAAAGAAGGGAGAATGTGGATGGAGCTCCTTCCAGAGTTCAGAGTAGCATTTTAGATGGGTCATATTGATAAGCTGATATGTTTTAATAGTCTAAGCACTTGCCTACAGGATAATTTGATGATTGTCTAGGATGTAATTACATGGTAATCCTTGCTGGGAGTTACAAAGATCCCAGGAATGATCGCTACGTTAAGGAAAAAAATGTTTCAAAACTTACTCTTTATCGCCCCCTTTATCGGTTCTGTAAATTTGAAGCCACCAATGGCTTCATCGCCGAAGATAGATCCTTTTACTGTGAAGATCAAGCAGGATAAGAAAAGTGAGGTATAATTTCAAGGCATGGCCATAGTTGTAACTACATTAGGACATATAAAAAAATGAAGGTCACCCTCTCTTACAAATTATTCATGAAATAAATGTATTCTGTAAACGACGGAAAAGCATCGGTGATCAGGACATTACAGTAATAAGCACGTGAAAGTGGGTACATACTTAAAGATAAGAAACAGCCGTTATTCAATAACGTCTATTGAATTTTTTTGGTACTTTTTGAAAAAATCGATTTAGGTGATCTTTGAACCTTCATTTGAGTATTTGAATCTTTTTCTCTACCTCAAGCTATTCTCATACTAATAATCAAAATACCATGAAAAAGTGGGAACGAGAAGCAATGATATAAAAGCAATCGGAGAACATTTTTTCAGAGTTAGACAGGATCTACCCAAAGATCTACATGTTTCTGTAAATGACTCATAGAGGAAAGGCAAAATTTATAGACATAGGGATTAAATTACCTCTCACTCCTAAGGAAAAATCCAGTAAGAATGGTGATCAAACTTTCGAACAAACTAATGTCACGCGACCATGAAGTGCATACTTACAGTTGTTCTCCGCTAGACAGTCTTTCAGAGTGGCATATCTATTTTCGTTTCCGAGACAACCTCCGTAATCAAACTGTAAGCACGAGCGAGTATCAGATTTGAAATACCAGCGCTTTTCAGTTTTAACATTGACTTCTCCAAATTCCTCCGGCTCCCATAGTTTGTAACAAAGACCTCCTGTTAGTCTTGGTACTAAAAGAAAAAGGAAATTCTCGAAAAATGTATCTGAATTTAGCTTCTAATCAGTTCCATAATGAAATCACGAAATGTTTGAATAACTAACATAAGATACCATTTCGAAAAAGTTGCACCGACCTTAATAGAGCCACTGAATATGTCATCCTAAATTTGCGAATAAGTTTGTTTTTGTGGCCACTGGTTGGACAAGATATCACTGAAAAGGTTCTGGCAACTGAAGGCAGATTGCCTTTGACCAGCGGAACAAACTTGTAACTTTAAAGATTTTATGCTTTTATATTATTATTATTTTTTATATTAATATTATTTATATTCATATTATTATTATTTTCATTGTTAATATTAATATAATCCTTATCGTTCTGAATCTCACATTTTGCGGAAAGAGTAATTTTGTACGCGCAAGTTTCCGTTAGAACCATAAATCAGCGATAAAACTTACTACACTCGGTTACACAGCCTCTTTTAGTGTAAATAGAGTTGTTATCGTCACAGTTCTGGTGTAGTTGCACTAGATATCTGAAGCAATGGTCGGTATTAGCCGAATAGCCACGTTTCCGCAGGATACTGTCAATGGCTTCCAGCAAAAAAGCCTTGTTTACTCCTGAATCTGGTGCCAGGGATGATGCCTGTTCCGGTTTTAGTGGCGATGACGCATCCTCCACTGTGAAGGCGATAAGACAATATTAAAGGATTTACCAACACGAATACATATGTTTTTTTTAAGGCTAAAAGGCTGATTTGGGTGGACTTTTCTCTTTATCCTTTAACCAATTGTGCTTACACTCTTACGGAAATATCGAAATTGAAATTGACTAAAGGTTCAGATATCACTAAGAGCATTCTAAGTCTCAGATATTGTTAAGAACATTTCAAGCGTATTGCAATTTTTTGTTAATTACCTTGGTTAAACCTTTCAAAATTAGTGTTCCACAAAACTAGCAAGTGAGACGATCAATCGCTACGGGAAAGTCTGTCCATACTGTACTATTTATATGTAATATCTTTTAAACGGAAGATTTCCCTGCAAGCTTCCGCTTGACATCACTCTCTGCTGAAGTATTTTCCTTTTTAAAAAATTCAGTCCATATAGAGTCTTGCCACTTTTCCAAGGCAGGTAAGATGATAAGAAAATACCGTTATGCAATCAATTAGGTAATATATGCGACTTTTTTTTTTTAAGTAAATCAAACGTTTTTTACCTTGGATGGGAGGAGAAAAATAAACTGAACATTGCTCAGAAAGCAAATATGAGAGTGAAACAATTCTCAAACAAAATAAATTACTTTTGAATTAAGTCCTTGAATGGAGGACTGGTATTTCAATGGAGGAATGTTCGAAGGAAAAAATACTCCGTGCTGTGAGTAAATCAGAATTCTTTAGAAGCAGAAAAGTGCTTTATTTTTGTATATTCTGGTTTTTATAGCACAAAGAACTCTCTAACTGAACTCATATTTTCTATGTTTTGGCGGCCTTCTGTCGCTCTTTCTGACTGCATTACCAACCATGTCCTAGACTTACGAACTTTGACAGTCCGCCCCACACAATTTTCATATCTTGCAAATAGGTAAACAGGATTCGCTTGATTTTGCCCACAGTCACTCTCAGTGATATAATATAAAATTTTAGAGCTCAGTAATGCCAATAGGGGGCTATACTGCTGTTAGAAGCACAAACCTTAAGTTCTTGCGTGTGCGAAACCTCACTTCTTGGCCGTTCGTTACTTTTTAGACGAACAGAAAATTGTGCAACTGTTCGTGGAAAAATCTGAAATTTATTTGTACCCAGGTCTTCTGTCAAAATGGAACTATCAAGACGTCCACATTTAGTTGTAAAATCTAACGGGCAGTAGAATTTTCCAAATGCAACACAGTCTTACTTGGAGTTAGTACGTTTGGTTTGATTTTTAGCCTTGGACAGCTTTGTTTTTTGAATGGAAGTAGAGTGAACTCCTTACTTGAAACCTCACCGTAACTTAGCTTTCAGTTATCCAATTAGTTTGGACTCGAACATGTTAACGAAAATGATTTTTTTTTTACATTTTCCCAACGCCAGCAAATACCAAAATTTGCGTTTAATACTCTACCCTCAAAGCTTCTCAAGATTCTAAAAGCAGCATCTTGGATTGACCTATGCCCTTGACTTCAAGACCAATTTTTTTTTCGGCCAGATGGGTTGCCATGTTTTCTTAGTCGTAAGGCCTCGCTGTGCGTGCTTTGCTAAAAAACTCGACGCGACAGTACAGTATATCTCCATGCATTCGAGAAATAATTAGGTCGAAAAATAGAATTATTCAACTTGATTTTGCTGGCGAAAAAAGGTTTGTAAAATGAGTTAGGCATGTCAGACGGTTTAGAATCTTCACTGAACAATTCAAAGAAATTAATTAAACAAAAGATAGAAACACATATCATAGAAGTGTCTAAATCTTCGGAAACAGCCTGCCGCTTTTTTTAGGCTACTCATCTGAAATGCGAAGAATCAGAGATATATGAAAATAAAAATAAAGCAAGCAACCAACAAAAAGGTTATGTTTCTGAAATCTTCTAAAAAAGCTGAGAGAAAATAAAGTTTGAGGCACAAAACTTGCCAGGAAAATCAGTTAGCTGGCTCTTTTTCGACTGATCTTGGACCTCGCTGGTTGAGAGGGAAACGAAAGAAATCTATTGAAATGTGAAGTTGTTCACTGCCCAGACCCTAACTTGCCCTCATGTTTTTAACAAGCCTCGTTTGATTGAATTTTCTTCTGAAAATAACGCACTTTCATGCGAGGAACCAAGTGTAATACGGATGTCAAAACTCTCGCTTATTTCACATTCTAATATCGAAGAGCATCCAAACTGATACTTTCTCGCTTTGATAACCCCCGGCAGTAGGACAAACTCGTGCTTCTGGGAAGAATAAGTAGGGTGGACTACTAATTTTGATGTGGATTATGCGATTATGTCATGAAACATGGTAAGAATATGAAAATTTTTTTCTTTTTTCTTTTATTTCAAACAATGAAGCAAGCACTGGAAAAGTAGAATGATTTGACACAAAATTTGAAAAAAAAAATTCCAAAAAAAATTGGATGAAGATGATTGACTGAGACTGTACACTAACCCAGTAAATACAATTTTTCACCTTCTTTCTTAATCGGAACCACTTTAAAACACCTCCCACATCTTGGAAATTCCGAAATTATAGATTTTGCGGGTTACAAAAGCGATTTAAAAAAAAAAAGGAAAATTGATTTAGATTCTGGAAAAATATCAAAACCAATAACAACTTGGCATCTAAAAGCGAATCCACAGACCTTTGCTTTTGGATGTCAATGACGTTTCGATCTATTTTGGCCGTCGGCGATTACTAATTTTATCTATACTCTCATGCAACTATTACGAAACAGCACAAATTGTTTTCGAAAAGAAAATCGGTTTAGACTCTGAAAAAACCCATTTCAAACCATTGGTACTGAATTTGACTATTTACTATCGAGCCTTCTTTAAAACGTTTGTCAGCGATAAGGTAGCTACAGAGAACTGGTAGAAAACTGTCTAAAAAAACAGCGAAAAAGAGTTAAAGGTTGTTAAACTGTTTCAAATATTTCAAATGCTTTAATTTTTTATTAATATTTATATTTCAGACTTTGGTATAACTGAATTTTATTCACCTAATATAGTATCTACCAGCACTTTAAATATATATTCCTTAATTTAAGTTCGTAGAGATGCCATTGTTAAGAATAAATTAGCGCCAAACTTTCCATTCTTTAACCAATTGATTTAAACGTAAATCGATCCACCGACCAAGAGAAAAGAGGCAAGAAAAATTCAAGAGATAACGCCAATTGAACAATTTCTAAAATGAGGAAGCGATTGAACAACATTTGAAATAAGGAGAAAACCATAGATGTACCCGATTGCAATCTGAAATTTTTAAAATTGTTTTTGTCGTTATTATTTTATCGAGTTTATCTATGGTTTTTTGTGAATTTAATGGATGATGCCCAAGGGTGATTTTCTCTTAAACATCGTCAAGGTTTGCTGCCAATAATCTGCCAGTTTAACAATGGACCCGACTGAATGCTCCAATTAGGAGGACAAGATACCCTCAGAGAGATTCGAGTTTTTTTTTGCAGGAAATTGGGAATCAATTGTCTTGATTTGGTCTCGCAGCATGCATTCAATACAGGGTTGGGGTCCTATTGTAAACCGGCAACACATTCTCGCCGCCCAGGTGGCGAAAACCTATGACCTGTTAGCGCACGATAATTTGTGAAAGAAACGACTCCATTCTATGCAAGTGAAAGTCGTCGATTGACTACGTGATGTGTTATGCAATTCTCCTTAATTGACTTCAAAAGATTACAATGTTCCTTGGAAAGGTTTTGTACGTGATCTTAACGCTTTTATCACGGACAAAGTTTCTGGCGCTAACAAAGCAAGGCCTCAAAAGGACGTACAAGAGACATGGTTATTAAATGAAATAGTAGTCTACAAGAAGAGACGTTTAACGAGTTGACAAAACGCTTTGTCTCAGCGTTTGGCGTTTCTTCCTGCGTGCCACTCTACTCTCTCGTTTTTCTCTAAGAAAAAATAATTAAAAATTCTGGAGATCCTGTAGAGGATATGATTAGGAAATAAACCAGTACTCAAGGTCTCATTTGATTCACGTGAACAGCTCGTGGGATTGTCTAATTGAGGAACGTAAGTATCATCGAAAGATACTACAACATGAACATCAAAAATGTTTGTGAAAATATATCTATAGATATCTAGAAGAATATCCTTAATAAAGCTCAGAACAACAAACTTCTCCACAACTTTTTTCGCTTTTTTTCTCATTTCTTCTTTCAGCTAAACAGAATCCACTCAAAGTCTCTGCCTAAGGGGTTGCCATGTAAACTGAAAATTTAAAACAAACCTGCAAATGCAATTATGCAGTTACCTCCCTTGATCCGATAAATTCATACCACTCAGATATTTTTTATCGGGTAAAAGAACAGCTTGCTTCAGTAAAATTCGACAGTATATATATATATATATATATATATATATATATAGCAATTTCATACTATTTTAAAACGGTAGAAGTTTCATTTGCCTTAATTGTCCCATCCCATGCAAAATGTTACTAAGGAAAATATTTTTCGCCGATACTTACGGCTTCTTAAAGATCGTTGATTTTCAAGTTGTACAAGGCTATCGACTTCTGTTTCAAATGTCTTTTCCAAAGTATACCTGGCGGACAAAATGTCGAATAAATTTTCAAACAAACATTTCAAGAATCTAAATTTCATAACCTGATAACTAGTAACAGTAAGAAAATGCGGTAGTTAAGAACAGATGAGTCGAATTTTCGCAGAGAACGAAAAATAAAAGGTTGGAGTTTTCTGAAGAAGGTTGGTTTATTTAACATTTAATTACAAATAGAAAAAATATATTTCTCCCTCGCAACCTGGATGATGCTAGAAATCGACCCTCTGGCATCAATAAAAATGTCTTCATTCCGATAAGACTTTCTTTCACTCGGTTGGAATATTATCATGACTTTTTTAGTTTTCTTTTATAGGTGAAGAGGCTCAGTAAGTTTTAATAAGCCTCTTTATATTCGTTTCACTGATCAGTTAAAACCCTCGGAAATAATGAAATCATCAACTGAAAATTTCGACCCACAAAAATTTAAGCTTCTTCGAGGGTGTTTATTCACTCCAGAATGATATTCAAACATAGTTATTTATTGCATAACATATGTTATCCTTAGGTATAAGAAGCGCCTGAAAATGGCTTTGAATTTTGCGACAAATTTTCGCGAGACATTAATACTAGTTTCCAAATTCTTGATATACAGAAGAAATTTTATATGATTAAAAAACGCTGTTTCAGTGAATTCACAGGGTTTACCACATCAAATCAATTGCTCTGTTCATTTATTCTACTCGCGTACCCATAAAATGGAACCCTCAAAATAGAAATATTCGCTTTTTCCAGCGAGTTTCATGTCATAATGTATAGATCCTAGATGCGTTTAACTCCTAAAATTATTGGAAAATAAAACTTATTCTGGTTCAGAAAAGCCAAAAATTGACAAGAGGAAATTTATGCGATATATGAGGCGGTTTTTTCACTAAAATAAAAAATAGTTTGCCAATAAATTTCATACAGTAACACTGAAGTAAGAATGAAAAAAATATCGTTTTTACACTTACCCAAATGCACTGACTGTTTGTATTCCTTCTTGAAGCAACGCAGCGAGAAGAGCTAGTAATAATACTGAAGTGCCCAGCTTTAGTTTTACTCTTTGGAACATTTTAATAAACAACCACCTTACTTCTCCTTTAACTAGGGAACCTTTTTTTAATTCTTTTTTACCGAACTGTATTTCAGAGGAAAGAAAATTTCCCTGTCTGATATGAAAAGTTCGTAAGGTCTACCCCTAGCCGAAGCTTAGTGGAGTATGCTTTGAGTAAACGAATTAGAGGGTTCTAATATGGGTAAACATTCTTTTCCAAAACTTTAAATATCTTAGTGATAACCCACAAGTCTCACTCCAGGTGATAGCAATCCTTTCAATTCACAATTTTAAAGTTTCCTTGACAATATTCAAAACTTATCTGTCCAGAATTTATTTTTTTAAATTTCTAAAGAGAGTAAAAAAAAATACGTTGGGTCCTGTATTTTATTTTGGTTAGGGTTTTTTTTTGCCACAATAAACTTCCAGTGAAGGAGTGTATTCGTTACTACACTACGGAATATGACGGAGAAAGTTGCATTTAGTTTGGCCTGTAAGTGATATCTTGAAGTGGCATCTCTACATCGGGACAAATCCTTTTGTACCCAATGACGTATTTTGCAGCAACAACTTCATAAACTCTCCTTTAATAGTCGAATAATTTTTGCATGTTCTCATGTTTCCCCTTCTTTTATTTTGAAATAATTAGTTATGGAAAAACACAGTCATATTAAAATCAGTAGGTATCGTCCATCGGTCCGTGCTCCTACGAACAACTCGTACAAAACAAAAAAATTTCGTTTTTAAAAAACAATTTCAACAAACGCGTAAACGCAAGATATATATGTAGACGGCTACAGAAAAGAAAAATTGATATTAGCAAATTAAAAAGTATGCAGAAAACAAAAAATAAAAATAAGCCTTTGGTATATAGGATCTTGCCTAAAAACTGTTGCGTTTCCCATCGATGAAAAACACGAATATTTTCATTCGCTGTATCATTCCCTACCATAAGCATTTTTAGAGTGATTAAAATCGCCCATTCTAAGTCGTTCCAAGTTGAAAATGTGTTCTTGATTATTTTTATGTAATTTTCAAAATGCGAGACCATTGAAGACTTAAAGTCACAAATCACTTTAAGTTTATACGAAAACGCTCAAAGCAATCAGTGGGAAACTGTAATGACTTCAAGATGACAGTTGTGACCAATTTTACGGTGAAAGAAAACTAAATATAAGAAAAATTCAGATATTATATCAAACAGATGAATTGAAATGATCTATGGCTTCGATTAGTAAGTAAAACGGATCTCTATGTTTAGTGTTAAAGCACTCATTAGCATTTAAATAGAACTTTTAAACTAGCCATTACTGTAAGAATTTGTAATCACGAATTGACAGATTTCTGTCCCTTTTTTGTTCGCGTTCACAAAGACCTTTGCTTAGCCATTGGCTTTTTACTTACAAGACTGTTGGTGACCAAATTTCACAACACCATTAAATTGAAAATTCTGCATATTCTTCCAAGTTCAAACCAAAAGATTATCGGAAGAATTTTATTTATTCAATACAAATGGAAATTAAATTGTACATTCACATGAATTCGACCGAAACTGTTTAACATAACGAAGAAGCATTAATTTTCTTTTTCTTTAATTGTTATTTCTTTCATTTCATCGAAAAATTCGAAAGAGTTCAATGACGGCAAAAATGCTAATTCTCCTTTCATGTTGAAAACGAATTTATTTTTGTACCTATCATTAGTAGATTTGACGCTTAGTTACCATTTACAAATATTTCATTTATGTCAGACGTCAACAGCTACTGTGAATTAGGATAATTATTTTTTCAGTGTTTTCACGAAGTGCTTTCTTCTTTCATCTTAAAATTGCTTTGCTTTTCGACAGTTTCATATTTAAAAAAAAAGTTCAATGGTTTGCAGTCCCACTTAAAATCTTTCTTACGTTTTAAAGAAACAGTCACAAGACCGAGGGAATACCTTTTATTCCGTAGAGCAAAATACCAGTAAGGAAATAAAAACTCGTAAATAGAGGAGAATGGTATGGTGTCTTCAACTTCTGATGCTATGATATGTAGGTCAGCAAATGAAATACCATTACAAGTGAATTAATTAGTTGGCTTACGCGAAGTTAAGGGCTTAATCATATCATATTTATTATTTTTGGTCCAAATTATTATAATTTTCTCCGATAACAAGAAAGAGTTGAGTTGAGCTTGGAATTAGACTCCTCTCAAGCTTATGGAAATTATCCATCACTTTCACGTTATAACGTTCACGGTCGCCACGTAATTTGGGCATCGCTCTGAAGAACTTCACAAAATGACCTCGAATGACCAATCAGGTGAAGCCAATCACGTGTTATCAAGGCGTCTAACAGGAGGTGAAAGTTCTCTTGATTTCTAACATGGTAGACGAAACTTCTAGCGAAAAACTGATGTGATTTTGAATCGTGATAGTGATGGCACAGAATCTTGTAGAAAACAAAAAAATTTAGTTTTAGATAAAAGGAAAAAGTGTGACCTAGCATTTTGTGGAAAAGCATGGTACCAAAAAGTTTTTAAGTGTATTTATAACGATTGCATCGAAATCAAAGTCCTCTACGTGAACTATTTGTGTTTATTTAGGAATTGACCAATGAAGATAACGAACCACGTGAAAATAACGCGTAGTTCACGTGCACGAGTCCTCTCTATCATGAAAAGTTGTCCTTCATACTTTACATCGAAAGATCCTTCCTGGGAGATATTCATAAATCAGTGTGAATGTAGGTGAGAAAAGTAAGAAACGATAAAAAGAAATTATGCCATTTACCTTGCATGAGTAGATTGGAAAAATATGATCGAATATTACTATTTAACCATTTACTCCCACACTCTTACATTTTAATCCTTACTCCTTACATTTCCTATCGTTCTGAAAAGAACGATTTGACAATCGAGATATCTTCAAATTGGTGATTATTTTTTGCATTCGCATATTTTCTTTTATTGATTCAAGAGTGTTACCACAAGGAAAATTAGAAGCTTGTAATTCTGAGGTATTAAAGGGTTAAACAGCAGAGAGACACAACAATCGGAACCTTGCCACGTTTCAACCTTGTTCGGCAATTAACTGGATTATTATTAAAGTAAACGTAGTTCATAGTGAGTGACTCATTGGTTTCTTCCTGAAAAGGCCACGTTATGTTACTTGACTCGAGCTCAAAAAGAAAATATTATCTGAATTAAAATGCAAAATTTCAGCATTTCGTAATAAGAAAGCCAATGTTAAGACAGGTATCATTTAACATTACTCTGAATTATAGTACGGAGAACTTCTGACGAGCGGGGTTTACATATAATTTAGATCACTAGGTAACGTACTTTATTAGCAGGGGCATGAATCCTCTTGGAAGTCAATTCATGCATACCTCACCATGAATTATGAAAAGGAGCAAACATGCAAAATTGTTAGTTAGTTATTTGTAACAGGGAGGAGGCACCTAGTTGAACTGTTAAATAAATTGTTGTTATTTTTATAATTATTATTGATCTTATTTTTATTTCTTTCATATGATATTTAACTCGATCACTAACAAGTCGAGTAAATATACATATATATATAGGAATGCCCTTCTCCTTCCCCTTCCAGTGATAAATTCCAAAAACAGTCAGACAAAATCGCCCCATGATTATTCTTGGATTCAGGTGTTTTAAGTAAGTGTCAAAAACGGGGACCGTTTTCATCTTCTCCTATTCAATTGACATGAGAGTAAATGAGACAACGATAATGACTAGATTAGATGTGCAAATACCCAAAGGAGGATAAATAAAAAGGTGAACATGGTCTGCACAACTCTCTTGTGCTAATGTTTTAGTCTATCAAGCTAAGGCACTCATATTACCGCCTTCGGCATCAAGTGGATGCTAATTAATTCAAAATACGTCAAAATACAAAAGGGGTACCATTAATCTATGTGCCCTTGAACATTGGAGGGTCAAAGTAATGACGCGAATTGAAAGAAGAGGGGCTAAATAATTTTGTCCCCTTAAAAGGAGCATTTAGATTCCCACTTTTTACTTAAAACTCACAAATCTCGTGACCAATTGCTTACATCAAAGTTTCCTTTGTGGAACAGATATCAGCAATTGTTGCACTTATGAAAGCTTGAGGCTGAGTTTTGAATGCCGCTCAAATAACATTAGATACTGTAATGCAACAACTATAGCAACATTGTAATTGTAGTCTCACAATTCTACACAAAGGAAGTCAGGTTACAGTTACAAGAATATATGAAAGTCATATATTTGAACTGCGGATAAAGACGTGAATGAAAGTGATCCTCGCAGTAATTTGCACTACTCAGGCAGTAGTGAAAATAAAATAAAATTCTTAACCATTTATTCAATCACTTCACGGGTTTATTTAGAACCAACTTCATGACCAGCTCCCAGTTGGCTTGTTAGCTCAGTTGGTAGAGCGCTGCACCGGTATCGCAGAGGTCATGGGTTCAAATCCCGTACAGGCCTGAATTTTTTTTTTTTTTTTTTTCAGGCCTTATTTTCACTACTGCCTAAGTAGTGCAAATTACTGCGAGGATCACTTTCATTCACGTCTTTATCCGCAGTTCAAATATATGACTTTCATATATCCTTAACCATTTATTCAATCACTTCACGGGTTTATTTAGAACCAACTTCATGACCAGCTCCCAGTTGGCTTGTTAGCTCAGTTGGTAGAGCGCTGCACCGGTATCGCAGAGGTCATGGGTTCAAATCCCGTACAGGCCTGAATTTTTTTTTTCAGGCCTTATTTTCACTACTGCCTAAGTAGTGCAAATTACTGCGAGGATCACTTTCATTCACGTCTTTATCCGCAGTTCAAATATATGACTTTCATATATTCTTAACCAATCATCAGTTGACTTAAAAGGAATTTGGTCCTTCCCTTGTAATGCAACTGGATCAGAAATAATTTAAATGGCATCCATTACCAACCATTACCATGATAACGGCTCAACCAACCAAAATTATCCCACATTGAGTAGCTGCAAAAGTTACCTGTTCAGTGAATTGTTTCATTTTTGCATGCTCACATCCATCATCGGTAAAAAAGTTAGACGTACAAAACCGAAACACATTTACGTAGATTAGATGGCGCCGCTTTAAAAGTAGGATAACAAATATCCGTCTC